GAAGTTTCAAGCCGGATTTGGATGGCCGTTGACCATTAATGACTTCGCCATCTAAATTTCATTATCCGGCAGATAAGAATGGTAATTTTGATAATGATAATGCTAAGAATGGAGGTTTGCTAATGAGGTTGAGGATGACGAGGGAACTTGGATTTGGATAGGTTTGCTACTGGGGTCTGGGAGTTGGAAATCAGGGATTTGAAACCGAAGAAGGGGAAAAGAGGTTCAGTTAGGAAGCAGGTAAAGTCCAATTAGGTATCATCAAAAATTCATGGAAGCGAGAAAAAGTTGACTGATGGAAGGGATGGTGATGGTGGGGGAACTTTCAATTTGGGTTCGCCGCTGCGAGAAGCACGGAAGGAGAGGGTGCGGTTGAAGTCAAAAGATGAAATTATATATATAGCATAAAGATTAGGGTAACTTTGTAATAGGATATAGTCATGTTCTAGAAAACTAGTGTATTTTGTTTTTTTGGATAATACACTGCTTCTAATTACTATAGTTTCTTGCTTTTGTGATAAAATTACACTCCAGTCCTTCTGGCGCGAGATATTTAGCACTACTTAAGTAGTGTCTTGTGGAGATTTAAAGAGTGTTTATTGCACTTGTCTCTAGCTTTTAAAAGAAAATTATACTTAAGTCCAAATTGTGTCATACCGAGTCACCAAGTCACTCCATCTCTAATTCACCCTTTTTAAATACACGTTACAAGCACGAAATCTTCGGGTTTGATTCCAACTTAACTATTCCCTTTTAGTACATTTTATTCACTTAACCATTAACTGCTGTCAAAATACTCTTATAAGGTTAATTTGGATCCAAGGATATAGTCATGTTCTAGAAAACTAGTGTACTTTGTTTATTTGATGATACATTGCTTCTAATTACAATAGTTTCTTGCTTTTGTGATAAAATTACACGCTAATCCTTCCGGTGCGAGATGTTTAGCACTACTTAAGTAGTGTCTTGTGGAGATTTAAATAGTGTTAATTGCCTTTGTCTTGGGCTCTAAAAAATTTACACTGAAGTTTAAATTGTGTCTTACTGAGTCACCGACTCACTCCGTCTTTAATTCACCCTTTTTAAATACACGTTACAAGCACATAATTTTCGGGTTTAATGCTAGTTTAATTATTCTTTTTTAGTATATTTTATTCACTTAACCATTAACTGGAGTCAAAATACTCTTATTAGGTTAATTTAGATTTGCAGGATATAATCATGTTTTAGAAAAATAGTGTACTTCGTTTATTTGATGATATACTGCTTCTAATTACTATAGTTTCTTGCTTTTGTGATAAAATTACACTCCAGTCCTTCTGGCGCGAGATATTTAGCACTACTTAAGTAGTGTCTTGTGAAGATTTAAAGAGTGTTTATTGCACTTGTCTCTAGCTTTTAAAAGAAAATTATACTTAAGTCCAAATTGTGTCATACCGAGTCACCAAGTCACTCCATCTCTAATTCACCCTTTTTAAATACACGTTACAAGCACGAAATCTTCGGGTTTAATTCCAACTTAACTATTCCCTTTTAGTACATTTTATTCACTTAACCATTAACTACGGTCAAAATACTCTTATAAGGTTAATTTGGATCCATAGGATATAGTCATGTTTTAGAAAACTAGTGTACTTTGTTTATTTGATGATACATTGCTTCTAATTACAATAGTTTCTTGCTTTTGTGATAATTACACGTCAGTCCTTCCGGTGCGAGATGTTTAGCACTACTTAAGTAGTGTCTTGTGGATATTTAAATAGTGTTTATTGCCCTTGTCTCGGGCTCTAAAAGAAAATTACACTCAAGTCCAAATTTTGTCTTATTGTGTTACCAAGTCACTCCGTCTTCAATTCACCCTTTTTAAATACACGTTACAAGCACAGAATTTTCGGGTTTAATGCCAGCTTAACTATTCCTTCTTAGTATATTCTATTCACTTAGCCACTAACTTCAGTCAAAATACTCTTATCAGTTTAATTTGGATCCGTAGGATATAGTCATGTTCTAGAAAAATAGTGTACTTTGTTTATTTGATGATACACTGATTCTAATTACAATAGTTTCTTGCTTTTGTGATAAAATTACACTTTAGTTCTCCCGGCTCAGGATATATATTTAGCACTACTTAATTAAGTACTGTCTTGTGGAGATTTTAAATAGTGTTTATTGCCCTTGTCTCAGTCTCTAAAAGAAAATTACACTCAAATCCAAATTATATCTTACTGAGTCACCAAGTTACTCCGTCTTTAATTCATCCTTTTTAAATATACTTTACAAGCACGAGATCTTCAGGTTTAATTCCACCTTAACTATTCTTTTTTAGTATATTTTATTCACTTAACCACTAACTGCTGTCAAAATACACTTATCAGGTTAATTTGGATTCGTATGAAATAGTCATGTTCTAGAAAAATAGTGTACTTTATTTATTCGATGATACTCTGCTTCTAATTGCAATAGTTTCATGCTTTTGAGATAAAATTACACTTTTGTCCTTCCAACGCTGGATATTTATCACTACTTAAATAGTATCTTTTGATGGGTTAAATAACGTTTGTTGCCTTTGTCTTCGGCTTTCAAAAAGAAATTACACTGAAATCCAAATTGTGTCCATTGAGTCATTAGTCACTCCATCTTTAATTCACTTTTTTTTATATATGTTACAAGCAATGGATCTTTGGTTTTAATGCATAAGCCAGATTAATTATTAATCCTTTGTAGTATCTTTAATTCGCTTAACCAATAACTAACGTCAAAATACTCATATAAAATACTTTTGTATCATCAAAATACTCTTATTAGTCCTTTGTATCGGTAATTTTGATCATGTAGGATATAGTCATTTTCTAGAAAAATAAGATACTTTTTTGTACTATTTTAATACAAAATTAAATATTTTTTTCGAAGAGGAAAAGTGTAATTTAAGTTGACATTGTAACTACAATATGATCACGAAAATTATACAATGTGCATTAAGTGCAGCTCGCGTGCTCTTCATGCGCTACTATGTTGCTTGGAGCTTGCATACACGCTCTTAACGAGCATAGTTTTTATTTATTTATTTTTTGGTTTATTGGGATTTTTTGGGTTTTAAATTTTTTTTTTAATTTTCAAATCATTTTATTTCTTAATTTGTCTTATATCATTGTGATAGTAATCGATGAGATCTTTTCAATAAGATCCATTATGAATATATTTTTTTAAACTTAAAAATTTATTCAGTGTAGCTACCTATAATTAAGGATTTGGGCGTGTGGGTCGTATATTAAAAAAAAATTGAGATTGCGAGAGTGCACGCGTGTTGTCACCTTAAGTGCATTTACTTACATACACTTAATGTGTACGGTATAATAACTCATATGATCAAACATATTCTTGCCTCTTGAGTTGCCTTTGAGGATTTTTTTTTTTTTGTGGGGGGCCTTATGAGGCTTTCAATTTGCTGTAGTTTTTTGCGAAATGCATGCTATTTGTCATTTAATTTAGAGAGCGTATTCTCAACGGAAGAGATAATGAGATATAAATGTTTCTATTCCAGACGCGATGAATAAAGCAACGAGTGTATAATGTGATGGTCGCCACTCCTGAAATGGAGGGCCAACTTTCGAGCACCTTTCTTGGATACAAATTTCAATAATGGGTTAATGTGAACAAAGGTCTCCAACCACGGAGACATATATGTGGATGTAATATTTTTCCGCTTAAGACTCAAAGTTATTATGATGACTTAGTTTGCAAAATTAAGGCAAAAAAAATTAAAAATAATTTTTTAGTAATCTGTAAAATATTGACTATAATTTATTTTTATTTAAGCATTACCTGCAGGTTCAACGTTGCATTTACTTCAAAATTCAAATGAATTAAATCACTCAAATTAAGGTTATAATCCCTTTTACCCTATTAAAACAGAAGATATGAAGCTTATGTGACAACTACGTATGCATCTGTTTTGGCTCCAATGCACCATATTTCAGATTTCAGAAGTTTTTTTGCCACGTGTAAGTTTCTTTTAATTAGAAGCTATATAATTTTTTTTTTAAAAAAAAACACATGTTTTACTACAAATAAGGATCAGTTACATTTCAAACGAATGGATATATTAATTTAAATTCAAATGTCCAATCGTATAGTTTTGCAGGCTTAATATAAACAAAAAATAAAAATACCTAAATCCAGCAATTAAGAATAATACCTTATAAACTAATTATTTATTATTCCCTTATAACCTCAGATTTATAGGTATATTTTTTTAAGCCCCAAACCATAGCATAAATGATATATACGCCAAATTAATTCCTCAAAAAATAGTAATTCAATTAGATTTTAATAAAATAGTAATTTAGAGGAGGCGCCCGGGCATCTGTCCGGGCCAAGCATCTAGTTATATAATTATATAAGTTCCCCACAATAATCATCTTCTTAATCAAAAGACATGTCAATACCAGTAGCTAGGCATCCGTCGAGCTGAGTCACTGGTTTTTTATTATCTATATTGTTTGTAATTTTCAAAACTTCATTTGGGTAATTCAGTTTGGGAAAAAAAAAACTTATAAATATTTTTCATTTCTGGGGAATTAGTTATTTTTCATTTAAATATTATGTGTAGTAAATTTTTGATTAGACTGTTTTTCCCATTTTATCTATTTATTCTTTTTTGGTAACACTAGAACAAGTATGTCTTGGTGACAGGATGGGGTGCAAAATTGAAACTCAACTCGCACTCGCTGGTCCTGTGCAAGTCACAATGAACCCGAAAATATCTTCCAATATTGTATTTTTTTCCTACTTACTCCATGAATATATTAGGCACATGTACCCTAATCTATTCTTTTGGTACACTGCAGTATAATTAAGGATGACTGAGTGCAAAATTAGTGTTCTATTGTCCTCGGAACACTGAAAAAAAGTTTGCCCCAAGGCATGAAATACCTCCTCTTTTTTGTTTTTTGTTTTTTATTTTAACAATTATTATCTTCTCAAGATGAGATGACAAAATGAAAACAGGAAGGAAAGGAGTAGTAGTTCCAAACTTCCAATGGACTAGGGTGATGGAACTAGTATTTTACTTTTTGGTCCCTGAACTTGACAATTGCTCGAGGTGATGAACGAGGAAACTGGCTCACTTCTTTCAAAATGCCGAGTCCTCCGTCAGTAACCATCTTGAAATAAGGATGAATAACCAGTGTTTGTAGCAGCAGCAATTTACTCAACAACAACTTCATGAACTCTAACTCAGGCCACGACCCCGTTAGATATCGCATGTCCACCTCCCGAAGAGGACAAGATGAAAGATCCTTCTCCCACATTCCCTTGTAGAACTCCACATCATCCATCCCTAATGCCATTACATTGACGTACCTCTACCAAACGGAAACGGTCATTATGAAATTGTAAATGTGGTTTAAGAAAGCATGAAAATCATTAAATCATTGAAATCGTTTATGTGGAGAACTGATGCTCACCGGCGACAATTCAATTCTGACTTTCTGCAATACAGGACAATTGCTAATGAATAACAGAACACATTTCACCTCATTAGTCTTTGGGAATGATATTCCATTAAGTCTAAGAATTCTGAGGTGTTTGAAGGTGAAGTTTGAGCCAGCTTTCACCAAAATCTGAAAACAAAAGAATTGAAGAAGAACCATCATGTAAATATCACAAGCTATTGGTTAAAAAGCAGAACAAAAGAAACAATTCATCAACCTAACGTACTGCTTACCTCCAGATAATAATAATCCAAGGTAAAGGTTTGAACAGGATGGAGGAAATCGACACTTTGCAGCATTGTATGTTTCTCTTCAAACTTCCCTCTTGGTACGTTCGAGATCATGGAGACATTAACCAAAGCAGGGGAAGCCACATGAATCAAAGTATCAAAGTGTGCGAAACAGTGAAAAGACTTGAGCCTAAGGGAATTAACCACAAGGATATCACAACCAGCAGAACCATCTATATGAAGCCATTCAAGCAAAGGAGAAAGTGAAATCAAGTTTAAGAGCACATCAGCAGTAATACTGACTCCTCCCAATGTAAGAGACAGCAGATTGCTGAACCCTTTGAATGAAGGTGGAGGCTTTATATTACAACCGCGGAGGCGCAAGTGTGTCAATTCGAGACACGAGAAAACGGAAGAATGTAACATGTGAGAAGTGCCATTCGGAAACTCAATGGCCAACTTTCGAACACCTTTTTCCGATGCAATTTCCGCGAATTGGTCGATTTCGCTGCAGCTTCCCAGACCAGGAACAGAGAGGGCAAGCTCGTGGATTGGTGCTTTGCGGGCTAGTAACACTCGATACATCACCAACAACAATTTCTCACTCGATGTAACTCCGGCTTTGACTTCGCCAAATGTAGCATCAAACATGAGTTTTGGAAGTTTCAACCATACCTTTCTCCATCGGCGCGACAAAGCGCTTGTCCTGACTGCATCACCCAGCGGCACGAATCCCAAGATGTTTTCAATTAATTCGCTCGGCATATTGCTGAATAGATCAATGCCAGGTTTACTCCGGGCAGTGGATTGCTCCGATGCGGTACTCATCGTAATTCTGCATTGGTTCAACGAATAAAACACCATTGTCGTACATTACAATTTTCTGTATTGGGATAAAAAAAATAAATAAATAAACAGAGTTGCAAACAAGTAAAAACAATCAAACCTCAAGACCCTAATTGGAAAACGGAGTTTAGACTTTATAAACAGTAGCAATGGAAGATCATAAAAAAAAAAAACTCTAATCTTTGATTGATGATGAACAGTATACGCAGAGCTTTTTTTTTTTTTTCTCTTAAGATTGTTAAATGATTAGGATCAAACACTTTCTAAATTGTACTAGTAAGAACTGATAAACAAAAGATATAAACATCTGTGGTACCTTTCAAAAAAATCACACTACTGAGACATACAAAAGCGAATTCAGAATTCTTGATGTGAAACCCTTAATAAAAATATTACTGATCCCTGCTACTTCTCAGGTCATAATAGTCCACCCCCCCTACGATGAATTTTCCCCGCTTCCCACTGAATTTACCTCTTCCTTTCTTTTGGTTATGAGGAAAAAAACGGACGCGATGGGGTTGATTTTTTTAGAGGCTTTAGACGGGATGATATTTTTTTTGTAGCATTAATATTCACATTTTTTTAGATAAATAAATTAAAATATCTTACTATATTAGAAACAAAAACCACACTTAAAAAAAGTATCACCATTTGCCATGTGACATTTCCACATCATATTTTTAAAATAAATTTTTATTTACACATCTCCTAAACTTAAAAGGCAAATGCAGTCCAAATCCACCTCTACCTCCTATTTTGGCCAAAACCAAAAACAAAAAAAAAAAAAAAAACTACGGGTTCATAAAAAATCTAAATGATCATCCCTATCTCCACGACAATCGACTTCCTAATCAATCCCTTCTCCACAAAAAAAAAAAAAAATTCCTCATCAATTATTAATTAAGAATATGTGGTGAAATATACTCATTTCCTATTAGCATATTCAATCTTTTCATTAGTGATGATCAACCACATCCTAATCGCTTAAAATTTTAACTTCAAAAAATATTCTCTTTACCTCTCTATATAAACACAAAGAAAAAAAAAATTCTCGTTGATCTTGCTTCGGTCATTGTGGTGGTGCCATTACAGGTATTAAAATTTAAATGATTTTATTTCCACAGGTTATTTGTTTGGTTTTTATTATTTTTTGTTTTTCCCATTCAAGAACAATGTTATTACTGTTATTTTTACGCGTCCATCCGTTACAGTTACCGTAGCAGTTGTCAGGCAATATGATGTGATTTCTTATATGGTTAGTTAGCCTGGAATTTTTGTATAATTTTAGTTCTGTTTGGATTGAATTGATTAATTGGGTTTTTGTTACAAAGTGTGATTTTTAAATTTTTTTTTTTATGTTTCATTCAATTAGAGTGGTTTTCTATTTTCAATTATGGAGTCTCAGTTTTTTTTTCGTATATGGTCAGTTATGAAGTGTGTTTTTTCTTTGTTTAATTGCTTTTGATTTTGTTTCATACTTCCAGTTGCCCAATTATTATTATTATTATTTTATTTTATTTGCAAATGGAGCGCGTTATTTTTTTTTATGTTCGGGCTTTCAATAATATACTTTTTTAGATTTGATTTTTGGACTTTTTGGAGTTCCTCATCATATAAATAGTTCAGGTCGCTTCTTCTAACTAATTTATAGGGAAGGCTTTTATGAAATTGAGGTGGAGAGGGAAGGAATGATGTTTCTACGTTTATTTGTGTTTTTATACATCATTTTTACCTACCAAAAAAAATAAATTTCTTAATTTTTAATGGTCTATCTTTTACTTTTTTTTATTTGCCATAGTGAGGTGAGTTTTTTTTGCTATACCTTGAAACCTATTCAAATTTACATTATTTTCATTCTCATATTTGTGATCAACCAATTTCAACTTAACCATTTTCAAAATTATATTTTTGATATTTTACTACCTATAAACTTTTGGAAGAAATAGTTCTAACAATTAAGCGTATACCCTTTGGAGGAAGCTTACTATAAAGTTATTATAAATCTCCAAAACTAAGTATTGATATGGCACAATCAATGAAGAACATCAATAAATCATCTTACTAATATTTAAACTTATTAGGATGCTTTTATATTTTGTCTAGTATTTACTTCAAGACATATATTTGATCAAGTTTATTTATATTTAAGAAGTAGCACATATAAAACATTTCAATCTTTAAACATTTCTAAAACGTTCCGGCCAAAATAAAATTTCTTTTTATGCCAAGTACAAACATTTCTATGATCAATCTTATAAAAAATTTCTAAATTTTTCAAACATTTCTAAAATATATCTTGTCAAATACAAAATATATTTTTTTAAAATACAAACATTTCTAAGATCTACAGATATATAAGGCCAGGGTCGCGCAAATGCGCGACCAGACATCACTAGTGTATATATATAAGTAAATAAAAATCTACTGTATTAGGAACGAATTTCTTAAAAGCGTGGTACGCTACCCCCAGAATCTTCACGCCTTCTTCAACAGCAGCTATGTATCGAGACCCCCCGAATTCTCTCTAATACGCTCGCCGTTGCCGCTGGCCTCAACCAACAACCTAAAGCATTCCGGAGAAATTGTTCTTATTAATCCAATTAGGGGTTTCTTTGCGAATTAGCTTCAGGAGAAAAGGTATTCTCTACTCCCGTGTTCCTTGTTTATACTATATGGTTTTCCCCCCTGTAGAGAAGTTGTTCTAGTTAGATAGTTCATTGAAATCTCTCGCTACTCGAAATTCAAAATTGAACTCAACTTGTTATCAGAATCGAAATGGGTTCAGTATGAGGACTGGATTGAAGTATTGTTTCAAAAATCATGCCATTAGCTTCAGCACAAGGGGTTTGCCTTGTGATTTTACAGCTTAATACTAATTCACTTTTAGTTGTTACCATTTCTACTGCTAGATTATGATGCATAGCATTGTTATTCTGCTGTTTGTTGTGCTTCAGAATTTCATTTAACTTAGTAGCAATTGTTGTTTTTTATTGTTGCAGTTCCATCTCTCTATAAGTAGACATCTGTGATTGGGTAGTGGAAACAACCCGCTGCTTAAGGAGTTGGTGGGTTGATCATGGAGTCAACAACAAGAGACCCTGCTGGCCATATTGTAGATACCTTTCCACAAAACGATCCAATTGAGGATGATGATCCCCCAATGCTGAGTTCTCATGCCCTTGAAGCATTGAAAGAATTTCTGTCTGAGCAGAAGAGACAGGAATCTCTGGCGGAGGTGGAGGAGGAAGACGTTGCGTTAGTCACTGAGGATTGGCGGCTCAGCCAGTTCTGGTACGACAGGGATACTGCTGAGACTGTAGCAAAAGAAGTTATCACTCTCTGCCATTCCCTTGATTCCCCCTCGGTTGCCTGCATTGCTTGCCCTACTCTTTATGCCTACCTCAAGGTATGCGTATAGGATGCTCGAAAAAAACTCCGGCACATTTTTTGTTGATGGTTGCTACTTTAAGTGTTGCCTTTGAGCTTTATTTTTTATTTTATTTTTTATGATTTGCTTCACTACTGCTAAATAATTTTGTTTTTTTTGGTATTTAATTGCTTCAGAAATTTGATGCTGGAGTAAGCGCTCAGCTTCTTGAGTTTGACAACCGGTTTGAGCAGTACGGAAGTGAATTCACATTTTATGACTATAACCAGCCTGAAGATCTTCCCGCATCATTGAAGCACTCATACCCTATTGTAGTCGCTGATCCTCCTTATCTGGTAGGGATTAAAATTACACCAATATCACTTCTTTGTGGGTTATTTCCCTATTTGCGGTTTAAACTCATTATACAGGCCTTACCTTTCAGTACTATTGAATATTTTTATGATATTTGTTGATTGATGCTTTGAGCCATTTTTAAGATACTCTTCTGAAATTAAAAAAATAAAAACAAAAAAATCCTTAAGATTGATGTAATGAAAACACATGATTACTTGATTTGAGATTATTGAAAATGCTACTTGAGTTAACAACCTTGAATTTTCCCCATGATAATGGGCCTTTGTATATTACAAAAGTTTAGATATTCTTTTGTGTACCTGATTTTAACTATGCTAGAGGACTATTTTTTTTGGTTTAGAACGAATCAGAATATGCAGCGGATGAATGCCACTTACATTAGCTGTTGATTTTATTGGCAGAGCAAAGAATGCTTGGAGAAAGTTAGCCAAACAATTTCGTTCCTCTCAAAACCAGGAAACTGCTACTTGCTTTTACTTACTGGTAATGGCTTTTTTCCGTGGAAGAAAACTTCCGTCCATCCTTGCTTATCAGATGTTTCCTCCTCTTTTAAGTTCATGTGTGTTATAGCCATATATATGCACACCAGTTAGGCTTAGTAAACTTCTATACCAGAAATCTTTTAGATAAACTGCATTTAGTTACTTTCTGTGTGGGAGGGTCAAACAAAAATCACCTACAAAGTGCCTTCATGCTTCAACTGTTTTTCAGGAGAGGTGCAGAAGGATACCGCTGCGGAGCTGTTAGATTTGCATCCATGCGGTTTCCGACCTCAGCACTCGAGCAAGCTTGGCAATGAGTTCCGTCTCTTCACCAACTACAATCCAGGGACAAGACTAGGTGGGTGGGGGCAGGATTAATGAGTTCCTGGGGGGGCTATCTCTTCACAAAATTGTAAGTGAATGTTGCATTTTAGTTAGCATTCTTATCATATGCAATGCCAGAGGATTTTGGTTATATACACTTGCCAGTTGGTGTAACCATTGTTCTTGACCTAGTTCTTTTGGTGGATAGTTGACTGCATTGTGGGTGGATCATAGAAGTGTTTACTTATGCCTCATGACTGGAGGTTGCCTGAGCTGCAAGAGTGCGTTGATCTGTGTAATCTGCAAAGACCATAGATGCTCCATCACTTATTTTACTTGCTGAGATCTGAGAGGAGGAAGACGACATTTGTCAATGGCTTTGTACTTTGTACTTCATGCTTATTGGTGCAACTGCTATGGTTTGCATGAATGTTATTATCAGCTATTTTGATATTCTTAAGTTGTTTTGTTTCCCTTCCTTTTCTTCTTTATTTTTTTTAATATTGATTCCTGCGCCTTTCTTTTTTTTTTTTCAAGGACCAAAAAAGCTTTTTATTTAAAGAAAAATAAACCTCAATTGCATTTCTAGCTGTTGCTTAATTGAGGAAGATTATATGGGGCATCACACTTTTTTTGACACACAATTATAAGTATTTAGTCTATAACATATAGGTTGAGTCTATGGGGAAGGGGATAATATTACTAAAGGGAGAGATTTCACGCGCGCACGCCATCTCGTATTCGGAAAGTCTCTTGGCTGTACAAATTCAATACTGAAAGCTGAAAGTATTGTTAGCGGGGTTCAAACCTGGGTCTCTCAGGTTGGATGCAAAAGCCCAAACCACTGGGCCACCCTTTGTTGGCATATGGGTCATCACTAAATTCCACTGTACAATAAAAAATATTCTTCTTAAAGAAAAATTACACGTAGCCTGCCTAAGAATGTGATATAAGGATGGGCCTGTTACAATTGTTGAATGGGCTTCTAAAGCACCCTGAATCCAAATGGTCTTTTACTCATTATATCCAAATATAGTACTACTCTAAGCGGGTTATAATTAACCGACCCGTTAAACGGAAAACAAGCACAGAAATCAAAGAGTAGTCTTTCAGCGTCAAATAACAAGGCGATCCGATTGAGAAAGCAACTAAAATTGGAAGGAGTAGCAGTTGCTTCATGAAGAAGTGAAACAAGCTGGGGAGATAAACACTGAATGCCGGAACCTCGAAGAAGAAATCATTTGCCAAATATGAGATCAAACATCGTTTCCGAGGTTTTCACTTTTCACCTTTTCTGTTTCCGCAAGTTTCCACACTCTTCTATGAATTCTGCAAATTTTTTTTTTTTGGATTTTTGAGTTTCTGAAGACAGTTTGTACTTGACCCGAAAATTCTTGGCAAATAATATCCAGTTCAAAGGTTTCGGTTGAGATGGTGCTGTTGCATTGTAATTTCGTTATAACGATTCATTCATAAGTGTAAGTAACAAGATTACTTGTCGGCGTGGGGTTGGGGAGGTGGTCAATGGAGCGGATTGTAACTTCGTCCGGCTTCAAACCTGGGGATGTGATCGAAAAAATAAGAAATTATTGCTAATTTTTGGGTTGTATGATGGAAATACTGGAGGAATTATGTCCCCAGAATGTTCTTGAACTTTTGTCAAATAAATTTGTGTAGACGAATTTCTGTTATCGTTGTATTTGTCTTCTTATCTTCGTTTTGTGTCGTTTTGGTTGGATTGCAATAGTAAGTGCATTTTTCTTTCGTGCAAACTGCAAAGATGCAGATTTACCTCCTACTTAGGTGGTTTACTACAAACCCTCCAAAATTGGAACCCTTATTCTGGACTTATCGGTTGGGTAGTATACCATAGTTATTTGTTGTTGATTTAGTTGCTGTACCCAGCAGGAGTTGACATGGAAATGAAGGAAATACTATTTGCTCAGATCACATCCTGGTACCTGGAGGGACCTGGTTTGGCTATTTGAAGTGATTTAAGTGTGGATCATGTTCAATTTGATGGGATCGATAACCACTGAAGTGACTTATTAGAGAATTTAACTTGTATTGTTTGACATAATTTTATGAAAGGGGGAAAAAGAAATGGAAAAAGAAAGGAGTGCTTTGTGTTGAACTATAATGTTGTCAATTAGTTTGTATAACCATTTACTACCCTAATACTCATGGTCCCTTTTTCTACTACATGACCATTGAAATTGAAGTGTTTTACCATGTTTTGAAAGTCTGATGTGTGAGAGTATGGTATTAAGTAGGAAATGATGAAGTTTTAAGGTCCTTGTGAGCTTAAACTTTTTCTTTGTTTCTAATCTTTTGGTTTTATCATTTTTTTTATTATCACTCTGTACATCTTTTCTGAAAGTTGATAAGTGTTTTCCTCATTGATGGAATTAGGATACCTAAATGCTAAATACCTAACGCAGTTAACTCTTAACTTTTATGTAGGCTGGATTGTCCACGAGGATGGGGCAGTGGTGGGAAGGAATTCCATTTCTTACATCTGCAGTGGTGGTTGTTTGTGGGATCATTTACTTGGTTTGTCTTCTTGTGGGATATGACTCATTTGCTGAAGTATGCTTTTTGCCATCTGCAGTGATCTCACGGTTTCAAGGCTAGTACCTTACTCTGGTATTTTGTCCTTTCGAAGTTATTTGAACGGTTCGTTTATATTTATGCACTGACAAGGAAATATTTACCCTGAATCTTGTAAAAGAATAATTTATTTATTCTTTGATCGTATATTCAGTTGCTCATTTATCTTCCATGTTTCTTCATGTAGGCTAATTATTTGTAAATATCTTAAGCTAGAATACACTTTAGTTGCTTTCTGCATTTCAGTGTTAGTTAAGGTAAAGTGGTTTAATCTATTGACTATAACCTTCCCTTCCCTCTGTTTGCAGTGTACAGGACCTATACCTCTGTACTTTTTCATGGCTCTTTGCTGCATCTGATGTTCAATATGTTAGCTTTGGTTCCTCTGGGGTCTGAGCTTGAAAGGATTATGGGATCTGTTCGACTATGCTACGTTACAATTTTGCTGGCCACGAGCAATGCCGTTTTTCACCTTCTTATAGCTTTTTTGGTTGCTCATAATCCTTTCCATACTTTTAGTTACCTCATGGACGAGTGTGCTATAGGCTTCTCGGGGATCCTGTTTTCTATGATTGTTATTGAGACAACTCTTAGTGGAGTTCAATCCAGAAGGTTTTGCTCTAAATTTTCTTGCTTATTATGTATTGGGGTTAATTGGGCCCTTTTTTTGTCTTTTCCCATGGTACTGATTGACAAGTTTCCTTGTGCAGTGTGTTTGGGCTTTTCAATGTGCCTGCTCAATGGTAAATCATTCTTTAGTGCGACCTATTCACAATATCTGTTAATATCTGTTCTTACTGTTTGAATGGTGTTTCATGTAATAGGTATGCATGGATCTTGTTGGTGGTGTTTCAGCTTCTTATGACAAATGTCTCTCTACTTGGGCATCTCTGCGGCATTTTGTCTGGATTTGCATGTATGTGAACAGTTGCTATTTCTTTCTAACAATATATTATTCAAAGTGTTCCCATCCTGTCCTCATTTTTTAGATTTGGACTAATGCCAGATACTTATGGACTCTTCAACACTTTGATTCCTGGGACATCCTTTTTCTCTAAAATTGAATCATCATCATTGCTTGTAAGTATCTTTGTTACTTGATGTATACTGTTATAAATTTCCTCCCAATACCTTTATTTTCACATGTAGAAAGGGTGATCTCCGTGTTTTCTCCTTACATGATGAATAGGGTTTCTCCTTGCGTTAACTTGCGGTTACTAAGGTCCTTTGATTTCATTATTGAAAAGTAATTGTGAGGTCCATACTCATTGCGCTTACGAAATGAGAGTTTATTCTCAAAGCAATGACAGATGTGTAGCAAGATAGAAATGTTTGGCGAAAGTAGGTTGTTAAGCATGCAAATTAACCTATTCATATTCCTGACTCGCTTACTGAATTTGGTTTCTAGTACGGATGTTTGATAGATAGTTGAGAAATCATTTGCACTAGTTACTGATGCTCCTATACTCTCCAAAAGCATAAAGGATGACCGAGGTAGAGAAAAGCATGTAATAATTGTTGAACAATTTTCCTTGGATTTACATTAGATGGTGCTCTGGGGACCAACATGTTTCATGCAGTAGAAAGTTGTATGTGTCGTAAAAATTTCAGAACAACTGCCAACTTTGAGTTAGTGGTATAAATTGGACTAAATTAAGATCCATCAGAATGTAATTCTTAAAGAATGTAGGTTTTATTGTTCAGGTTCGTACCTGTATTTCTGATTATTATTATTATTATTATTATTATTATTATTATTATTATTATTATTATTATCTTTATTTTGGTTTAGAAGCACTTCGTGTTGTAACATAAAGATGAACTAATCTGTTATTGCGCAGTCTTCATTTGTTAGGAGACCGAAGTTCATACTGTGCACTGGGGGGAATACTTCGGGTTACATTCCGACTCATACAAGTCAAAGTCCAACATCCAGGTTTGGTCTTTACAGCTTATTGACTATATTACTGAAGTCTTCTCTATGGTAGTTTGATTTTTGTATCCTGCAGTGGATTGCTTTCTGGAAACCTTTGGAGGAGCTTCTCTTCATGGATGCCACAAAGAGAGACTTACTCTCAGGTGCTTTGCCTGGAATATTTCTTATATCTTTCTGAACTCCTTTCTTTAAACAAAAAAAAAAGAAAGAAAGAAGAAATTTATCAAAAAAAGGAACCACGCTACTGAAGAAGGTTTCTGTAGAGATTTCCACCTCCATTTTATGCTTGACGTTCAAGTTGTGTCTTTAAGGAAAGAGCTGATCACCCAACTAACGGTGGGAAGCTCTTTTGCTGATGGGTTCCAACTTCATGTTTGGTCTTGCATATGAACATCCGGTCCTTTATTTTTGGCATTTTTGCTTTCAGCCATCCAGGGAAACATTTTCTTCCTGCTCTAGTTAGTACCAGTAAAGTTTCACTCAAATTCCATCTGACCTGTTGTCTAATGGATTTTACATTTCTCTTTTTATTACTTTGAAGTTACCTAAATGTAAATATATCATTTCAGCTCTGTGATATGGTGATTTCACTTGTAGGTGCCATCCGCAGATAACGACAGTAGGTTTCCTGGAACTGGAAGAACTCTGGGTTCTGGATTAAGTCAAACAGTTGCAACCGCTCCTGATTCAACCTTACAGGCCAGACTTCTGGAGAATGAGAATTCAACAAACCATCCATCTCAGGCAAGAGAAAGTGCTACAGGGCAACAAATAACAGAAGGAAGGTATATAAGTGAATGAGTTTGTGTGTCATTTCCGTAGACCGTACTTAAAACACATGAGACATATAACAATGCCCTTTTCATTTTTCTTTTCTCTAACTATTTTTATAATCTAATTTCTTAGATAGCATGTGAAGATCACTAAATGATCGACTTAATTTTGTTGATTATCTACCATGATTATTGGCTTGACAGGAAGTGTAGGATGTCTTCATTTAAATCCAGAGTTGTCACCTGATAGTTTATAGCTCTTCCCTGTTTCTGATGCTCCGTGTCTTGAGATTTCATATTATTTAGGTTACTGTTTACTTCTTTGCATATTCACCAAGATTTACTAGCCAAATTATTGAGAAACATGCTTGTACAGACCAACGTTCATGTGGTCATTCTCTATCTCCATCTTCATGTTAAATCATGTGTGTTTTATACTGTGGCATTGCTTGAATCACCGCCACTTGTATGGTTAAATTAGATGTTTATTGAATTGATGTACGTACTCTTAACGTGTACCTGAATAACTCATTTTCAGGCAACCAACAGTTGATAATTCAGCTGTGACAGTCACGGGGGTTCAAAGTCATCAGGTCCACAAGTTTCCATGCTTCATGTTCATTATCTCTGGCATTGTTGTGTCATTATAAATATCTGTTTGTCTTCTACATGTAGGGTTCTGCTGAAGGCATACAGAAGCTTCTCTCCATGGGTTTTGAGAAGGTTAGCCTCTTGTCTTGCCTACTCGTCTACCGTTCTCTACTCTATTAACCCTATTCATTGAAGTGCATCCTGGTAATGAAACCTCCATTAAGAATCTGATCCCATCTTTCAGACTCAAGTTGAAGTGGCACTAGCTGCTGCTGATGGGGATGTTACCGTGGCTGTTGAAATCCTCATGAGCCAGCAGGTCTGAAGATTTTCATTTTCAAAAAGAGAGAAGAAATTTGCCGCCATTCTTTGGGTCCTGACTGATTTGAATATCGTCAAAATCCTCACAGGGATAACTGTTTTTTCTGATATACAGTAGTAACGATGTCTGTAGAAGCCCGAGCAGCGAAAAATAGATTTCTTGTCGTAAGCTGCCATCAGTGTAGCACATATATGCAGAACCAATCTCACCTGAATGTGTACATATCACGTCTGTATTTGGAATTTCGTTTATACGAAGGATTGATTTTAGTATGCGGAAAAGGTCTATCTAGCTTGTATTTAGCATATGTCGCATTATGGTGAAGTATCCAAATGCTCAAACACTAACAAACACGAAGTTCATATCCAACACAGGGTATCCCAGGAGGTTCCTTATCGGAGTTCAATTCTGAAATCCACCATCATTTTTCTGAGGCAACGAGAGTAAAATGGAAACACTATTAAACACCGAATCCCCAACCAAGAACTGCTACTACTAGATGAGTCCTTCGATAATCATCAAATTTTTAAACAACACTGCAAAAACTGCATATACTGTACTACTATTACTAGCATCTTAATTTTAGATTGTAGAATCAAATATACTACTACTTGTCATGGACTTGTTCCTCTCTGGGTGGCTTCACAATGAGGATTGGACACTGCACATGATGTGCACAGTAATCACTCACGCTTCCCAGAAACGCCCTGCAAATCCCCACAAATATTACATGAATTAGTAAACCTTACCAATACAGTAGTGAAACCCTACCAAAATTATTGAACATTCGACAAAAATTATCCAACCAATCAGAAGGCCTTATATCAGCATAAACAAAGTGACATGATCAGCAGGATTTGACTATGAAAAATACTACACTGATTCCGGAATTAATCCCATTTGTGGGACTAATGAGATTTGATTTGCCCCTCCAAATTTAATGATCCTGCTTAGTGATTTCAAGGACAAATATCAAAATTTAATAAGAGAGTCCCCACCTCTTAAACTTGCTGAGCCCCCGGCTACCGACAACCACAAGATCAACATGCAGATCCTCAGCAACATCACAGATCATGTCCTTTGGCTCACCTTCCAGAATCATAGTTTCTGCCTTAACCTTAATTTCGCCAAATTTAACAGCATGTGAGAGATCGTGAGTCGTGACCCATTATCTTCCTTTTTTTTTTCACCCCAACCCCAAGCACAAGGTTAATAATTAAATACCACGTACCTTCACATCTTTACACATTTGAAGTGCACGACTCAGAACAGCTGCAGCATTTTCTGCCTGGGCTTTCCTCACAGACTCAACCACCGTTGTCGTCGGATATATTACTTCATAATTTCCAGGTATCAGTAAGAAGACAAAATTAAAAAGTGATCCCAAAAAAAAAAAGTATTAATGATAGAATATTACTAGTATATATTGGGTTGATTCGATGATCGTACTTACTACTACTACCTGGACCTGCAGGATAAACGTATGGTTGATAAGGCTTCTGAACGTTGACCAGTACAATCATGCTAGAGTCGCTTCCCGCCGGCTCGACAACATCACCGCCGGCGGTTGGCAACTCGGCGGCCGGGTTCATGTTAAACAAGTGGTCAAGCGTCCACTTCAGCGCGTAGAAACTCCCGTCGCTGTCATCCACCGCCACCAGCACTTTCCTGCCCTGTTTCTTCTCCCCTGCCACCCGTGGCTGCTGCTCCGCCACTAGCGCCGCCTTCTCTTCACCTGCTCCGCTTGTTTCAACTCCCGTGCTTTTCATTTTTAGTTCGTTTCCAGATAGTTTCCGTGCTTCTATTTTATTTTCTAGCTAGCTACCCTTTAATCACTTATTACATCGTAGTACTTGAATTAGAATGTCATAATAATCAAAGGATTGAATAGGTATGTGAGTTTCCCGATAACAACCAGCAGACAAAGGAAAGTGAATTGATGGCAGGCTGAAAACGGTGGCTAGCGAGGTGGGCTGCATGCAGAAACCATGGAAGCTGACAAGGATGCCACGTACATACTCTGCCCTGATCATCCCAAACTTTGATTTCCAGCAAGTTTCTTTCTTTTAATTCTAGCTATTAAAAGTTAGTACTTATCCATTTATTTTCGGCTAAAGGTACTAAACTACAAAAATGCATGGTTTCATATAGCCCTATATTTCACATTTGAAAAAAAATACTCACTCTGTCACACACTAATTTCCTTATAGAGTTAGGGAACATTTCCGTTTCGCTGCTCTTTTATATAGAGTACGTGTGGTTTATTGCATATAATTGTAATTCATTCATCTTAGAAAGCGAAGAATGGAGGCCACTGGTGAAAGAGAAGCAGAAGGAATAATAAAGAGCACTGGAGCTCCGGCAGGATCAGAAGCAGTAGGAATGGGGCAACAGGATCAGGCGACTGGAAACAGAATAAGGAAGAGGCAAATTAGAGCAATGGTGGCGGTGGATGACAGCCAGGAAAGCTCCTATGCACTGAAATGGACCCTGGATAAGCTTTTGAATTTCAGTGATAATATTGATATTCCATCGGCTGGTACAACGCTTCCGGGTGAAACTACAACTGATCCTTCTCATAGGCTTCTTGGCGAATCTTCTTCCAACAACAGGGTGACCTTAGTCCATGTCATGGAGCCTCTGCCTCATTACGCCTACCCCCGCGGCGGATACGGTACGTATTATATAGTGTATAATATCTGTTTCAGAAAAATAGTCCATCCAGTTTTAAAGTTTGCACATATACAAATATAAACGTTACGTTATTGATGATGATCAATCTGATTTTTAATGCTCATGCGTTTTATTTTGGTTTAGCTAATTAAGTTGATGGTGGTAAGTGTTCAACTCTTTTTTTTTGGTAGTGGTGGAAAGTGCGACTAAAACCCAAGAACATAATGCTGATAAGATCCTCTCCCGTGCCTTCCAACTGTGCATGGAGAAAAAGGTCAACGTTCTTAATTCTATATTGTAGTAGTACCAATTTTTGGGGTCTCCTTAATGTCAAAAAAGTCAGCTGTAAAGCGTGTTAATTGAGGCAAATGTATGCAACAAAATTATTTATAGGTGGCAGCGGAGAAGCTAGTACTGGAGGGAGATCCGAAGCAAAAGATTTGTGAAGCAGCAGATAACATGCGGGTTGATGTTCTTGTGGTTGGCAGCCGTGGACTTGGTCAGATCAAGAGGTGATCATATTGAGTATTTCATTTTTTTTTAGCAAAATAATCGAATCAAGTTTATCACCAACTTGTTAATTTTACCACTTCAAAAAAAAAAAAAAAAACTTGTTAATTTTTGGTATATACACGTACTTGTACGTGTGACAACCAAAAATCGAAACTACTGGGCCGACTAATCTTCTTATTAAATTCGTGATGTTTTTTAAATAAAAAATTGCGGGTGTTTGTAGGGCGTTGCTGGGAAGCGTGAGTGACTACTGTGCTCATCATGCAAGGTGCCCGGTACTCATTGTGAAGCTCCCCAAGGAATCTCATCACTGATTAATCAATGAGCATGCAATGCAGCTGCCTATTTTATTTCTCTCCTTCCCCTCAGCATATTAGTATACTGTCAATAAGTCTTGTGAATTGGTTATTCACCATATATATGTGTATACACTATCAATATTGTAGTATGTGTTTGTGGACATGAAGTTGAATCCCAGATTTTTTATTTTATTTATTTTTGGAATTGAATCCCAGATTCGATCGAGGTAGCTAATCTTGTTAGTCGTTGATTATATTGCAGTTTTTGGGGACGACAACTGAACGGTCAAAGTGTGTTCGGTACATCTTGTTCGGCTCTATAAGTACAATAGGATTTTTTTTCCAAAGCAATATACGATGAAACAGACACTACGTTGGATGTTTGATCCATCTCATTAATCTATTGTCTGTATTTTTGTTTTTGTGAAGAAAATGCTAGCTCGTTTTGGGGAATATTACTGACTTTATAAGGAACATGAGGAATTATTGTTTCTCTTTCTATCTCTAGAAGTCTCTGTGGAACACCTCTTTCAGTAACAAATTGCATTACTTCCTCTGCTCCAACAATGGAGACAGAGGAACCGATTCCAATGGATCATAACAACGAAAACCCAGTTACGAAAAAGGTTCGAAATAAAGATGAGGCATTGAATCCAAACCCAAGTTTGGCAGAAAGGTCCCCAGTTGAAAATGGCACAGAAGCAAATCGGACTAATGGCCCAACATTCAAGGAGTCACTCCTTCAAAACTACCCAGGAGCCAATAGCAAGGGGTTTCACCACGATACCGTCCGGACGGAACCCGGCGACGTTACCTACACGATTGAAGATGGTATGCCTGCAATCAGATTCCCTGACCGAATCAGAAAGAAAATGGAATTCGCAATGTCATACTCCCTGGTAGTGAGACCGCTTGGGAGGAACTTCAGTTTCTTGACTATTCAAAAAAGGGTGTCGTCTCTTTGGAAACCAAAAGGCAGAATCAATCTTGTGGATTCAATTGACGGATACCACATAATCCGACTCACTCATAAAAAAGATTACCACAATGCGCTCCTCAATGGACTTTGGACCATTGTAAATTATTATATCACAATGCTATCCTGGACTATCAATTTCGATCAGCAGTAGCAACGTGGATCAGGATTCTGGGTTTGTCGGTCCATTACTTTTATGAGGACTTGCTCAGAGATATTGCATGACCCATCAACAGGTACTTGAAAGCGGACAACAACACCTTACAGATAGAAAGGGAAGATATGTCCTATTAACAGTGGAGTTAGATCTAACGAAACCTTTGGTTGAAAAAGTGAAAGTAGATGGAAAGCCTTACACGGTTGAATACGAAGATCCGCAAAGAGATTTGTGAGGAGCTCGATAAAGTGTGTCGTGACTTTTTGTGGGGTTCAATGGAAGGGAATAAGAAAATGAGCTTGGTAAGTTGGAATAAGGTGTGCCGACCGAAGGAGAGAGGAGGCCTGGGACTAAGGAAAATGCAGAATTTAACATAACATTAATCCTAAAGTTCGTATGGGGACTAATTTCAGAAGAAGCACTAATGTGGAAGGACGTTTTTAAGGCCAAATATGATGTGAATCTGGAAACAAGGCCGACGGACATCTCCAAAGCCAAAGCCACGTGCTTATGGAAGCAAATAGCGAATCTTTGGCAAGTGGTGGTGGGGGGAGTACGGTGGATTGTTAATGATGGCAAGCGGATAAGAATCTGGCAGGATTGTTGGGTGGACACGGAGGGACCGTTGCTGCTACTTGCAAAGGAAGATATTCCCTTATCAGAAAGAGACATGAAAGTGACAGAATTCGTCCTTGCGACAAGGGGGTAGGACTGGAACAAATTGATGCTACTACTGTCGGCTGTGGTAGTCGAGAAAATTAGAGCAATACCACCACCAGCGGGAGACCAGGTGCCGGATAGGCCAATATGGAAGTTTACAAAAACGAGTAGATTCTCTGCCAGTTCAACGTACATAATCTTATCCAAAAGCTGTTGAGAGGATGAGAAGAAGTATTAATTGGATGTTATTATGGAAGTGGAGAGGGCCGGAGAGAATCAAGACGTTTCTATGGCTGCTAATGAAGGGAGCTCTCATGTCAAACGTCGAAAGAAAGAGAAGGTATCTGGCGGAAGACAATTCCTGTCATTTATGTAGAGGAGAGGAAACCCTGTTACACATCTTCAGAGATTGCGTTAGAGGCAAAGAATTTTGGAGAGGCCTCAACTCAAACTTGGGACACGATTTCTAGTTCGTAATGAATATCAAGAAATGACGTATCTCTAACTTGAAATCCTCTGTTTTGCAGGACCAACAGGAGTGGACACTGTGGTTTGGCATAGGCTGCTGGAAACTCTGGCAGTCGAGAAATAAGGAGATATTTGGAGAAGAAGTGCTATCTTTAAGAGCTCTCAAAGGCTCTACACATGTATGGTAAAAGAAATAGCTCGCTCAAACAGGATTTTTGCACACGATATAGGCAGCCATAGACTCACCATGCAGCATCGACGTTGGGAGCCACCCCAAGTGGACTGGATCAAGATCAACTCGGACGCTGTCACCATTCGAGCCACCAATAAATCGGCGGTGGGCGGAGTCCTCCGAAACAGTAATGGGGAATGGTTGACTGGTCTTATCGCGAATATTGGTACTTGTACCAGCCTTGAAGCTGAGTTGTGGGGAGCTCTGTTTAGGCTACAAATAGCTTGGGACTTAGGATTCAGAAAAATATAGTTAAAATTGGATTGTTCCAAAGCTGTCAAATTTTTGTCTAAAGAGGATTCTGTATCTATCCCTAGTAATGTTGTTGGTAGAGTTAGGAAGTTGCTGAATCTCAACTGAACAGGTCATATTTGTCGGAACCAAAATAAGGTTGTTGATGATCTAGCCAAGATTGGCTTTACATGTCCAGTGGGGAGACACATTTTGTCAGCACCACCGTCTAGCGTTGTTGAAAAATTAGAATCAAATAGAACTTCAGTCTCTTTACATCTGTAGATCCTTTTGTAATCTAAGTCTTTGGCTTCATATATATATATATATATATGTATGAACACGGGGAAAGAAAATTTACAATGTTACAGAAGTATTATTTACGGTCAAGAAAGAAACAGAAAACAAAGAGTAACAAACCCCTCTTGAGTGGTGCGGGCGAATAAGCACAGCTTCTATATTCTCAGTCTCAGAGTCAATCAATTGTGAGAGCGGGAACGATCTGATTCGTAATTGACTTTGTCAACACAACCCTTTTTTTTTTTCCCTTTTTATGCCTGTATTGTTAAGTAGCCTACCAAAAAATGTGAAGAAAGGAAAATTCTGGATACATCATAAATAATTACTAACTTTTATTACTTATTCATTAATAAATTCAATTTTTGTTACTAAACATACTAAAAAGAAAAATGATAATCAATTGATTTTAAGCATTAAGTGATGTTATCCAATAAATTCATGCTCAAATTTTGTTAACTTCTTTTAAGGGTGTCAAGCTAGAGATCCAACTTCGTACAAAATTTTATGATCTCTTTTCGATAAAATAAATGTATAGTGTTTTATGATAATTTATTAATTTATTTTTTTTTAAAAAAAATCACGTTTGATGGAGAGAAACAATATTTCAATCAACAAAATAAGGTAAACAGATTAAAAAGTAAAGATGATGGAAAACATGAAAATTTGATTTGCATGTTGGGTCCAAAACCTTGTGCTGCCATTTATTTTTATGTTATTTACCTTAAGGCAGATAAGTATCACAAATTACGCGGGATCATATATCGGACTTGAAAAAATAAAGTAACCCAAAATTATCCTAAGTGTGCAAGTTTCGGTATCAGTTTCAAAATTAGAAAGTGGACATATTTTTACAGTTATGTAAAAAGATACGAAATGCCATAAACGATTTGTCCAGTTATTTGTAAGGAACAAAATCAATTATGTACTTACCTCTATATAATTGACAGTATCCAGTCCACCATTAAGGTGTTAAAATTATTGGGAGAATTTTGTAAATTTTTCCTTATTTTTATTTTTCTTGTGCGTAAATTTATGTATTCTCTCCTTAAATGTCATTTCGAATAATAATAAATTGCGAAGTGATTTAGACATAATAGACCTGTAAATCACTTATTGGATATTTTTGCACAAGAATTTATTACCAATTTACCATCATTTGAACCCTACTATAAAAAAGATTAATTAATTAAGACAAAATCACTAGAATGTAATCCTTTTCTTTTTCGATATCTCCCAATGTTTAGATGCTTTTGCTTCAAAAGTCAAAATATACTTTTACTCTTTTTTTTTTTTAAAAAAAATTAATTGAACAGAGTTTTGAGAATCCTCGAACAATCTTCACTCGCAATATAAGACAATATACAGTTAATCTCAAAAGAAATTAAAATCTAGATACTTATAATCTTGTTTCTTTTCAACAATAGACATAAGTAGTATTTTGGTACGAAAAAATTAAAATAATTAAATTAGAATTTCTTTCGCTTTTGTAAAATTTTGACTTTCCTTAATTTACCCTCGAACTTTCACTTTATTCCCTACGTATCCCCTTCCCAATCGAACGAAAACGAGAAAGAAAAACCAGAGCATTCGCTCGTTTTTTTTTCCCTTTAGTTTTTCATTATTATTATTTTTTTTTTTGAAGTGAAAACATATATATTTTTTTTCGCCGAGGACTCGTTTTCTTCTTCTCCTTCTCCTCCCCCTTCCTTTAATTTCTTCTTTATTTTAGTTTTACTTTCCAGATTCGTTAATTCGAAGATTGTATATTCCGGTCATGACGATGATGACTCCTCAGCCCTTAGATGTAAGTTCTGCGTTCTTCCTCCTCTTCGAGAACCCCGATTCCCACTCACTGTCGGCATGTGTTTATGGTTTTTTTCCCACTATCTGGAATGAACTATTTGTTCTAGGTTTAAGGATATGTGTTTGATTCTTGTTTGCTTGGTTAGGAAATGATTGTGATTTTTTTTTTCCCTTAGGTGGTGTGTGTGATCGGCTAGGGTTTTAGGTTTTTGGAGTGAGGTTTTAAGCATCTTAATTGGATTGTATTTGGTCGGGAAATGAAATGTTAGTTGATGACGAAACTGAATTTGGGTTTTTGATGTGAGCTGTCATTGTTAGGGTTTAAGATGGATCATTTTGCACTCGGTGTGTTCTTTTCGATTTCTTTACTCTAACTCTTTTTTGGTGTGTACTGTAGCAACAAGAAGACGAGGAGATGCTGGTGCCCCAATCGGATTTCGTGGATGGCCCCGCACCTGTTGTAGAAGGTCCTCACCCTTTGGTAGAAGGCCCTCAACCCATGGAAGGTACGTAGTGTTGTTTTTTTTCTTCTTGATATACCTTTGTTATATGTATGTAGTGTAAAGACGCACTAATTTAATAAATGCAAAATTGGTGCTGTAGTGACCTCATTTTAATAGTTTATGTTGCTTTTCTTTAATTATGCATTTGAGGTATTGATGGGTTCTGTATCGGTTTCTTATGGTCTAAGTAGTAGCGCAGCAAGAGAATGCTAATACAGCAGAGAACCAAGCTGTAGATGAGCCCCAAGCATCACGGTTCACATGGACAATCGAGAACTTTACGCGCTTGAATGTGAAGAAGCTTTACTCTCAGGAATTTGTTGTTGGAGGTTACAAATGGTAAGTGATAGTTGGCCTCTTGTTTTGCCATGTAAGTGCTTTTTTTAATTATAAATTAGAATGCGTCTTTGATTGAATTACTTTTGACCAGGCGGGTGCTAATTTTCCCCAAAGGGAACAATGTGGACTTCTTGTCTATGTATTTAGATGTTGCTGATTCTGCTAGCCTGCCATATGGATGGAGTCGCTATGCCCAGTTTAGTTTAGCCGTTGTTAATCAAATTCATAACAAGTACACCATTAAAAAGGGTAAATTTCCGCTTCTTTTTTCTAACGTGTCGAGGGAACTGCAAATGATATGTTTTGTGATGTTTGGTTCTGTTTGCGATTCCTTCCATTTGAAGATATACATCATTATTGTTTGGCTTCTTTCTATGTTGGGATGCCATTTTTATATTTGAGTAACTCGTGTTTCTGTGGGAAACTTTTATCTAATTCCAAAATTGTTCCCTTCTTTGTTTCACTTTCTCCTGTATGGCTTCCTCTCTGTACTCTTCGTTTTTTCTTTCCCTTATATGATTGAGAAATAAATGCTCGAATTAAATAGGTCACTTGTGAAATTATTTTAATATGTTGTTTAGTGAATTTTTTTTTTCTTTTTTTTTTTATATTACAAAAAATGTGTCAATGTTAATTTACATCTGGGATTTTATTATTTTTGGTCACAAACAGAAGGGACTATGCCTTTTTATTATGACCTTACATGAAGTGCAACAAATGTCCAATGATATTCACAATGAACTTTCTCGATGAATATTCGTATTCATTGACATGGCAGCCACTTGGCAGAAGATTTACTGGATTTATTAGCTTGCCTGTTACTAGATTCTGCCACATATCTGCCATGCCAGTGACTGAGATTCACTGAGAATTTTCGTTTCGTATATCACTCTCTAGCTCTATCATTGATTTGTGAATGAGATCTTTTTAGATTATACGTTAAAGCCTCTTCAATGCTTTAGAAATGAGCTCAAACTGAATTTACGTGTGAGGTCCTTGAGGTTACAAACACCGCCTCTACTGCCTCTCCGGCCCTCTCCCGCAAGATTTGCAGTCCCTTTATTTGTGGCACATCATTGATTAGTCCGATCTTAATTTTGTAAGGGTTTCCACCTTTAAGATAAATATCTGTCAGCATATTGTGTTTAGGGAATTAAACCAGTCGAATTGCAATTCCAAATATGGTGTTTTGTGCTGTAAAATATGAGAAATGGTAAGTAAGGTATCTACGTTTGTTGCCCACATTGGACACTAGAAGCTTTTGGCTGTAAGTCATTCTCCTTCCTAGTTAGTAGTAATGTGTCAAGAGGCAGAATGCAAGATGGAGCCTACATCATTTAAGTTATTAGGAAGTCTGAGCTTACATGAATTGCACATGCTGTGAATTGTGATGTTTGAACGTATTTGATTTGTCATCTTTAATTCGAGTTTAGGCATAAATGACCTTTCTGCCGTTTCTACCTGCGACTTTCAGAAACTAATATAATGTTTGATATTTTTATTCTTTTACTGATAGAACCATTTTGTGAATGCCTTGCAGACACCCAGCACCAGTTTAATCAACGGGAGAGTGACTGGGGTTTTACATCTTTTATGCCTCTTAGTGAACTTTATGATCCCAATAAGGGGTACCTTGTCAATGACACTGTTGTTGTTGAAGCTGATGTTGCTGTGCGTAAAGTTATAGATTACTGGACATATGATTCAAAGAAAGAGACTGGTTATGTGGGCCTAAAGAATCAGGGAGCCACTTGTTACATGAACTCTCTTCTGCAAACCTTGTACCATATTCCCTACTTTAGGAAGGTTTGAACATTCCCTTTGATGGTGATACTGGTGCTTAATTTGTGCAATGTTTATTCTAGATTCCATTTTTCTCACTTTGTATGTCCTACAACAGGCTGTATATCACATGCCAACCACAGAGAATGATGCGCCCACAGGAAGCATTCCTCTTGCGCTTCAAAGTTTATTTTATAAGCTGCAGTATACCGACACCAGTGTTGCAACAAAAGAGTTGACTAAATCTTTTGGTTGGGATACATATGACTCGTTTATGCAGCATGATGTGCAGGAACTTAATAGGGTTTTGTGTGAAAAACTTGAAGATAAGATGAAGGTATGTTTATAAAGCAATGTCCATTTTGTATGTTCATGCTTTGTGTGATATTGTTGTGAATTCTCTCTCTTTTCTTCTCCAGGGTACTGTTGTTGAAGGGACAATACAAAAGTTGTTTGAAGGGCACCACATGAATTACATTGAATGCATCAATGTAGACTTTAAATCTACCAGAAAAGAGTCATTCTATGGTATTCAATTGAACCAAGTTGGTTATTTGGTTTGCAGCATTTATGCTAAACTGAATTCTTTGCCTTGTTTATTTGGTTTGCAGCGTTTTTACTTAAACTGAATTCTTTGCCTTGTTGTCCTAGATCTTCAACTTGATGTGAAAGGCTGCAAGGATGTGTATGCATCGTTTGATAAGTATGTGGAAGTTGAACGTCTTGAAGGTGATAACAAGTACCATGCCGAGGAACATGGTTTGCAGGTCTGTTATTAGATCATTTGGGTTTTCTTATGGAAGATATGGTTGTGCCTTTCTTTTAGGTTTGATTTACCATGCAATGATCTACTCCTGGGTTATTAGGATTTCTTTTTTATTTGTTATTTTGTAAAAGATCCAGGAGTTTTTCACACCAAGGATTGATGTATGATTATTATGATGATCCACTATAGGTGATTTTTGAGGTTGAAGTTACCAAAAAAGTATAAATAATTTATTCCCATGAGTGTCTTTTGCAAAATCTCATATAGCTAAGAGCAACATCACTTCTTGATAGCTGGCAATCATAACTGTTTTTACCCTTCTAATCTAGAATCTATGTATAAGGAGTGGGTGATGATTTTTAGTAGTTTTGCGAGTGGAGCTAGATATTATTGTGTCCCTAGTCCGAGAGACTAGTATTGGTTATGCAGCTTGTTGGTTGCAAATTGTTTTTGTCCCTTGTGATGATTGATATAAGCAATTTTCATCTTCCTGCTGAAATAAATACATCTTAAGGATCTATTGCGTGCTACTTTCAGGATGCGAAGAAAGGTGTCCTCTTTATTGACTTCCCTCCTGTCCTTCAGCTTCAGCTCAAGCGGTTTGAGTATGACTTTATGCGTGATACAATGGTTAAGGTTAGTGTAGATTATTCCAACACTTGCAAGTATGCTTGATAAGAAGGGACTTTTTGTTGGTACTTATGCAGAGATGGAGGATGGACTATGTTCTATAACCTGTGACAATTGTTATATTTTCTTTTGGTTTGGTCGTGTAGAAGGATTGCTACCTTTAAGTTATGGTATTGCTGTGGTTCGAAGATTTTCTGGTTTTAATTAATTTCCTGTCCAGCAAATGAAATTTAGAAAAAGATACCACTATGAGCTTATTGGCTCTTATTTTTTACGCATGGTTGGTCTTATTTGCAGTAATTTTTATCTGTTTGGAACATACTGAACATACAAATATCTAAGATGATCTCTTCAAATGCACAAGACATGTTGGCAATCTTGCTTTGATTTTGAGTTGCAATCTTCTGGAGAAATTGAAGAGTTGGAGGAGATGTGCTTCACTCTGTTGATAGATGTATAGGCTATTGAAATATTTTGAGTTTTATGAATTATTATGTCAAATCTGCAATGCCTTTTCGTTTGGTCTCCATACTATTCTTGAAGGTGATTGATGATCTTGTTTGTACTTGATTCCGTGGTTAAACGGCTGATTTTAATGCAGATAAATGACCGATACGAGTTCCCTCTGCAATTGGACCTTGATAGGGACAATGGCAAGTATTTATCCCCTGACGCAGATAGGAGTGTCCGTAATCTCTACACACTTCACAGGTTAACTCAAATTCTTTCTAGATTAAATATTAAACCAAGGCAAGGAAGTGAAACAAGCTTTTTTTGGTTTGTTATAAATATGCCTTTTCCATTTAAGTTCCCCTTTGTTTTATATGCTTAATCCTGCTAATTACTGTAGACACTTTCAAAGTTTTACTTAAGTTCCTTTTACTTTTTAGCAAGTGTAATTCGGTTTGACCTTCCTCTCCATTTTACATTTCCCAGTGTTCTGGTCCATAGCGGCGGGGTACATGGTGGACATTATTATGCTTTCATCAGACCAACTCTATCTGATCAATGGTATGTATGAAATCATGCCTCACCTCTTTCCTATCTGGTGATCATATTCGTTTTGATTTCATCTGTGGTCATTTACTGGCAGTCATGTCTCTTCATGCTTGCATAATGTTGTACACGTCAAGCGACCTTTGAAATGCAATTTTGTTGGTTGCAGGCGATCTTTGTGTATTTTGTTTGTGTTATATACACATACATACAATTATATCTATGTATACGTTCTGCACACAATAATGCGTGCCTGAGTTTTGGTTTGTGCCTTGTAGGTATAAATTCGATGATGAAAGAGTTACGAAAGAGGATGTGAAACGGGCGCTGGAAGAGCAGTACGGTGGTGAGGAAGAGGTAATATGGCTTCGAGCAGTTTTATTTTTATTGCGCTAAGGTGTGGTTTGGGACTGATACGGCTTTGTGTCCAACAGTTGCCGCAAACAAATCCGGGCTTCAATAACAGTCCCTTCAAATTCACAAAATATTCAAATGCATACATGCTTGTGTATATACGGGAAAGTGACAAGGATAAAATTATTTGTGATGTTGATGAGAAGGACATTGCTGAGCACCTAAGGGTATGATCCTGAATCCTTCATTGCGTTGTTTTCTTTCCTTTTGATTTTTTCCATATACCGACGTATAAGTCATGGTATAATTTATTACAGATAAGATTGAAGAAGGAGCAAGAAGAGAAGGAGGACAAGAGAAGATATAAAGCCCAGGCGCACCTTTATACCATTATCAAGGTCATGATCTTGTTAGGACAAGTTTCTAGTGGTGAAGTGATTTTTTCCTCCCTCATTTGAGTAGTTATTGAATAATATTATTTATGTAGGTTGCCCGAGATGAGGATCTGAGAGAACAAATCGGAAAGGACATATATTTTGACCTTGTTGATCATGATAAAACTAGAAGTTTTCGGATACAAAAACAAATGCCTTTTAATCTTTTTAAGGTATGCAGGCCATATCATTTTTGCTGGTTGGACTGCTCCTCATAAGCCTCATGTTATAAGCATTTGATGTGCCTGTCAAAATTAAAATTAGCTTGTGCATCGCATGTCTTTGACCTTTTTCTTTATGAGGCGGACATAAAGCAGTTAAAGTCTTATCACTATCGAATTGATGATGTAAAATGTTCCTCTTTTTGTTTCTGGTTTACCTGAAATCTTCATCTACCACATCAGTGTAAAGCTGAATTAGTTGATGCTGAAAGCTGATGTGCTCATGTTCATTTGTTATGGATCATAGTAACTCATTTTTCTCATTTTCTTGGATGCGCAAATAGATAATGAGATAATTTCCTTTCTGCATGCATGAATAATGAGTTAATTACCCAAGTTGAGAAAAATTCATGTGTAATGGGATAATATCTATATATGATGTTAACTTTGTTGTTTCAGCTATGATTTGTAGTCTTAACTGTTTTTGAGGCTAATTACCCTATACAATTGACGACAGAATCATAACTTTTGGGTTTTTCCAGGAGGAGGTAGCCAAAGAGTTTGGCGTGCCTGTTCAATACCAGCGTTTTTGGTTGTGGGCAAAGAGACAGAACCACACTTACCGTCCCAATCGGCCATTAACACCACAAGAGGAAGCACAAACGGTAAAGGCTTTTTGACTTGTATTGCATTTATTCTTGAGCCAGCTCCTTCTATTCAAAACCAACCCGGGTTTTGGCATGAGTTCTGTTTCGTTCTTTCAATCATATCCATTGATTTTTCTAACTCATCCAACTATTTACAAATGCAGGTTGGTCAGCTGAGGGAAGTTTCAACCAAGACTCACAATGCGGAACTTAAATTATTTTTGGAAGTGGAGTACGATATGGTATGTACCATCTACAAACCATGTTGAGTTTTTTTCTTTTTTTTTTTTTTTTTTTTTTTGCAGACACTGAAAATGGCGATTAGTCATTTACATTCCCATATTGACGCTCTATCCTTTTTCAGGATTTACGTCCTGTGCCCCCACCAGAAAAAACTAAAGAAGATATACTTCTTTTCTTCAAGCTCTATGATCCTGAAAAAGAAGAGCTCCGGTAATTATTCATCACCCTGTACACTTATCTTAACTTTCGGTTGGAGAAAGCATTTTGACCTTGTGATTATATTTCCTATTTCTAGATATGTGGGCAGGTGCTTTGTCAAGAGTTCTGGAAAGCCAATTGAAATCCTGGGAACACTAAATGAGTTGGCTGGATTTGCTACAGATGAAGATATTGAAATTTTTGAGGTTTGGTTATCTGTGACTTATTCTGCACACTGTTTTCAGTTTGAAAATTGAATATATTGAATATTATTTCATGCTTAATTCAATTATGTTGCTCCAGGAAATAAAGTTTGAACCAAATGTAATGTGTGAACGGCTTGATAGAAGGTCTTCGTTCCGATTGAGTCAGGTACTCCTGAAAGATTTCATTTGTGTTTGGGAATGACATCACCAACTTTTCTCTTAAATTTTATTGGTCCTGACCTTAGTTTTCTTTTCCCTTTTCACCTGGTAGATTGAAGATGGGGACATCATCTGCTTTCAAAAGCGCCTTTCACCAGAGCGTGACGAACAACTTCGATATCCTGATGTTCCTTCATATTTAGAATATGTCAAAAATCGTCAGGTAACCTGCTCTTCTACTGTGGTATGAGCTTGGTTAAATCTCAGATATTCGAAGTTATGCTTTTGAAAAGATTTCCTTTCTTGCTCTCTTTATCAGTTTTTGCTGGCAGTGGAATGATGACAGTTGTTTAATTCATATGCATGGATCTGCTATGGTGTTGAATTAGTTTATCCAATGGACCTTACTTTATCTTCTGGAATGTGTCTAGTTGTATACTTATTTAGATTAACGATGTCGCTCGTTGGATTGTGGAATCACTCTAGAACGTATGTGTTTTTCAGGTTGTACATTTCCGAAGTCTGGAAAGACCGAAGGAGGATGATTTTTGTCTGGAGTTGTGAGTACTTATTGAGGCTTTGGCTCCGTACTTTTGCTAATTTGTATATGCTAATCCTATACTGATATGTGAAAATAATAGGGCAAAGAACCACACTTATGATGATGTGGTAGAGAGAGTAGCAGCGAAGCTTTGTCTGGATGATCCATCCAAAATTCGGCTCACACCGCATAATTGCTATTCTCAGCAACCAAAACCTAATTTCATTAAATATCGAGCTGTTGACCACTTGTTAGATATGCTTGTCCATTACAATCAGGTCAATTTCATGTAAATTGAATGCTTTGGCTTCACCTAGGTTCATTTTCTTTGCATAGTTAGTAACAAGTGGTTAACTTTTGCGCAATTTTCTTTTACAGATTTCTGATATTCTGTACTATGAAGTGCTAGACATTCCTCTGCCGGAACTGCAGTGTCTGAAGACATTGAAAGTTGCATTTCACTCTGCCACAAAAGATGAGGTAAGTCCTGAGATTGTAGGTACTGTCCTATGTTTCCAGTCAAATTCCTATTTTATTGTTCCTGATGTTTATTGTACCTGATTGCTCAGGTGGCAATTCTCAATGTTAGGTTGCCAAAACAGAGTACTGTGGAAGATGTACTCAAAGATATAAAAACAAAGGTGAGATTCGGTGTCTGCAATATCTCTGTGAATGTCAAGTTCACTTGGCGTTTACTTTCAGACAGTTCTCTTTCTGGTGTTATTCTGTCAAAGATATGGAATTTCATGAGTATAGACAGTGAATTTGTTAGTAGATAATGTAGCTTATTAAGCTTTTTGAAACAGGTGGAGTTGTCTCAACCAAATGCAGAACTTAGGTTGCTTGAGGTTTTCTACCATAAGATATACAAGGTAACGTTCTCATTCAAGAAACTGATTTTTGCTTACGTCTCTGTGATAGAATTTGGACGAGGAAAATGGTTTTTGCCTGGATGCAATTTATCCTTGTTGAGTGGCTCTGAAGTTGTTTTTGGTTTATGAAAGAAATTAGTTTTTTCTTTGAAGTTATTATTTAGGCTCGAATCTGGACCTGGTATATACCATGTCTTCATTTGGTATTTTTGTTTAATTAGACATTTTTTGGTTTATTATACTAGCTTAGGAGAGTGTGGGTTATAAAAGAGGGAAAAGCATCATGGTAGAGAAAAGGAACTAGAAATGACGAACTTAGAAGTTGAAATAGCATTTAATTAACAGCAGAAACATTTACTTTCTTAAGGAATGCGGAGAGTCGAAGGTAAGAACCTTAAATTGATAGTTTTCTCTGACGCATGACATGGAGATTGAAGTTGTGAGATGGGAATGGCTATGCTTAGGATCACCTTATTAAGATTCCCTTTTAAGGAAGGCTTTGTTTTCTAGTTCTTCAGATCCCCATACTCACAAATCCATTCAGATTTCTTGTGCCTGTAATGAAGCCTTTGCTTCTAATTTGTTGGCCTAGACTGTGTCTTTGTGGGGTGTCTTCTTTAATTGATGTATTCTGTGTATCGGATTTGGAATGTCCATGAAGCATTTGGTCTTGATTTCTTGCTATCATTTATTTAGATCTTGAGTTGATTTTATGGGTGATAGTTTGTTCATGATATAGTTGGTGGATGTAGCATTTTGGTTTCAGTTATTTCATCTGGGAGTGATGTGCCAATGTTGTCATTTGCTTGGCCTGTGCTTGTATAGGAATCTCTTTTGTTGGGCTGTTAGTAACATAGTGACATAGGTAAAATAGCTCAACAAAGTTCTGTTTAAGACTGGATAGTGTAGATTTTGGATGTGAGACATTCTAATTTTGTCTGTGAGGGCATCGGTATATTCCCATGTATTTCAATTGTTTTTTCCAATCCCTGCAATAGTCATGCTTGTATGTCTGAATGGTCACAGATCTTTCCTCTCAACGAGAAGATTGAAAACATAAATGATCAATACTGGACACTGCGTGCTGAGGAGGTTAGTGAGTGACTGCCCCGGTTGATGTGTTTGGAGGAAATTTATTTATTCATTTGGACGGGAGGAGGAAATTGATTAAATGCAACATTGATGAAGATTTTTCTGTTTCCCTTTGATTACAGATTCCGGAAGAAGAGAAGAACCTTGGTCCTCATGACCGCTTAATCCATGTATATCATTTTACAAAGGAAACAGCACAAAATCAAATGGTAATAAACCACGTTGAAACATTCAGGATTTTTCACCTTCATTGTCTTGTCATTTCTTTCCTGTCATTTATGATATTTTCTTTTTCCTTCGCACACAGCAAGTTCAAAACTTTGGAGAACCTTTTTTCCTGGTTATTCATGAAGGGGAAACATTAGCTGAAGTTAAGCTGCGCATTCAAAAGAGATTGCAGGTTCCGGATGAGGAATTTTCAAAGGTAATCTATCTGTCACAAGTCTTCTTTTTTTTTTTTCTCGTTTTCCTTTCGAATGCAGATGTTTTTCTGTTCAAAACCTGAATCTTTTGATTGACCTTGGACTAACTTTGCGGATTGTCCTGAATGATTAGTGGAAGTTTGCTTTTCTATCACTGGGGCGTCCGGAGTATCTTCAAGACTCTGATATTGTATTTAATCGATTTCAGGTCAGACTCAAAAGTTTTCATGTGATACATATGTTCTTTACTATATGCATGTGCTGATACTGTAATTACTTCATCTATCACGAATTAATATGCCTTTTTTCTAACCTAAGCAGAGGAGAGATGTTTATGGTCCTTGGGAACAGTACCTTGGGTTAGAGCATTCTGATACCACTCCTAAAAGAGCTTACGTAACAAATCAGGTAAATCGCATTGTACTTGGTAACTTCTCCATAAACATAGGCAGTTCATTGTTGGTGGGCTCTATAAAAAATCCTAGATTATGCTTAGAATTTTGGTTGATTCACAGTGCGTGTTTCTTTATTTGCAGAATCGCCACACTTATGAGAAGCCTGTCAAAATATACAATTAAGGGATATTGACAGGACCACAGGCCCAAGAGGTAGTATGCCTATCCAGAGTTTAAGTTGGAAGTGTAAAAAGTTGGGACTTGTTGAACATGAAAGTCAGGGAGAGGTAGCTTGAGGGTATCCATCTTTTTTTTTTTTTTTTTCTCTTTCTAGATCCTTGGTGATTGGGTGGTTTTGTAGGCCGAAATTCTTTGTGGTACTTTTTTCTTGGGGAAAGAACTTTTCTCTTAGGTCATGGTTGACATTGTTAAAAAAAATAGATGTTCCCCTTTCACCCTCTTTGAAGGCCCTTATTTGCCAGGGGACTGGGATCAGTTTGTTTCCTGTGTAGTTATTGCTACTATAGAACGATTTTGATTCAAAAGTATGTAAAGCTGAAGGGAGAGGTTGCTATTTCTCTTTGCTCATCATTTTTTGGTCATAATAACTAGTTTATGGTGCCCCTCTTTTGGTAGAGTACATTGTTGGTATATTATAAGGATGATACATCTGTAAGAGAAAGAGACGCTTCCAGTAAAGATCCAATATAAAAGCTCCTTTTTTTTCACTTTTATGTAATATTGTTTCTCTTGTACTTGGCAGAGTTATTTGTATATTATTATTGGAAGAATGCCCTAAATAAACAAGGCTACATGGGCAAGTTGCCTCTTTGATGGAGTGTTTTTCCTGTGTATGGAGACCTATATGCTTGCTTCGACACTGATGTCAATAGTTTGTTTTAAATTTTAAAGTTATTCTGAACTGACCTTAGTTGAAGCTCTACTAGCACAAATGGCAATGGTTGACTTTGGCGTTGTTTAAAAGCATGTGATATCCCTTATTCTTGGAACAGGAGGCACTAATATTTTTGGGGAAGATGCCAAAAGGGATTATTATGGCAGTATCTCTTCTCGTGCGTCTAAGCACAAAACATGATTTTGCTAAGGCTTATGTCCAGCTTCCTGTTGATTACAGTAAGAATCACGGACAAGAAAGCCATTGCTGCGTTCTGTATGTGTTGTACACTTGTTAGCGAATTATTTGCAAAGAGAAACATATTCTTATTATCCAGGCTTAGAAAAAGTTTCAAGGTGCACCCAGAAAGTCTAGCCAATATGGAGCCGAACAAGAATGGATTTTAATCCTAGTAAAAAATTCGATGTTAATGAATAATGATATGCAAACTTCAGCAAACTATACAGATACGCATTCTTTAATATCAATGTATAGGAGCATTTAAGCTACCAGATTCATGAGAAGGGAACGAATGTAATCAGCAATAACATTCTCTAAAGTTCTGCCGCAGCAGACAGATCAGGAAGAATGTGCTGTATGTTCTGCTAGCTTGGCTATGATAAATTGTTCAAGCTTAGTTTCTGACCGAACCCTACAGCACTCGGTAGTAAATTGCGCCACCTACTGGCTCCACAGCCATCCGGTTCATTTTTATTAGCAACAGTAGGTGAGATCTTGCTTTGTCCCCTGCAACAACATAGCTCTGCTTATCTATCATTAAGATTTTTGCCAGCAAAACAATCCTGACAGTACACTAAAGAATTGTTTTTTACAAACTCAGGAATAACAAAATAATTGGAAACAAACAAACTCAACATATTCTTCACTGCTGCGCAGTTGCAAATTTCTGAGAAACTATAGTGGATTACCAATGTTTTTATACATGAAAATAGACCAAATCTGGGGTTGTTTTCTCCGAAAACTTTAGACTGCTGAATGCAACATTAAGGTGAATTGGAAAAGGCCAGTTGACAACTTTCGTGAAGATTTACTTGTGATAGATAGGCTTTTTTATCTTCTTTCTTTATGGAGGGTGGGGGTTTAAAGTAAAGCAATGTTCTCAAACAGAAATTATGTACAACAATCTAAAACAATGTACCTAATCCAAGTGAGGGTATCTCATCCTGGTGGAATATGTCTGCATCAGCGCTCCTCTTTGCCAAGGAGGAATTCATCTTCTCAACGGCAGCCAGAAGTTCCTGGATACCAATTTTAAAAGTTCAACAACAGCGAAGATTCTCAAAGAAGCATCCAGTTCAGATCAGAGAAGAATATTGCCACACAACACTTGTTAAGTAGATTCACCTGACCTCATTTTAAGTTTGTTCAGGACTCTGGAATAGCTGACTGGTGTATACAAATGAACAAAATTTATGACTGTGAATGTGTAAAAAATTTTCTTCGGCTGATTACTGAACTTTTCAGTTTCTATTCAGGATCTTTAAGGTTAGCTGGCTACCAAGATAACAAGATGCTGCAATTGCAAAGACCTCATACAACAGGTGCTACAGTTCTTAATTCAAAGGCCACATCACAGGTACACAACTGTCTATTGACATCACTACTTTCTCCAAGAAGTGAAGTGACAAAGGTTGTTGATCAAGTTTAGTTCTGAACTGCTTTTCTCCTTTTTTTGGGTCCAAAGTTCCTCACTACTTTTACAAACATAATGAAATTATAATAGCAATACTATAGCGTCCAAACCTAGAGGCGTGTCTTTAATCTATAGCCAAGGTTAAGGATTTCGCTTAAAACTATAATGTCATAAGGTGTAATACCCTGAAATCAAGAAATCACAGACCAGGAAAAAAATATGAAATTTCCTTTACAACCAAAAGAACTTACCTCCCATGAAGCCAACCTCTTAATCTGCTCCGGGAGACTATCATAATCAACCCTCGACACATCTATCCTCAATTTTGATTCCTTGGATGGCAGTGGTTCGTCCAAAATATCTTCTGCTCAGAAATATAAGAACAATGGTCACACTCAGATTAAAGAATTTGAGATAAATTATTTTGTATCGGATGAAAGAAAAGCCTGCTGTGCACCTCTAATTTCTGGAAACAACTTTTCACTAAATTGATACTGTCCCTCGACGGTAATGCCACCATTAGCTGCTCCAGCAAATTATCAACATCAGGAAGATTACATCAGTAATGGTCCTTTAAGAAATGGTTAATCACATGAGAAGTAAATAGCAAGGCCAAAACATAGTTTCCTCAGAATTGAACTGACCTCCAGATGCTATAGTAGCAAGAGAAACATCTGAAAGCCCAAGGCTGTTTAGATTTAGAGAGTCATCTAACCTAGTAAAACGTTAAGTTCCACCCACCACGTAATCGATATGACCTATTTTCTTTCTGCAGATTTGAATTCCAATGAAAAAGCATTAAATTGGACTTGACATTCAAATGCATAGCTAAAGTATGAAAAAGTACAAAGAAAAAGGATACAAGGGATCATCAGGGAAGCCAGAGGAAGGCAGGGATGAACTACTGATACACGCATAGCCGTCCGAATCCCGCTCCTCTTCATCTTGGTCTTCATCAGTATCAACTGACAATTAAGCAAACAAGGATGATTATCAGGAAGCGCTCTAGCCCTAAGAAAACTTAAAGAGTAAAAAAAAAAAAAAAAATGGATTGAGAAGAAGAAATACCGGATGTGGGGACGTAGGCGGAATTGGAGATGAGATGTTGTTGGAGGGAAAGGAGGTGAGATTGATTGTCGTGGTAGACTTGGTAGCAGTGGCCAAGGAGCTCCTCGAACGACACCGTATCACAGGACATGGACTCGAGCAAGTTGAGATCAGCGCTGGCGGAGGAAACCTTCCGATTCAGACATTGTACGAACGTAGTCGATGCAGAGTCTTCCTCCCAACAAAATTACAATTCAACGTCTCAGCAGGATAAATAGGAGAATTTTTTTTTTTTTTCACAGAAATTCGGAAATACTAGAACATCATAGTAAGAAGAAATTGGGGGGAAGGAACGAACCGAGGGGGATGGGGCGGCGGTCGGCGGAGTGTTTGAGGGCGTCGCAGCTGGAATGGAGGTGGTTGCAGAACGCCGACAAGGTTTTGCAGAACTTTCCTACTACGGTGTCCTCCATTTTGCTTCTCCTTCCTTCGGAGTCGCCGCGCCTTTTTTCTTCACTTTTAATTTGAAATGCATCTGGGAATGCCTATGAGGCTGTGACTTTTTCTTTTTTTCTTTTTTTTTTCTTTTTTAAAGAAAAATTATTTTATTCATTTATTTGAGATGAGACTGAACTAAAATCACGAAAATCATCAGAGAGACAACAGGCGCCTGTAGCTCAGTGGATAGAGCGTCTGTTTCCTAAGCAGAAAGTCGTAGGTTCGACCCCTACCTGGCGCGAATTTTTTTCATTTTTATCCTTTCTTTTTTCAGTAGAAAATAAAAAACCTTGAACTTTTAATCCTCACTTTCCTTCTGTATCCAAATAGAGTTTAGTAGAAAATAAATACTACTCCATATTTAACATTTCACTCCGTACTATATTAGAAACTAAAATCAAATTCAATAGAACTCACCTCCTTCTAATATTACACATCATTTTTTTAAAAAAAAAAATAAAAAAATACGCATCTCCTTATCAAAAAACTAAAAATATTTTGCATCTAGATGCCACATCAGCTTTCTAGACTCCTAAGTTTTTGTTGTAATTTATGGAAGCTAATTTAGCAAACACCTACTCACTTACCCACTACCAAATTCCCGCCAAATATATATATATATATATATATATATACATATATATATATATACACACACACACACTACACGAAAACTCTACTAAAATCTTCTCACAATATCACAACAATATGTGCAGTATCTGCCATCATAATAAAATGTTTGTTCTACTTCTACTTAAATCTTCTACAACGTATCCATATAGATTAGTCAACGGTCAACCTTTCCAAGCTTCTTTGGGGGCCTGGAATTGATGTCCTTCGTCCGGGCCAACTTCATTGGTTGGAGGCTCTGATGGACAATTCTCTTGGAAGAGAGATTAACAAAATAGGTACTTACAAATAAAGTTTTTTTTTTGTACGAAAAAGGAGGCAAAAGCCTAGATTCTTACATTCTGGGGTATGCCACCTCTAGTACATCATGTTGCAGCCAAGGCCTGGCACCTAACGGAGGTGACACTAATCTTTGCAGACCAACCGGGCCCGAAGATGCTAAAGAAGCTAAATAATCGGCTACGAAATTCGCCTCCCGATAAACATGGTCAAATTCTACAAGCCAATCACAATGTAGTACTTCCCGAATCCCGCTTACAATCTTCGAATGAATACCTAATACTTCCTCGTCACCCTTCACCATCCGCACAACGCTTGAGCTATCCACTTCCGCCTTCACCTTCTTATAACCAAGATCCCATGCTAGTACTAGGGCTTGGAATAAACCCCAAAGCTCCGTACCAGTAATGGTACAAAACCCGACCTTCATCATAAAACCCCCCAACCATTTACCATGACAATCCCGAACAACTCCGCCCGCACAGCCCACTCCTATGGATGGATCAACGGTGCCATCAGAATTCACCTTCACCCAGTCAACCGGCGGTGGGATCCAGTGGATCCACCTTTCCTCCCACCCGACACAAGCTCCACGCATGGACTTCTCATATTGAGAAGCTCCTTTAATTCCCCCGACTACCTTCACAATCTACGTCACACGATGTATTTCACCAATGTCAACCCCTTCAAAAATTCGCCGATTCCGCCAGCACCATAGTCGTCAAGTTGTTACCCCAAAAATGCAATCCCAATCCTCAGGAAAGCCTTCAAACTTCCTATTAAGGTTATGCCAAAACCATTCTTCCAGCTGCAAAGTGAAGAAACTTTGTTGTCTACTCACCGGCACTAGTCGATGCCAAATCTTCTTCGCAGCCGGACAGTCACGAAGTACATGCAAGACTGATTCCCGATCAACTGCACAAAAATCACAATCAGCCGTATCAGAAATGTGACGACGAGACCTTTCATCGTTTGTCAGCGGCTTCTCCTTTGTCACAAGCCAAAGAAAATGACGAATACGCTGGGGACCCGTCCACTTCCATATTAATTTCCATAATCGGCTATTATTCGTGACTGGAGGAGGTGCCAAAGACCTGTATGCCGACCGTGTTGAGAACCTTCCATCCTCCGAAAAGCCCCAGTAGATACGATCCTCACCAGCTCCTTGTCGTGGCACATAAAGTTAACTCCTGATGTGTATGACAATTCGGTCATGCGTGAACTTCCTTTAGTTATAGATTCATGCATAAAAAGCTAAATGCCCTCTTCCAAATCATAAAATCACTAAGGTGCAAATGCAAGTGTTGATCATATTTGTCAATGGATCACAAATTTGTCCGGGCGTATAAAAGTGTTTCTTAAATCTGCACGTGATAGGTGAGGTACGACCACATGTCACTAGTATATATACTTATAATTACATTTCATTTAAAAAGGGAAAAAAAAGGAGGAGGAGGAAAAAGTACAATTACATAATTATGTTGCTCCCTGTAAAACTCTAAATCCTAAACAATGAAAATGTAAACACTAATGTGAGAAATTCATGTTCATCTTGCCAAGATCGAAACTGAAAAAGTTGAAGCCAAAAAGATAGTATGATCCTTACTTTACTACAGCTTATAATACAGAAGAGCGATAAATACTTCTTTCAGCTATTCCTCCAATTGATTACTCGCAAAACAAGCTGCAGCATATCCTTCGAGGCCGCTTCAGCCATAAGAAGATGCATTGCCATTCCAGTTGTCATTCTCCACCATTACCGAAATTTCATGGAGACCAAACAGTTTTCTTTCTTTTCTAGTTCAATTTACCTTCAAGCATAACGGCAGCCCTCTGAATAGCCCTGGCAACCCTCCATACCTCATGCTGGATTGCTTCCTGCCTCTTGTACTTGTCCTTGTCCGTCCACTTACTCTCCGAAATAGCATCAGCTATTCCAGGGAAGAAATTAAACTCACATTCACCATTGATCTGAGGCCCATAGATCTGCAGCACAACTCCTTACAGTAATACTATAATGAAATCAACATTCAGAAAAGAAAATAGGCAGTTGGAATCTTACAAGATGCTTGAACCACGCTGATCCACACAGCCCCTCTGGATCCAAGAATCCTCTTTCAGCCAACATTAGCCGATCATTTAGCATTCGCATCTTCATCACAGCGTCCTCAACCGTGGATTTATCACTAAGCAATTTCTGACAACCAAAAAGCAATCACGAGAAAGAACACAATAGCTTAAGAGCAAAGCAGCCTACAAAAAGCAACAATAAATATCAAATATGCTAAAAGCAACAAAATCCGGTTACTAAATAGAGAAGCAACAGGACCAAAGCAGGTGAAGAGGCAAGGAAGAAGGATCTCTTTCGAAGACAATTGTAGGATCATTAAACCACTTTTTGTAACAAATAGAAAAATTCACATGAATTGAAAAGGAAACCTTTTATTCTCATTCCTTATATGAAGCATGAAGGGGCAACTAGTGAGATGTTCCTTTCAAGCCATAAGTTAAGAAATTTTCAAATATGATGTCCTTATCATTGTTCTTCATGCAACTTAAGACCAATCCCCCAAGCCAACCTTACCATCTGCAGGAGGGGATCACCCCGAAGGTACTTTTTTCGTTGACTTATGTGGGAATCACGTAAACCAGTAAACAATATTTCTTTGTTCCTTTAGAACCTATCAAACCACATACATAGACAACAAAGTCAATTGTGTAAATAAAAAGTTTGTGTAACCTTTGATTCCTGAACAACTTCTGTAGCAGCAGCTCTAAAGTCTTGAATGGCAAGAGTGATAGGATGCAACAAGATATCCCCCGACAGAACAGTGCTCAGACTGTTAACATACTCCTACAAAAGTAGTTTCCAGTAAAGACTAGGTAGTTGATGGGTAAAATATAGATAGTTCTTTTAATAAAACTATGAAGACCTGCAATTGAGCAGCATATGGAAGGTAGTTGAAAGGTAAGATTGGATCATCAGCCAAATGAAGCGCAAGAAGTCCCCAGACACCACTAACTGCAGGACACAAATAAACAAAAGCAATATCAGCATAAAAGATAGCACCAGCACAAGTGACTTTTCATCCAGGAATATCAAAAAGGATCTACCAGCAACATGACGCTGAAACGAAGGATCTCCGACGTTAGCCATCCACTCATAGGAGTCAAAAGCAGTATGGTAGACAGGGAAATCTGGCAAGTAATAATGTTGTGATCGCCAAATGTACAACTCAAGTAAAATTGCTACAATATCACATTAAGTGAATTTCCTTTTTTGTCTCTAAACAATTAATAGATGCACACTATAGTAGGAATGTACCTCGGCCATAATACATATCAATACTAGGAACTCCTGCATGCTGTAAAAATGGAGCGAAGTCTGAATCGACTCCACTGAGTCTCTGTATCTGTAAACCCACAACATTCTATCTTAGGGCACAGATTACATCAGCCACATCTACATTTTTTGTGTCATATAATGGGCCATGAACCAACAAGCTAAAACTCGTACTAATAAGAAAATAGAGAAAAAATAAACTTACACTAAAACCTTCGTTGGTGACAGTAGATTTTTCAAAAATTGATATCTTATTTGAGTCAGGATCCGTAACCTGAAGAAGGCATGCAAATTATAGAGATCATTTGGTAGGAAATATATCCAAAACTGGCATGAAACCAAATTAACAAGAAATGTAGGGATCCCCTCCACAAAGCTCATACGTACTTTCTTTGTGACTCGAATCAGAAGATCATCCAGCTGAGGAGTTGCTCTGGCAAAGAAACCAGGCCCTTGAACAGCGCAATCTACATTGAGATAAGCTACAGCTTTGGCTCCCAGGTTCACCAGATTCTTTTCGACCCATTCGGTAGAACCAATCTGACACAGAAGCAAAAAAGAACCCAGTTACTTAGCAATTCCAGAAACAAGCTTCAGATACTAGTCACAAGGTTTGCGATATCAAAGAGTTAACCAGTAGAGAGTAGAGACAGCGTGTGACATCTACTTTGAAGTAGTGACAACCATGTGGTGTTTGAAATGACTAGACAAAATATTACCTACCATACCAAACTCTTCTGCGTCCCAGCTGCCAAGAATGATAGTTCTTCGTGGACTCCAACCCAATCGCATCATAAGAGCAAATCGGCGAGCAACATCAAGTAGAGCAGAAGTTCCACTATTTGGATCAACAGCACCATAAGTCCACGCATCTCTGTGGTTGCCCAGAAGTACAAAGCGATCAGGCTCTTCCAATCCCCTGATCACCACAAAAATATTATGAATTGTAGCCATCTTCTTCTCCCCCTGAAAAAAAAAAGAATTTTTCTTTTTTTGGTAAATAAAAGATATTTATTCAGTGCAAATATTCCTTGTGCCTAACATTTCTGACTATGATGATTCGCAGAGAACAATTAAAGCAAACAAAACGGGGACAATCCTGAACCTAAACAAATGGTTAATTTCGATCTGCAAATAAAGCAAAACTAAGGTATATCCACCCACTTACCTTCAATCACTGAGACTAGTGTAGCATTATGTACTATAATAGGATCTTATAGAGATGGAAGCTTAGATCCATCTCATGCTTTCTAATGAAGAAGAAAATTAATAAATTCAATCCACCTCACATTTTTTCTCACTTCATCTACCCCTGTTGTTAATCAAACTAGGCAAAAAGAATTCGAGTGAAAAAAGGGCCACTTGTAGTAGCTTAGCATAGAATAGCAGCATTAACTTGCTTGGCATGATCATCAAATTCCAGATATGCACTCAAGACGTAAATCCTTCCCACCTCAATGAGTACTTCATACACAATCACTGAAGTATAAACGAATATCAAAGGCCTCACCGTCAAAATCAACTTCGCAAAGTTCAATGTTGTCAAGCTGACCATCACAACCATATTCCCAGGCCAGATAAAATAATTACAATAAACAATCAACAACAGTTTGGTGCTAGTAAACAAGCAACAAAAGTAATTATAAGGCTGCCCAATTCAAGCAAAGGCTTCAAGAATAACCACAAACTCACCATATATGTAAAGTTAAGCAAATCCGGACCAGGACCAGCCCGCCCGAATTTATCCCGGCTACTTTTTACAGCTTCCCTCCACTGTTTAGGCACCCTGGACAGCTCCATTGATCCCAATATGATCTCAGCAGTATCAGCCGAGACCGGCATGGAGGGAACATTCGGAAACCTTTCCGTCACCAGCGGGTCATGCAATTTCAACCTCTCACCACCATCAACCCCAGCCCATCCGGGGCTTAACGGGTCCCCAACTCCCTTCATCACTGTTCCTCTCTCCACGCCTCCTCTAAATTCCTCTCCCTCGGTGTACATTAGCACCGCAGCCACTCCGTGCGCCGCCGCCTTCTCCACCGCGTCATTCCTCGACAACCCTCCGCCTCTCCTGACAATCCCAATGCATCCCTTCACTTCCACCCCGTTCTTTCCCAGCTCAGCATAGTCTTGGCCCCGGCCGTAATTCAAGAATACGGGCCGGCCTAAAACCGAACCCGACGGAGAGTAAGCATGATAAGGGGACACGACGTGGCGGCCAGGTGATAACCCGGGTTCAGATAGCGGAAGTTTAACCGTTGAACCGTTACGGAAGTGGGCCGTCAAGGATGAGTAAAGAGGGTAAGAGAGGAGTACAGTGTGGTTGGAAGTGTGGGTTTCGAGGCCGAGAGACTCAAAGTGGTTACGGACGTAAAGAGCAGTCTGGAGAGCCGGCGGCGTTCCGGCGAGGTGAGGGTGGAGGGTGAGGTGGCGGAGGTAGGTGGCGAGGGTGTAGTTGCTGGAGGTAGAGAGGAAAACGTCCTGGAAATGAAGGGCGTGGTTGGCCTTCCGCTGCGGTGTCACGGTGGAGGTGGTGGTGGCGGAGTGGTGGCGGGTGTTTGAAAATGTTAGGATGAAGAGTGTAAGAATAAGGAGGACAGGAAGTGTGAACTTGGAAAGTAGGATCAGATTGGGTTTGATGATGTTAGGCATTTGAAGAGACTGAACCGAGGGCGGCGGCGGCGTCAGTGGTGGTGGAATGGTGGCGAAATTTTTGGTTTGCAGAATTTGTAGTAGTGTTCAGTTTCAGTTCAGTCCAGAATTCTCATAATCTGTGTGTTATTTTTTTGGTGAGCAGGTAATGTATTTATGTCGAATAATGGAACGCTAATTTATGATTTTATGATAAAGCAGTTACATAATTTAGTATGGATTGTATAAATATATTGTATTTGTAGTGATGAGAACATTTATAGTACCTTTTAGCGTACACTGGGATTTGGGAGAATTAACAAGATTAGAATTAGTGCTATGTTGTTACCGAGACAAATTTGTGCCGTTTTAGTCTTCTTATTATGAGATTGATTTAATTAATTTATTATGACTGGTTAGTTTGCCTTTAGTCTCCAGCATCTTCACCTTTTATATTCACAACATTCGTTTGTTCTATCTATATTATAGTTGAAAAAGTATAATGACAAAAGACAAATACACCATACTAACTAAATATGTATACTTATTAATTAAAATAAAATTGTACTTTTAGAAAAAAAATAAAATTTTAACAGAAAAGTGACAAAAAACTAGAAGCCAAGACAAAAATTTTCACTAGATATATATCATTTTCCTTTTTAAAAATTACAATGAGTGATATAGTTACAATCAGGGCGGACGCATATATAACTCAGCTGGGTCAATTGCCTCAGCTAGACATTTTTTTTTGCTTATTACCCGTTGATATTTTGTAATTTTTTTGCAAAAATATTACTGTTTGCTCTATCTAAATTAAAATTATTAAGGAACAAGTATGTTAAATTAAGATTTTGAAAATTTTGCCCCACCATATCTATAGAGCCTAGCTCTGCCGTTGGTTACAATGATTTGTTAGAACATTTTCTTTGTAATCTTCTCAATCAATTGGAGGTAGAGACGGCTAGATTGTTTTCCATAAAGAAAAAAGAACAGGAGTGGTTATATTAAACGTTTGGGATGTGATGATGCATGCATCAGGGTTTAAAAAAAAAAAAAAAAAAAGAAATGAAGAGAGGAAATTTCATTGCATGGAAGAGGAAACAACAAACTCGATTGCGTAGAAGACAAAAGAAAGTCTTGCTCTTTTTTGGGAAGAAAGCTTTTCGGTCTTCTACTTTCGGAGTCTGCAAGGCTCATATCCTGTCTAGTGTCAAGTCTCTTGTTTCATTTAATTTATCTCAATAGTCTTCTTTACATTATGATGTTCCAACACTAACCACAAATTTCCCAGTTTTTGCCACATAGCTTCTCACAAATTCGATTGCGTATTACGATCAAAGTTCAGTCATTACTGGAAATTATCGAGTAGTAGTTACATCACTATTTCAGTGGTTTGATGCAATTTCTGAGAGGCTCAACTATTTCATTCACCGAATTCGGAAATCGTTCGTAGTCTTTTTTTTTTTTTTTAATTTTAATTAACAAAAAGTAACATAAATGTACAGTAGAGCCAATATATTTTATTCTCAGCATCCATTTCAAATGCTGATTGCGGAGAATTGGCCAATGTGTGGCGTTCAGCGCATCAGGAAAAAGGCAAAGTGACAACAACTTTATGCTTTATCCATCCATTGCAACCTACATGGAACCAAAATCAATCCACTTTGGAACAAATACGCACTTCATGCCAAGCAGCCAAAGTCACTCTCGAATCCCTGTTGTGGAACTCGATGGTTTGATGAGTAGGAAAAGCATTGGATTTTGGCTGGCGCCCACCCCAACCATTCTGCTCATTCACCTTAATAAGATAGTAGAACCCAAAGCAACAGCACAACACAATGACTGTTACCCACCGCCAAAACTTCCATAATACTACCTACCATTTTCTTGTCGGGGCTATGCAAGTATCTATCTCTTCTTACTTCTTCTCCCCAGCCATACACGACCGACAATAGGTCGACTTAGTCGTGGACAAAGTTCCAAAACCAAAAGTTGGGTACTCCAAATAACAAAGACATCCAATCACCAGTGAAATGTTTATGACTCTTAATGCTAATTAAATGGAATTCAATTAATCTTGTGAATAAAACATACATGAACGTCAAAATTTACAGTAATTTCCTCCAACTAACCAATTTAGTATTACAGTTTAGCTGAATGATGTAAGCCTCCCTTCATTCCCTACTTTTATGTATTACAACATCATGGGAAGAGGTTTTGATCTCAGCATCGCTAAAGTTTCTTGTAATGCTTTTGGGCTACTTCTTCTTACATGAACTGGAACCCCCAAAAAAAAAAAAGAAAAGAAAAAGGTGTTTCAATCTCCACCCTCTAATAATTCTCACTTTTGAATGCAAAAAAAAGATCAAAAACCGCATTCGGAGACCTCTTCTCATTTCAGCTAAAAAGACTACTGACCTTGCTTGGTTTTCTTTGTTATTCAGCACTTGCATGCTTTCAAAGTACAGCTCCTTCGAAGATGCATCATAACCGCTCGAAACAATAAGGTTGGCAGAGGCAGTCAATAGCGTGCATCAGCTTTCTTCGTGGGCCGACAGCTTGAGCACCCATATCTTTGAGCTTCTTCATGGTTAAATTAGCAAGCTGAAATTTATTTACATTCCTCTGCTGAAACAATTTCACAAAGCGTTGAAGGCCAATGGATATCAGCCAATTGTTCAAACCACCAGCCCTTTGAAGCTTTCTCTCAATATTAGAAGCCCTCATTCTTGCATTCATTGTCAACTGCCCATCACCAATAAGCAATGCTTGTTTCCTCATTTTTATAGCTTTGAATGTACCCATTGAATGTTGAACTCTGACATTGTTAATTTCTGGATTCTCAGATGAAACAGAAGGCCGCCTTTGTTTGGAAAGCTTTGGGACCAGATGAGAGTGCAGAGGATGAACCGCTTTAGCAGTTGGAAGGACACTTTCCGGAACTGGTGAAATGGATTTATCGTGTTCTGAAACAGAATGATTCTGGGAATACAATTTATCGGTACATTCCAACTCTAAATTTGTCTTGCTTCTCAGGCTCACTGGTGGTGCATGTTTGCCTGAATCAGGGGGCACTATAAGCAGCTCAGTCACTGGTAATGCTGGTATGAGAATGGTAACTTTTTGCTTCTTGACGACCACCCAACTATTCTCATAATGGAGGTCTGCATCTTGGGCAACTGACCTTCTTTTCTTTCTCGTAGGTGCAGGAACAAGTTGCCGCTGCTTCTGCTTTGCCATTTAGCAGCAAATCTATACAGTATTTGGACAATGTGGACGCTTTAATTTTGAGAATATGATAGTAACAAATATTCATCTCTAACTTGCTCATTCCAATCACAAGCATATCAATTTTGGCTGAGTTCTCAGATCTCTAACCAAGTGACACAAAAGCAAATAACATGCTCCTTGATTAAAGAATACTTGACAATAAGGAATTCTCTGACATAAACTGGACTCAGAATCTTCTAATTCAAATTTCAGAAATACTAATTCCCAAATCATAAACCAAATAGCTGATAAACATCTCAACAGAAAACAACAAATTTTGCGGTAAAACCGATTAAAAAAAAAAACTTTCTAGAGACATGAAAATGCTCCACAAATGACACTATCAAGTTAAGCCCAAGGATCGAAGTAGATGACTTTCCTCCTTTCTATGTTTTACTATTCAGAGCAATAAATCGTACCCCCTCCGTCCCAAAATTATTGTCCATATTGGATTTTCGTTTTTAGTTCAAATTGTACTTAAAGTGAAATCTCAAACTGGACAATAATTTTGGGACAGGGGGAGTAATGCACTCTCAATACACTTTGACTTGACTGCTCCTCTTATCTATAGCAAAACACAAATATGTTCCTGATGTATGTTATCTACTGTAATTGGCTTTTAAACTCCTAACCCATTGAAAACAACTATTTTCCAGTTCCATGGGAATACTGAATTTTTAGCTGAACTGCTTGCACTGTGTTCTTCCATCAACAACTGAAATTAGGATGATTTGAAAAAACACACTAACATCACTCAACCCCACATAAAAGTATTCACCTTTTAAGGATGGTTTTTAAGAATGGAAACGTAGGTTCCGAAAGTTTGAATCGAGATTCAGTACAACCAAACACAATTCCTTAGAATTAGGTTTAGCAGTAACCCAATACAGGGAATTACTAAATGTGCGGGGATCAACAACATATTGTCGCAGTGCAGAAAAGGATAATAAGCGCCGATTAAAATTACCGATGGGATCAATATCCTCAGCACACTATATGAACAGATGAAACTACAAGCGGCGCAAAAAAAATAGAAGCAATTCTCAATAATCAAAAGAAACAATAACTAAGAGGAGGAAGTTTCAGAAATGCTCACTCTGCGTGAATGTCTTCTTGTCGGAGTCTTAAGCTTTGAGGAAAACCGCAGGATGAAAGAAAAAGAAAAGAAAAGTGTCGGGTTCTTCTATGTTTATTCGCTCAACCATATGGGCTTTAAGTGGCCAATGGATACCCAAATACGTTCGTGGGCCTAAAGGATGGACTGATCGTGAGGCCTATAATCACTACAGTATATGTGAAATATTTTTGATGATTTGACCGAAAAGTATAGTAATATCTATGTCCCAAAAAACAATCCATGTATTTTAACTTTATTTTTCGTGGCCGTTTCGATCAATTTCTTCAAATTAGTTCTCAACTTTTTACTAGTAGAGATATCAAAAACTGATAAAATTCCCAACAATTAATAAATCTTCAATCTCGTAGTAGCGGAGTGGAGCTTGAAATTTTTAGACATTTATTGTATAGTAAAAAAACATATCAAAACTTTTTTTTTTTTTTGGTTAATAGTATATCAAAACAAATTCTTAAAACGTACTATAATTGATACAGTAGTTCTTTGCAGTGAAATAATCCCATGTTGCTTCTATTCCCATTTACAGTATAGAGCTGGCCCAATTCAGTATCCTTAATTACTCCCACCACGGGGACCCCATTCAACGTCGTTATCGGAAATTAGCCCCAATTTTATCCGAAATCACACAAATAGAGATTTACTACTCCAATTAAGGAGTGCTAGGCCCAATTTCATGGCCCTTTAACTGGTTTACACGTGGGCTCCATGCAACGTCGGTTGCGGCTATTCTGGTCAAAAAGTTTGTTCACAGTTTCAGCGATTTGTGTTGTAGCTAAATACGACTCTGCTTCGTAAAAGCAAAAACTAAATTATGACATGAATACAGCAGCAACCAAAATTCCAGCTGCAAACGCGCGTATCCGTTGGTTTATAAATTATCGAATACAACTATAATTCCGCTTTTTTCCCCCTTTTCACCAACTTTTTTTCGGCGATTCAACTGTTCTTCGGCAGCATCCCGGATCCTGCCTTTCCTAACACTAACCTAATAAAGAAACCTAAAGCAGAGCAGATTTTGTTGTGGTTGATGAATCAAATTAATAGTCGTGAGATCCCTTTTGGGTTTTGTGTTTAGATTAGGGACTGAATTAATCAATATGAAGTTTGGAGAGACATTTACAGAATATCTTAATGGAGATCAAGAAGGGTTCTTGGATCAGTTTTCCCACGTTGAGTACAAGAGGCTCAAGAAAGTGCTTAAAAGTTGCAGGACCTGTCGAACCTTAAAGGGTTCTTCCGAACACCAGCAGCTGAAGCAGACGCAGCAACAGCATCATCATAATCGGGATGGGGGTGCTGTTTCCTCTGAGTTTTGCCAATGCGAATCCTGTCCTTGTACGCAACAATCTTTCCGCTTATAATTTCTTCATGATTTCGGTTTCTTTAACCGTTGAGAAAAGTTGGGATCTTTATTAATTGCAACAAAATATTTTTGGAATTGATTGTTAATTATGGGCATGCAATGTGTTAATTCGTGTAGTATACGTGTTAAGATCTGTAGCAATTACATGCTTTCTTGCTCACTGCCCTGCTCAGAGGGAGCAGATGTGTTTAGTGTATACTAATTTTTTAAGGGAATGGAAATTGATTATGTGGAACTTGTAACCATAGGATATATTTCCCCATTTAGGGCAAATGCAAACTTGTGTCCAACCAATCATTGCCATTCTACGTATGGTATACTAGTCTCTGTCGTTAGCCTGGTGTTGTAACGAATATACATTTTTTACTTTATATACAAATAATTTCGCGTTTTGTCAAAGATTTAGATGCCCTGTATCGTAATGTGTGTGATATGGTTTTGCTTCTCTTTGGTTCGTGCTATTCTCGGCCTCCTTGAAAATGCAGAAAATACTTTTTTCATATTTAACTTCTGATTTTTGTTTCCTTGAAAATCTTGTAGTGTGTGATGAGATGTTCTTTTCTGAGTTGAAGAAAGAAGTTTCTGATATAGCGGGTTGCTTCAGTTCCAGAGTGAGGCGCCTTCTCCATCTTCATATGGCTCATGGAATGCAAAGATACATTGCACGGTTGCGCAAGTGTTTTAAGGATGACCAGCAACTCTTGGTACAAGAGGGTCGGATGCTAATTGAATACATCACAATGAATGCTGTTGCCATTCGAAAGATCCTGAAGAAATATGACAAAGTAATTGTGATTGTTTAACCTTTCTCTGTTCAATAACACGTACCAGCTTCTGTATTATTTTAGCTGCCCCATTGTTATTATTATTATTATGTTGTTGCTGTTGTTGTTGTTGTTGTTGTATTATTAAACTGTTCTTCTTACAGATACACAGTTCGGTGAATGGCATGAAATTTAAATCCAAGCTGAGGGAGGAACGCATAGAGATTCTGCAATCACCATGGTTAATAGAACTAGGGGCCTTTTATATGAATTTCAGGGAATCAAATGGTGGAGAGTCCAATGAATTCCAGAGTCCATTCTCCTACGATCTCAGAACTACAGATGCCACAATGACATTGCTGCTTCCAGATTTGGTCAAATTAGAGTATAACCTGACATGTCCAATATGTTTGGTGAGAAAGTACATTCGTTTGAGATTCACGGGAACATATTAATTAATTAGAAGATCCATGTATACTGATCAGTTAATTATTTCTGTATAGGAACTCGTTTTCAATCCATGTGCTTTAAGCTGTGGGCATCTTTTCTGCAAATCTTGCGTTTGCACTGCAGCTTCTGTGATGATTTTCGAGGGTCCCAAAGCTGCAAGTCCAGAATCAAAATGCCCAGTTTGCAGAGAGGTTGGTACAAAAATTTCAACTAAGCTATAAATTCACAACTACATTATCACTTATAGTTTATGAGTAATATGGAATATGTTTAAGTGATTAAGAATTTCACACCTTTAATTAGAGAGATTGATGTGCATATTAATAATATTTAAACAAGCATTCACTAAGCTGCACTGATGATAGACAGTTTCTAAAGAAATAGTTAATGGAGATGACCAAAAGGACCAACCAGGAAAATGATTGCATCTTCAATTTTCTAACTCATGCCTTGATAGACATTGTTAGTCTGTTTGGGTTTCCTGCAAGTTCTATAGTTTTTTTAAAGTTACTAGGGATTTTGATCTCCGTGTATGAAATTGTTGCAGGTTGGGGTTTATGCAAATGCAGTACACATGGGGGAACTAGATTTGCTTCTGAAGAAAAGGTAAGTTGTAAGATTTTCAGTTCATGAATTATGAACAGACAATTCTGCAGTGCTTGGGTTTAGATTCTGACTAGCATGGGTGTATGTATGCATCTCCAGGTGCAAGGAATATTGGAAGGAGAGACTGACTGCCGAACGGGCTGAGATGGTGAAGCAGTCTAAACAATACTGGGATATGCAGACCAAATATGTGATCGGATATTGATTGCTCGAGTTAAATAGCCTAGCTACTTGGTTTTTGTGGTGAAGATGGTTCACTACATATAAGATCCTCTGACCCAAATTTGTGTGCCCCTGCTAATCGACCGTGGTTTAGAGATATAGAAATAAACTATATCATCTCAATGGCACTTGCTATATGATATGCACTTACTAGTGCCATTGCAACTTGCAAGTGGTATTAAGATGATTTGGATGCTGGCTTCAATAAGGAATGAAAGAAGTTGTGGAATAAAGGGGTAGTGTGACATGGGCATGCTGACCTTTGTCGCGTTGATAGGAAGAAGATTCGGTCCTTGTACTCCTTGTATTTGTGCGCCAGAGGTATTCACGAGTTGAACCACATGACATATAACAAAAATGTCATCAATCTTTTTCTTTTTTTTCGAAAACGAATGTCATCAATCTAGCTTTTCACTAAAAGTTGTACTCCGTGTATGTTTATATTTTGAATAAATTAAGGAAAAAAAATAAAGTTTGCACTTCACCGTAACAAGGTTTCTGCTTAAGCTTAATTAAGATATACTGAAATTCTTTTTTCCGAATTAATAAATTTTAAGAAAAGACAAACAAATTTTAAGGTTAGGACAGCTTTAAGCTGGTTGGAGCAAGTTAGGATGGTAATTTTGCATTCACTATTTTATGCCTCATAAAATGTTCATTATTACATCAGAATAAGATCAGCCTTTATCTAAAAGGAAAAATGGTAGAGAACTAATGTACAGTAAAACTTCTATAAATTAATAGTGTCAGAACCACCAAAATTTATTAATTTAAAAAATTATTAAATAATCGATAAATTAATAATTATTAATTTAAAGAATTTATATGAGAAAAAAGACGAACCCTCATTTCATAACTTGCAATCAAATATCAAAACTCTTCTAAATTCTAAATGATCTATATATAGTCCCTATCTTCTATAGAGAATAAAAAAACAAGTATCAATAGTTCATATTCTGCTAAATATTTGTAGTTATGATATTTATTAATTTTTAGTTTTGTTGGGACCTATAGATGTATAAGAGATTTTTTAAAATATTTTTACCTTATTATTTTATCGATTTTCTTCACTTTTTGTAACGATCCCAAGTTGGGACTGAAAAAAATTATTAATTACTCGAAATTATTAATTTATAAATTATTAATTTAGCGACGTGCTACCGTAGTTATAAAACTAGGAGCTGCAAGCATTCAAATAATGGAATACGTACAATTATACAAATGGGATAGTTAGCGGGGCTCAAAAAAAGTAAAAGGGGTTAGGATTCGCTTTGCCTATGTAATCAAATGATAGACACTAATGTAATAATAATTGGGATAAAAATCAAAGCAAACTAAAGATGTAATATTTGCAATGTAGCAGCGGGCAGCCCATGGTATCGTATGGGGGGTTGTCCGACTGGTGTTGTGTCGTCTAAAAATTCTTTCTTTATTGGAAAGATGCTGATGATGATTGAGTGGAAATTTCAATCATATTCGTGTATTTGTTAATCTTTGTTTTTCGAAACGACGCTGATGATGCTGAGTGGAAATTGCAATCATATTCGTGTATTTGTTATCTTATGAAATGTCATCTTTTTTTTAAGTAGTGGGGACAAGATGAAACGATGTTTGGACTCCAACCCTATCCAGCCACGTTCACACCCTTTTTTTTTAAAAAAAAAAATCTCTTTCTATAGCATAACAAGCAACCCCTAATCACATATTTAATTATGCAAAACACACCAAACTTAGCATATTTAAGTCATCATATTTGTATATTTTAGATGTATTCTTAATTTTAACTTTTAACCAGAAGTGGTCATACAAAGGAGGCAAGGAAGGACAATGATGTGGTGTGTAATTTTATATATTTATTATTACTATTACCCCCGCACATAGATAAAAATGCAATTCAATATAGGTTGGAATATTGTGAACACTTCCACTTTCATATCTACAATTACCATTTTTATTTATTTTATTTATATTTCATGATTATTCAATTTATATATTCAACTGGACAGTCATTTTATGACAACCGAAATATACAGTATTATGTAATTGACAAAATATACTAAATAACTGCCATTAAAAAAAAAAGAAAAAAGAATGGGTGAAAAAGTGGTGTGTGTGTAAATTTGGCGGCAGACTAATACCCGACATTTGGACATCATGTAATTGACCAACCAAACCCCCAAATAAGCATCATCATGATTAAGTAAAACCCAAACTATAAGACTAAAAGTTAATGGTGTGGTTCGGTAACTTAACTAACCAAAACAAAAACAAAAAAAAAAAGAAGAAAGGAAACAAAACGTGTTGATAAATAATGCCAGCAGCCGGCGGTTAGGAACATTTCCAATCATCTTTACCAATGCAGCCTTCCACTCTGAATCAAAGAAAAGTATAGTAGTACTCAAAATAAATAAAAATCCCATCTCCAAAATTAAGAAAAATGTCCTCTCATTCTGGTGTAAATCTTGAATCCAGCTGTATTACTACTAAGCTCCTCACATCGTCGGTCCATTTAATTAACATTATTTACAACTAATTAATGTTATACCTCGATTACTTCCACCTCTCCGCCCTCTATATCAAAGTGTTAATTGAGTGAATCTATCAAGTAGTAACAGTGATGCAGTGATCACAAATAATACGTCATACTTTTTCTCCAATCTAATGTAGTGATTGTTGAATGAGTATATTGTTGAAATATTCAAGTATTAACAAATTAACTAGTATATAATACTCCTAACAATTTTATTTTATTTTGTTGAATAGTAACGGCAGTAATAGATGGTGATAGTTCACCGGATTATGCTATAACTGAAAAAAGAAAGAAAAGGAAATTAAAAGAGTTGAAACTCTTTTTTTTTTTTTTTATAAGAGAAATGAAAGTCTAAAAAATTGTCATTAATTAGGTGACATTCCAAAATGGCTAAAAAAGAAGGGGTCCATTTACAACTCATAGTTTGATTCCCTTTGGTTCTAAAATCCGCTCTGACAGCCTACACTGACACCCAAAAATAAACAAAGTCAAAACCCCCCCAAAAAGAAGAAAACATCTTTCATCTTTCCTTTCTTCTCCGTCTCTAATTCTTTTTTTTTTCATAATTCTATCATCATACTAGTGTTTGATTTGCCTTAGCTTCAAGGTTACCTTTCATCGTATTCACACAGTTATTTTACACCCAAATTCCCTACTGTATTCATCATTCCAAAACCCATTTGGGAATTTGATTGCTTTTATGGCCGTTTCACCACCGGATTCATTCCCGCCCAGAAAACGGCGGCCCGGGTACTTTTTCCCAGACAAGAATGAGAATCTGCTCCACTCCCTCTTGCTTCTCTCCAAAGAAATCAGCTCCTTTCTGCCCCACGAATTCCTGTTACGGCGCACCTCCGCTTCAGCCATCCGGAAAACCCGGCTTCTCTCCGTCTTATTCGAAGACCTCCTCCAATCCTCTGCCCCCGTTTTCCCGCCTTCCGCCGCCTTATGTTTTGAGGAATTGTTCTTGCTAATCCAGCGAATTAAATCATTGCTGGAAGATTGCTTCAATTCTAGTAACACCTGGCTCCTGATTCAGAGCCAGTCCGTTTCCGCTTCCTTTCACGATATCACTCTGGAATTGTCCACCATCCTGGACGTCTTCCCCGCCGGTGCCGGAAACCCCCTGAATCTCTGCCGGGATGTTCGAGAATTGGTGGGTCTGATTAGGAAACAGTGCTTCAAGGAGAAGGGAGCTTATCACCTAGATCCCGAAGATGAGGTTCTCCGGCAACAGGTCCTCGAAATGCTGGAAACTATCAAGGAAGAAATCGTTCCGGATCATTCCAAACTGGCCCACATATTCGAGAGCCTCGGACTCCGAGATTCCGCCGGTTGTCGGGACGAAATGGAGAGCCTGGAGGAGGAGGTCGTCAAACAAACCGACCCGAATTCCAAATCCCGGGTCGTCGCTCTGATTGGCCTAGTTCGTTACGGTAAGTGCGTCTTGTACGGAGCTTCCACCCCGTCGTCGGGTGGATTCCGGCGGAGCCGGTGGAGTAAGTCGGCTTCTTTTGATTTGAATCATGTTCCGGCGGATTTCAGGTGCCCCATCTCCTTGGATTTGATGCGGGACCCGGTCGTGGTGGCGACCGGTCAAACCTACGACCGGCAGTCCATCGTCCAGTGGATTGAGTCCGGTCACGAGACGTGTCCCAAAACCGGTCAACGGCTTGCCCACACCGGTCTCATACCCAACAAGGGTCTCTACAACACGATTGCGGCGTGGTGCCGGGAGCAACGGATTCCGTTCGAGCCGGCGGCCGAGACCGTCGTGAAGTCAAACGGCGGCGCGAGGGTGGGTGGGGTCAACAAGGCGGCGCTGGAGGCTACGAAGATGACGGTGTCGTTTTTGACCGGTAGACTCGCCGACGAACAGCCCGTGGAGATGGCGAACCGGATAGTTCACGAGCTTCGGGTCCTAGCAAAGACTGATTCCGACAGCCGGAGCTGCATCGCGGAGGCCGGAGCCTTACCTTTACTGGTCAAATTCCTAGGTTCGGAGCAGCCGAGCCTGCAGGTTAACGCCGTGACAACCATTCTTAACCTGTCCATTCTAGAAGCGAACAAGACCAGGATCATGGAGACTGACGGCGTCTTAAACGGCGTGATCGAGGTCTTAAGATCAGGTGCCACCTGGGAAGCCAAAGGGAACGCGGCGGCTACTATATTTAGTTTGACCGGGGTCTATGCGTACAAGAAAAAGCTAGGTAGGAAAACACGTGTAGTGAAAGGATTGGTGGAACTGGCGAGGCACGGGCCCGCAGGCTCCAAGCGGGATGCCATGTTGGCCATCTTGAACCTAACTGGAGACAGGGAATCCGTGTTGAAGCTGATTGAGGCTGGAGTGGTGGAGATGGCTGCGCAAGTAATGTCGTGTGGCGGTGGCGGGGTATTGACGGAGGATGCCGTGACGATACTGGAAATGGTGGTGAAGAAAGGCGGGTTGATGGCGGTGGCTGCTGCATACAATGTGATCCATGTATTGGCGGTGGCTGCCCTGAGAGAGGGCAGCGACAGGGCGAGAGAAAGCGCCGCGGCCACGTTGGTGAATATGTGTAGGAAGGGAGGATCAGAGATGGTGGCAGCATTAGCCGCGGTACCTGGAGTGGAGAGAGTGATATGGGAAATAATGGGAATGGGAGGGACTGCCAGGGGAAGGAGAAAGGCGGCGACATTGTTGAGGCTTCTGAGGAGATGGGCTGCAGGGCTAGATGATGGACAAGAGCACCGTGGAGATGACACTAGTACTACAAACGTGGATATGATTAGTGTTGCTGCTGCCACTTCGAGTACAACTTCAACCCGAATAATTTTGCCAGGCTGATGATATGACTTGTGTCATCATCTCAACTGTGATTTATGATTTTGATCCATTCTTTCATTCTTTCATTTGTTTTTCTCTTGTAAACAATTCAATGCCACTGATAGGTCCATACTGATCTAAGTTGTGTCATGATTGGATTTCAGCTTTGTGTTTATTTATATGCCCGTACTTCTTGCTTCTTTTTGTCCAAATCATTCAAATGTTGTCCTCATTTCAAGCTTAATTGCTCTTGGTTCCTGTCATACAAGCTGATTTTTTAGTCATTTGGCTGGAATCTAATGGGCGAGTCCGCAGTATCATGACTTTGATAATGCTGTGAATTGGCTACTAGATTCATACTCTGATCCCGCTGCTTTAATTCATGTTATAACTGTTCAAACTTGCAAACATTCGGGGTCCGATAACTTGTAATAATCATTTTGTCCTTGAAAAATCTTCCTTGTTTCGGCATCAACTCATTTTACATTTTCACTCATTTTACCTCTTAAACATAAAACTCAATAAAAAAGAAAATATCATCCAAACAACTTTATGATTTGCATTTTAAATTCCAACTTGATACACTTTTTGTTAGTGTAATAACCATTTTAGAACTAAAAATAGTTCAGTGACATATTTGGCAGGATTCCGTTGTTGAGTGATTGTTTTCGGAAAAGTTCTTTTTTGCAATGACTAAAATTGACAGTATTTAATTGTTTAGTGATGACTTGTACTTGATATTTCAAAATGTAGTTCAAAATACTTTTTTTCAAAACCAACATCCAAACAACATTTTTATTTCTCATTTAGTTTTCAATTTAAAACACTTTCCACTTTTAAATGGCAAAATAAAATGTAAGTTAACGTCCAAACAAGCACAAAGTTAAACTTTCAGAGTCCTGTGTTTCTTTGTTCCATAGTGAAACTTCCAAGTACTTATTTGAAGCATAGCTTTTCCTGCATACTAGTGTAGTTTTTCCATGGGCTATACAAAAGCTACCTACTTTGTGGTTTTGTCAACCTGCTATGTTGACTATTGCTGATCCCTGATACCAATCAGTAGAAAACCTCTTAAATGACTAGTTATAAACTTTCAAGATTTGTTTCCCCATATGAATTTGGTGAAGAAATCTTTCTATTTGTGTGGTATAGCTTTTTGAAGCTGCTGAAAAAGTTGGGTTCTGAAAAAGCTACTAGTTCTTTGTGACCTCTCCTTAAGTAGCAGAAATGCTGTATCTTGAGAGAAAATTGAACCTTAGATGAGAGTGATTCTGCCAAAGGCAGTGGTTTTTTATATAATGTAGGTAGCAATAATGCTGTGATATTAACCAATCTGTAAATCGTGTAAATCGTTATTCTGTTAAAGGTAGTGGTGTTTGATGTAATGTAGGTGGAACGCATAATCAGTCGGATTTAATAAGAAATCATAAAAATATTCATGCTTTTTTCACTCCCTTCATGCTGGCTTCGCCGAGGAATAAAAGTTGTGGAATAAAGTACAGTAAGTAGTGTGATACATGGGCAGGCTCTAACCTCCGTAGTCTGTAGTGTTGATAGGAAAAACGTTGTGTTGCATCTTTATACTCTTTCATGAACACATATATCAATCATTTTGGAAAGAGCCTTTTCATGGTTCGTTTTTTACTTATGGATCACTACTGGATGAAATCCTAGACTTTGATCGTCAAAACAAATTAGTATCCATCCATGGGGTTTGGAGATAGTACGTACTAACTTGGACATTTTTTTTTTTTTACATTTGGATAAACATAACTGATCACCCATTACATTATATTTTGGCACGACGAAAGAGGTTAATGGTTTACAATACTAACCTCAATTACGCAAGTGAAATGCAAATTATAACAAAAAAAAGTTACACTTTTCGTTTTCTGGATGCTATACAAGATATAATACTGCAATTTCACCAATCAATTCGTATCCTGCGTTTTCTGTATATATCTTGGATGATTCCTTTACAAAGGTTCAAATTATCGTTTTGTAGTTGTGATATTTACAAATACGCATAATCATGCAGGTTTTGTAGTGGAGAAAGCTCGATTAAACTCTATTAACCAAGCCTCCAATCGATTTTATTCATGGTAAATAATTTGAAGAAAAGAGATAGCACTAAAGCTCAAAAAGTGACCACAAACGACACCCATTCTTGAAAAAAAAAAGAAAAAGAAAAGAAACTGTTTCTGCGAAAATAATCAGTAGGAACTGACACACACTTGCAAACAATATCAAACGAAAGTGTATAATTTGTGAGATATAATATTCGGCCAGGCGTGAAAAAGAAAAGGAATAGGACTAGTAACAATTTGAATAAAACTGAATTGAAGATAAATTGATGAACTTAAACGAAATATAATGTGTAAATCGAATAGAAAAGACTTGTGAAATAAAATACTTGAAAAGAAAATAGGGTATTAAGAAGAAAGACAAGAGCTTTGCATCTTGTGTTTATGTGTGTGTTGATGATGAGATTGATTGATTTTGTCGCTTTGTTCTTTTTCTCTTTATATAGGGTTCGGTAATTGTCTAGGGCGGTGTAATCTCCGATTCCTACTCCAATTCGGTGTTGCCGATTTAGAGTTGAAATTGTATTTTATTTCCGATTTCATGTTTTCTTTTACAATTGTAACTTGATTTGATCTTTCTGCATCGGATCAGACTTTCAATGCGTTTTCTTCACCAAATCGAGAATGCACTCCGTTATTCCGTGTCGGATATGGACTTCTTGCGATGTTGGGCCGATTCACCATTTTTGTTGGGCCGGTTCGATGTTTAATTAAAAATCGGTGATAACAGAAACACAGTGCTTGCTTTAACGGTGCAGCCAGCCCGACAAAAATTTATTTGAAGTAAAGTTGTTAACTACGATTTCCAATCTTGATTCTTGAGAGCTTCAGCCATGGTGTTTTCCTATTGGTTAACCCGCCTTCGTACTTCTTCTTCTTTGAGACCCGTCTTGAACAACAGCCTCCGAAACTCCCTTCTCAAGAAGCAGCAGCAGAACAGGACCCATTTGCTGTCCGCAGCTGCAGCAGCGGGTTCAAGCTCCGACAATAATCATCCCAAATTTCTGACATGGGCGGGCTCTCTGTTTCCAATGGCCTTGGCAGCCTCTGCTGGTGTCTTTTTCATCCAGTCTTACTACAATAAATCCTTCTGTGACGCCTCAGATATTGATCAAAGGTATTCCTCCTTACACACTAACCGGGAAGTTTTATTTGAGCATTTTTAGTTATTGGTTATCTGGCTGTCATTTTGAAGTATTACTAGTTTACAAGTGATGCGTTTAAGGAATGAAATTGTGAAACTTCGAGAAATTTTGTTTTGGCTTCTTGATTTTTGAGTTGGCAGGGATGGGATGAGGATTGGTGGAAAAGATCGCACGGATTATGCGGTGAAGGGTTCTCACACAGAAGTCCCACAAGCTCTTATTGATGAATTGAAGGCCATTTGTCAGGTCATGTCTAATTACTTGGCATGTGCATTTCTAACATTTCATACTTTGGATGCGATTATGTATTGATTATCTGAATTTTCTTCTGTCGTTCCATGTGCATTTGAGCCGATACTGTGGTTTACTCTAAGTCGGAAATTTGAATTATTTTCATATCTCAGGATAACATGACCCTGGATTATGAGGAGAGATTCTTCCATGGAAAGCCGCAGAACAGTTTCCATAAAGCAGTGAATGTCCCTGATGTAGTGGTATTTCCAAGGTGAATGGCTTCAACATGTCATGCCTGTCTGATTTACTTGTATGTTTTGTTCTGTCAGCATTGTAGACTTAGTACCGTTTTTTATTTATATGCAGGTCAGAAGAGGAGGTTTCTAAGATTGTCAAATCTTGTAACGACCATAAGGTCATATCTTATAAGTGATTCTAGCCAGCTTTTTTATGGTCATTTCATGTGTATGACTCTAGCCAGCATCAAACACACGGGCACACACACAGATACAGTCATTAACATGTTAAGAAGTTTTTCCAGCTTAGTTTCCATAACTTCTTTAACTGGGGGTTCCATTAGCTGTTCTTGACATGATCCGTGGTATTCATCCTCAAAAGTTAGGGTGACTTCATAAAGATAACCCGTCTATGTCGAATGTTTTGTTTTGTATTTGTTTCTTCCTTTTCTTGCTTCTTTCTTTTCGATACCTCAAAGGTTGGGCTCATTTCAAGCTTAATTCCTTGCGTTTCCTTCCGTACTAGTTGATTTTAGTCGTTTGGCTGAAAGTTAGGTCCCGATTGTACCATATGGTGGAGCAACATCAATTGAGGGCCACACCCTTGCACCTAATGGAGGAGTTTGCATCGACATGACTTTGATGAAGGTATGAGTGTTCTACTGGAGTCGTACTCTAATCCTCTTGTTATGATTGTTCAAACTTGCAAACATTTGGGTGCAGTTAGGTGCATGAATTTTTAATGAAGGTTTGGCCCTCTTCAAAAGTTAAACGCTTAGAGATATGCGTTTCTTTGTTCTATTGTGAAACTTCCATGCTCTGATTCCACACAGCCTAGCATAGGTTTTGCCCACAGAACAGTGTAGTTTTTGTTGGGGTTACAAAAGCTTCCTACTTTATGGTCTAGTCAACCTGATGACGTTGTCTATTTCTGACACTTGAATACCAGTGGAAAACCCGTCAAATGAATAGTTACAAACTTTCAAGGTTTTTTCCCCATATGAATTTGGTTGAAAAATCTATTTGTGCTGGTATAGCTTTGTTGAAGCTGCCAAAAAAGTTTGGTTCTGAAAAAAGCTATATTAGTTTGCGGCTTTATTTTATGATTTCTCTTTGAGTGGCAGAAATGATATCTTAAGATAAAATTGACCTTAAATAAGCGTGATTATGTTAAGGTTCTGGTTTTTGGTTCTTGGTGTAATGCAAGTGAATAGCTTGTTTTAGCGATTATGTTGTGATATTCTCCAATCTGGATCTGTTACGACATGGTCAATATGTTAGTAATTGCATTTCCTCTCTCAGTACCTTTACTTCCCCTGTAATCCCTCCAAGATATTGGCTCCTAAGTTATATCTCTTTGCTATTATTTGATGGTACAACTTTCAGTTTGTTTGTCTGATTTGGATTTGTAGTTTGCCATTTGTTCACCATAAAAATCTTTGCAGTTTTAAAAATCTTGTGGAGTTGCATATTTGAATTTCTTCTTTATTTTCAACGATCCTTGTTGACTTTTTTTTTTTCTCGACTCTCTAACTACATTTAATTATATGTTCGTATAGCGTGTGAAATCATTAAATATTGAGGACATGGATGTTGTTGTTGAGCCTGGGATTGGGTGGATGGAACTCAATGAGTACTTGGAGCCTTATGGTCTATTTTTTCCTCTTGATCCTGGTTGGTAATGGCATGTATTCTCTACGATGCATCATTCAAATCTTTTTTCTTTGATTTTATATGTTTCGTGTTTAGTAAGCTATTGTTATCATCTTCTTCACTCGCAGGGCCTGGAGCAACCATAGGCGGGATGTGTGCTACACGGTGCTCTGGATCTTTAGCTGTGAGGTGTCCTCTACTACCTACCAGAATGATTATGTATCACAGCTGTGTAGCATCAATAAATCCAGATTTAATAAGAAATGAGAAAAATTTCGTACTTTTTTCCCTCCCTTCATGCTGTTTGTTATTTACCTGAGTGTTTAAAGATAGCCCAATCTTGCTTTTTTTCACTGCTTATGTTTCTGGTGCATTTGGTGAATTTGCCTGGGTTTTGAGACCAGAGAATTCAGCTAGTTGAATGAAGAAACCTCTTTGAATTTTGGCTTAGTCAATTATAGCTCTTTGAGTAGTCTCAGAGAAAACTTGAACAAGAAAGAATGAGATCCTGCTTGTAGAGATAGAAAGATAGACTTCTCTGAATTGGCAAAGCTGAAACACTCAGAAACATAACTGACACCCTACTGATCTCGCATATATCTTTTTTCTTGAGGCAGGAGTGACTACTATTTTCTTTTACAAAGAGAATTTTCATCTCCTAAATCTGCTATGGCCGGAAAGAGTTAATAGAAATTGAATTATGAATGCCACACATGTTTGCTTGTTTAGCAATAACAGCTATTCCAAGGTCTTCTTGTCTATAAATATATTATTTAGAACTTAAGTGACCATTCCCTTTGAAGCTTGCAGGTATGGGACTATGCGTGATAATGTCATAAGTCTCAAGGTTAGGTCTTTTATTATTCAGTGCACTTTCTTTCTGTAACTATCAAATTCCGAGACCATCTCTTTCATGCAGGTTGTTATGCCGAATGGAGAAATCATGAAAACTGCTTCCCGTGCCAGAAAAAGTGCTGCAGGGTTGGTGTTTTTCTGGTTTTGTTGGTTTCTTTCTTCCTCACAAAATGTTATTCTCCTCCCTTAAGTAAAGTCTTTGTAAACTGATTATTATACTTGCCAGAAATATTGATTACCTCAGTCTGCAATTCTGCATAATGTTAATGTAGGTATGATCTCACCCGATTGTTAATAGGGAGTGAAGGAACTTTGGGTGTTATAACAGAAGTTACTTTACGTCTCCAGAAGATCCCCCAGTATTCGGTGGTAATTTGATGTTAGATCTAAAGCTTTGGGATTTGCTGTCAAATAATTCTTTTGCTTCATTATCAGCAAATACACTGCATTATAGCCATTGTTTTGATCTTAAGTATAAGTATTCCTATGCAGGTTGCAATGTGTAACTTTCCGACGATTAAAGATGCTGCCGATGTTGCTATTGCTACCATGCACTCTGGCATACAGGTTGGTACTGGTCCTTTTTTATTGGCTTTATTGTATTTGTGATACTTTCCATTGATCTTCTATTCTTTTTTCTTTTTTTTTTCAATGGCACTGAAAAGGTTTCACGAGTTGAGCTATTGGATGAAGTTCAAGTGAGAGCTATCAACCTAGCTAATGGGAAAAATTTACCTGAAGTTCCAACCTTGATGTTTGAATTTGTGGGCACAGGTAAAATATGATCCTACAACTGCTTATTGATGGTATTTGTTGTTTTCATGTCACTCAATACAGATCTGCGCTCATATGTGCTTTGTTGGGAGCTAGTGGTACTTGTTTCTCTTGTTGATTTCGATATTGGTAGTATGTTCATTCATTTAGCTTAACATTTGGCTAGTTAGGTGAGTGGGGGCGAAGAGAATCTGTCTTTTTACTGAAAAAATAACATAGATTCTTAAGACATGTTGCATAGAAGTATGCGGGTTTTTGGAAGTCAGGACTTGGCCTACAGCAGGACTTGTTTAGTCCTTTTCTGCCCTATTAAGCTTGCATTTTGATTAAACTTGCTTCACTTTTCACTTTTCTATTCTCATGGGCTAATCTTTAGTTACGTTAATTTCTACCAGAAGCGTATTCTCGTGAGCAAACACATATAGTACAGAAGATAGCTTCTGAGCATAATGGCTCTGATTTTGTTTTCGCTGAAGATCCTGAAGCCAAAAAGGAACTTTGGAAGGTTGGTGATGACCACCTTGTGTATACCTTTTGAGAGAGTTTAGCTTGTATATTCGGTAGTTTGTTCTCCTTTAGTTAATTGTTTTAGATTTGAATCTTACTAAAAGGATACCTGACGTAGGTTAATTTTGTAATGTAGACATATTCATCAATTATCTGGTGTTTGTCAAATCAAAGAATAAGATTGACCTAGGTCTCCTAGGATAGCTTGTTTCCCTTTTCCTTTTCACCCGCCCAGTCCCTCCAATATACTATAACATGTTACCTTTTTTTGGTGAATCTTGTCAATTTTTTTGGGTATATACAGTGATGGAATGTTGATGTAGTATATTGATGATTAGAAGTCCAGTTTGTTTGATTTGCCTTTTAAGACTGATGCTTTGGAAATAAGTATGTCTTGAAATTAGGGAATTATGTGAAGGATACTAAATTTGCAGATGTTTTAATGTAGATAAGGAAGGAAGCTCTTTGGGCTTGCTTTGCCATGGAACCCAACTATGAAGCAATGATATCGGTAAGTTCTCTCTCTCCTCCCCCCCCCCCGCCGGTTTGGGTGATCTGGTTTTCTGTAAATAATTTGCTTGAGTTGGCATCTTATTATAACATCTTATAGCTCATTTCTGAAAGTATTTGAGTGCTTTTTAAGTTCACTAGACTTCTGTTCTTCCATTCCTTCGTGGCATCTTTAATATCCTGAATTCCCCATTTTTATCCTACCTCCATATGTATGTGTGTTTGTGCGCGTGCGCGCGTATGTCAACATGAGTTAGCGGTTACAGTATGTTATCTGCTAGAGAATCGTCTCATGTCTTTGAATTTGCAGGATGTTTGTGTTCCTCTATCACGGCTTGCAGAACTGATATCGAAGTCCAAAAATGAACTTGATGCTTCACCGCTGGTTTGGTATAATTTATCTCAAGAATGTTAACTTCAAGAAGCTACCCATCTAATTCTAATATGTCAACTAAACAGTTATTTTGCCTTTGTTAACAGCACAGTTATTGCTCATGCTGGTGATGGGAACTTCCATACAATTGTCCTATTCGACCCCAATAAAGAGGAACAAAGAAGGGAAGCTGAGAGGTTAAACCATTTTATGGTTCACACTGCTTTATCCATGGAAGGTACGAGTGTATTTTTTGGTAACATGTCTTTTGGCAGACACGTGCATAGGACTTCGGTGGAGTTCCCGGTTAGGAGGAAAGAAACTATAGAATCAATAATTTAAATTAAGAGGGTTAGGGGTAGACCTAAGAAAACATGGAAAGAAACTATAAAAATTTATTTGAAATATCTAAACTTGACCGATGATTTATGTACCGATCGAGCACGATGGCGACATATGATCCATACAGCCGATCCCACCTAGTGGAAAAGACTTCTTGTTGATGACCTTGTTGTTGGTGTTGGTGTTGTTTTTGTTGTTGTCGTCTTTTGGCAGACATGGATACGACAATAATTTCTGACTATTGTATTATCATTGACTAGAAGTTGTGTGTTCCACATCCTTGGGTGAGGGAGTGTGCTGCTGTGTTGTTTATACTCACAGGCTGTCTGAAGATGATATACTGGTCATAATTGTGTCCTTGTGATCATCCATTAGGAATACTTTGCCAATTTCAAGCTGCTGAAGTAGCGTCTTTCTTATGGTCTTAAATTGAACAAAGATAATGTAATTTATTTTTCCCACTTTGAAGTTGTGTAATTTTGTTATACAGGAACTTGTACTGGAGAACATGGCGTTGGGACTGGGAAAATGAAGGTACGACAACATTATCTTGCTTCATGTCTCAAATTCCGAGCCAAAAATCATTAAAACTGTGATAGCTTTTGAATCCCTTATTGGAGGAGCAAATTTGTGTATAGTTTGATTTGTATTTCACTCTCTTAGACACTTCAACTTCTAATGGGATCAGATTGTTTTTTCGGTCTCTCTAAATTTGACAGTACCTTGAAAAAGAACTAGGAATAGAAGCGCTGAGGACAATGAAAAAGATCAAAGGAGCTATAGATCCCAACAACATCATGAATCCAGGGAAACTCATTCCTCCCCACGTGTGCTTCTAAATGAGCTCTTGCGAGCGCGAAAACACTGTAACAAGCACTGTATTGGACCACAAGAACTCATCTGGACTCGCACCAGTTTCGCAAAGCAGCGATGAAACCAAGCCATACAGCGTGAAGACGAAGCTGGGCAAAGTTCAACTGTACTTCCTCGGTATGAAAACTTGACAAGACAGATTCTATTCCAATGTTGTAACATAGTTACATGTAATATGAGCTCAAACTTCATTTCGTAGATACTTCTGGATGAACCGGTTTATGTAAAAGCCTTAAAGTTAAAACAGTTATCTGCGTCATCTGACGGGGGTGAAGGGGGAAATAAACAATTGTGTTTCTGTTTGGTTCAAAATTATTTGTACAGCGGTCAATGACTTCTTCCTTTCAAACCTAGTCATCATCTAACTACTCTACAAAATCCAAATTATTAAGATATAAATATATCAAACGTGTTAGTGCAGGTTGATTGGCCCTCGTCGCTATTGTCCTCCCGTGTTACATCCAAACAACAAAATGTTTGATCACAAAATGTTAACATCAATATGAACCTGATTATCCATAATCTTCATATAAATTAATAAGCTATTTTCTTTCGGTAATAAAATAATCACAATTTCTTTGCCCCGGGAGAACAACAAAAATTCATATTGTAGTTAATTAATTAATTAGAGTGATGGTTATGAGTTTATGACAGGTGTAATAAGAATCAGTCAGCGAGCAGCCTTTGTTAGCACAGGGACATTTTCCTTCTTGACAACATTTTCTCAACAAATATAGTATTATGTTTACATTTAAACTTCAAGTGCAAATCATAATTAAGTTAGTCTAATTTTCTTAGAATTTACACCAAGCGTTTCTCAACAAAGATGACTTAATTTACAATATGCAGGGAAAAAGAATTCCGTAGATTAATCTAAAGAAAGAGGGTGGTTAGGCTGATAAGAGAAATAGTCAGCAATCAGCATCAAAGACTTTACCCAGTGGATCTTGGGTGCATCATGCATCCATCGACCGTATCTTACTTTAGATTTCTTTAAATTTTGTTAAATACGGATAGGGTAGCAAGGTGATATAATTCTTTCTTTTTCTTTTTTTTCTTTTTTATTTCCTACTGAGTAAGGATAAAGATGAATTATATATATATATATATATATATATATATATCATTACTAGATGCTTGGCCCGGACAGATGCCCGAGCGCCCCCTCTAAATTACTATTTTAGTAAAATCTAATTGAATTACTATTTTTTGAGGAATTAATTTGGCGTATATATCATTCATGTTATGGTTTGGGGCTTAAAAAAATATACCTATAAATCTGAGGTTAGAAGGAAATAATAAATAATTAGTTTATAAGGCATTATTCTTAATTGCTGGATTTAGGTATTTTTATTTTTTATTTATATTAAGCCTGCAAAACTATACGATTGGACATTTGAATTTGAATTAATATATGCATTCGTTTGAAATGTAAATGATCCTTATTTGTAGTAAAATATGTGTTTTTTTAAAAAAAAAAAATTATATAGTTTCTAATTTTAAGAGACTTACACGTGACAAAAAAAACTTTTGAAATCTGAAATATGGTGGATTGGAGCCAAAACAGGTACATACGTTGTTGCCACATAAATTTCATGTATTCTGCTTTAATAGGTAATAATAAAAGGGATAAGATTTGAATTATCGACCCGTGAAATAATTGTAATGCAATTAGTATATGTATTACTCCTTCTGGTCGTTATTATAAATCATTTTGATTTATCATAAGTTCTATTTAATATGTTTTTTCAATTAAAAATATTTTATAATAAATATGAAAATATATTTTTAAGATTTTATTTTAATTAAAAGAATATTTTAAGTAAAATTTAGAACAAATTAAAATGTCTTATAATAAGTCACGAAGAATTGTTACTCTGATCTCTCGCGGCTTTAATAATGCACAATTGCACGGCCGGTGCAGATTTTGCGCGAGGGGATGGAACTCAGTGTATATGTTGGTTTCATAAGGACTTCGAACATAATCACGATGTCCCTTGTTCAGTCAATAAGAAGATAATCATTTCTGTTATTTGTTAAAATAAATAAAGATCACTAGAATTTAGTTCTATTTAATATAGGCAACGGAATTGTTGGGAGAGTTTTACTCCCCGAAAGGGATCTACCCGGCTCGACTTCGAATTAGTCGGAACAATAACTTTGGACACAGAGTGTGTAATATACCAAAAAAAAATATGTATATATAGGCAACGGAACTCGATACAACCAACACGTGATAAAGACTTTAAACCCCATAGGAAAGATAAAGATAAAAGACCTTAATTAAGTGCGATTATTTTTTTAAGAATAATTAATTGCCATTTTAAAAAGATTCTTACCCGTCTATATAATAGGGAGTCTATGTAGAATATCTCTCATCTGTGTCATAATTTCACCCCTTGAATCTTCATTAGACAGCCAGCAATAACAATGGAGTCAAGTCCTCACGTTGTGGAAGACCTGAACGGGGTCGTAAAACTCTATAGCGACGGTTCCGTTTTCCGGGCTGATTTCGTACCGGTGTTTATCCCAAACCACGACGATCCAACTGTGGTTTGGAAAGAATGCCAATTTGACCCGCAAAACAACCTCATCCTCCGTTTATACAAGCCCGTTTCCGGCCCAGCTCCGGGAGCTAAATTCCCGATTGTGTATTTCTTTCACGGCGGTGGGTTTTGCGCGGGTTCATGCACGTGGGCCAACAACCAAAACACGTGCCAACGCCTGGCTTCTGGGCTTCAAGCCTTGGTTGTTGCACCCGACTACCGGCTGGCGCCGGAGCACCGGCTCCCTGCAGCCGTGGATGATGCCTTGAATTCCCTCAAATGGCTTAAAGATCAAGCTATCTCGGACAATCCTGACGCGTGGCTGCACGATGATGACGTGGATTACGGACGGGTTTGGGTCATCGGCGACTCCTCCGGTGGAAACATGGCGCACCATTTGGCCGTCCAGCTCGGGCCTGGTTCGCCGGAGCTTCCTCCGGTTAAGGTTCGTGGATATGTTCTGATGGCTCCATTTTTCGGTGGAACCGTGAGAACCAAGTCCGAGGAAGGCTTGCCCGAACCAATCTTGAACCTTGACATTCTTGACAGGTAATTAACCTTAATTAATTTTTGGAGTCCTCCTTGATTTCAGTCAATAGGCCTAAATTTTATTTGCCTCCCAACAAAATATATTCTCAGACATTCCGAAATGATAGTCCAAATAGAATTATCAATTTTAGTACATTTGTTATTTATGTGAGAAATGATCGCTATCTTTGCTGAGTATAAACAAACTGAATAACCACATTTGAGACGAAATTAATATTTGTTAGTATATGCTTACATTTTATAATAAGCATGATTTGTTTTGAAAATGAAATGAGTATATTTAATAGTACTATTCCTAGAATAATGAATTGTTTTTAGCTGAGAGTCTTACTTTGTGTGAGTCGTGAGAACGTGACTCCATCGTCCCAAATCTGTAATTATGTTCATCAATCAAATTAAATCTTTAATAATATTACTTTTTGCTAAAATTAAATTTTTCAAACTTGACTATATATTATCAGAAGTTAAACGGGTTATAATTAAGTCCCGGACAATTTAGTTTCATGGTCTTGTTATCTAAATTCATAGATGATACAAATTAGTATAAATTGTATTACATGTGGACAATATGTATTCAAAGATTTGATACGTCCGCAGCTCTCACAAAATTCTCATGTCAAGAAAATTCATAATTATTTGAAGGAATGGAAGGAGGATAGGAAGGAAAGGAAAATTTTGAGCGAGCGATCGAGGGATGGGAAGATAATAGTTTGACTTTGATATGGGGTAATTTTTATAAGTAAGAGAAAGATTACACTAAATATTAGAAATTGTTGTGATAAAATCATCGCCTTTTTATTTATTCATTATTTATATGCTATCACAACGCAAGTGAGACAAAAAGAATGCTAAGAGCAATTTCATAAGATAAACTAACAACTATATTATATGTCACCATTATCAAAAGTCAAATCCATGTCATGTCAATATGATGGATGCAAGTTGAACACACTACTTAATTTTAAATTCCATCTAATTAATCTGCTCAAGATAACGACCCAACTAATCTTCTTGGAGCATATCCCAACTTTTTACTAGTGGTGGAATTGAGTCCATCACGTAGTATATATTGGTTCATTAGCCATATGTGTAATCTTATTAACTCTATTGCAGAATGATTGTTATGTTTGTTATAATTAGATTGAATTAAGTATGTCGTGAACTGAACACAGGTTCTGGAGGCTATCGTTGCCAGTTGGGAAAAATGCGGATCACCCGCTGGCAAACCCTTTTGGACCTTACAGCAAGAATCTGGAAACAGTGGAGATGGATCCGATGTTAATCATTGCTGGAGAGAAGGAATTACTAAAAGATAGGGTGGAGAACTATGCCATGAAGTTGAAGAATTTTGGGAAGAAAGTTGAGTACGTGGAATTTGAAGGACAGTATCACGGTTTCTTCATTAACGACCCTTACTCCAGATTAGGAGACCAAGTTCTTCAACATTTAGAAAGTTTCATTTCAAAACTTTCTGGTAATAATTAGTTTGCTATAAAGGTATTGTACATATTGTCCAATAAGAGATCCGAACTTGTTTTAAAATTATCAACTGATGAAACAATAAAGAAGCGAAGAGTTATGTACCCAAAGAAAGGACTCTAGGAGTTTACCTATGTTTCTTCTTCCAAGTTGAAAGAGAGGAAGGCCTAAAATATTAATTAGAATACGATATTATGGGTATCAGCCACCTCTACATCATCTCATATCAAACATAAAAAGGTACTCCCTCCGTCCTATAATTATTATCCAGTTTTACTAAAATGAAAGATTTTATTTTTGGTCAAACTTAACTATATTTTACCTTAAACAACCGGATATACCCCTACATAAGTAATTGTTTAACCACTAAGATTTTATGAATAATGTTTTTTACTAAGGACAAATATGTAACTTAATCCATAAAAAGTCAAATTGGACAATAATTTTGGGACAAAATTTTTTAGGCAAAGTGGACAATAATTATAGGACGGAGGGAGTACTTGATAACGAGTTGAGTTATCTAACTATTATTCTACAGTCGACACCATTCAAATTTAAGGATGCCAATGAAGTGAATAGTGAGGACGATCTGTTGCGAGATTCTTCTTTATAAGGATATGGGTTCTATGTTGTAAGGCTTATATATTTAGTGCCTTTAGGCTCTAACTTAATTGGTCCGAAAATTGTACGGCTGAAGTTATACGAAATAAGTACTATACATGGATGATATTAGATTTGATGTGACATCAATTACATAAGTGGACCATCTAATCACCCAAGTTTTCTCTTTAGAGAAAATGATTATCGTGAAAAGGTGAAAAAAAAAAAAAAAAAACTTCCCAATCATATATACATATAGACTAAATTACTTTTGGGATATGATAGCGCAGGAGTAAAGATAGATGTTATAATCAATTAAGTGATTGCCGCAATTATGATCGGCGTTGAGACAGTGGTGGCTGGTCGACGTGATTTGAAGCACTCACTATTCAAAAGAACAGCGCCCCCGGCCGATCATATAGATGCATATATATCTCATACTTGTTCTTATCCAGAAAGCTTATTATGGATGCAAAGTGCGCCAGCTCTGTCATGAGTCGTGTGTTAAGCCAACACCAACCATTTACAATATCCAAATTGTTTAATTACTGTGTGTAGTATAAATTTATGGATGATATATGTGCGTAAATCATATCCGTTTTGGATCCTGAATCAGTGATTTCATATCCAACAATATGTTTTGTAGACTGAGATGGTAAGTTACTTTACAAAATGACTCAATGATAATAATTCAATCAAGCTAATAAAGGTACATAGATCATGTTGCAAATAAGTTTTATTTGGTTTCAAGAAAAATAACGCACTTAATTTTTAATTATTCTTTTTATTCCCAGTCTCTTATAAGGTCGTTCTTCTATTTTTATTTGGTTTACATCTCCTAAACTCTCTGTTACCAAAGATGCCAAATAGTCTTGCGCAAAATTCGATTTTCGATAATTAAGACTCAATTTCACGTTCTATGCCCTAGTTAAACAATCCCTAGTTAAACAACTCATGGATGGCCCTAGTTAAACCACCGTGTATGCCAACAACCTCATCGGTCGATTTTGCCATAGTCACTGTCCCACCATTATTCACATTGATAATTATTTTTCTACAACCGAGATCCCATTGCTAGTTGCATACTTTCAAACAATCCCAAGAGTTATGCTCCGGTGACAGAACAAAACCCGCATTAGCCTACTCTAACTGTCCAATCCCGCCTCATCAATTTGTGAATCCTTACTTTGGGTTCATTATGAATACCAACTTCTCTTACACAATCATCTACTCACATTTTTTATTATTATTATTATGAAACATTATTTTTTCCCATACCGTACGACGATTGTAATACCTAAACTTGTCCCGCGATTTCGTTCTAGTTATAATGAGGTGTGACCAATGTTCATTACAAAAACCAATCACTCAATGATCTCCCCAAGACCCCAACCCTCTCTCCATTAAAAGACTTTTTTTTTTAAAGAACTCCATCAAAAGACTCATTTGTGTAATCTATATATTACTATTCTAAGGCAAAAACCAGATAGAGAAAATTAAAGGCATGGAGCACATGCCATATAGGATTAAATCCTATGTGACATTTTCTTAATTTCTTAGACTTAAAAATACACAAAACAAAATAATAAAACAAAAAAAAACAACTAAAATTTAAAATGTCATTTTTAAAAAAATAAATTCCTGTACAATTGAGCCTCCACCCTGATGTCTATGATAATCCCTCAACACAGTCCGACATAGTTGGGGTTACACCATACTACAACACTTGTAAACCTGCGCATCGTTAATCCATCCATCCACACATAATTACTGATTAAATATTATTACTATATTCGTCCCATTTTATAATTAAATAGCCTAACCATACCTAACAAATTTTAGAGAGATATGCATAAACCTTATCAGTGAATTTAAAATGTCATTTAAAAAAAATAAATTCCTATAAATTTAGAGGTAATCATGTTTAAAACTAAAGTCATTACATAATTTATAAAAATACAAAATTTATGTAAAAATGTCTAAGTGTAAATGCCTTCCCCATCCATCGGACGGATCTAACACCTAGTACTTTATTAGGCAAACTAGATGCTTGCCCCGGGCGAATGCCGCCTGTATTTCTAAATCGATAAAATAAAAAATAGGAATCATTCTTGAAAGAATAAAAAAAACAGAAGAATAAAAAATCGATTGAAATGACAGAAAGTGAGTTATTGTACATAAATATGTGCCTAGATTTATAACATTTAATTTACAACAGTTAACTTATACCCGGGTTTATATAAATCATAAACCAATATCTACTACAGAAGAATAAAAAAAATCATCCTTAAAAAATCAAATTTCTTTCATGACAGCTTATTTTGTCTCTGTTGTAGAAAGAGATGGATTGATAATTGATGTCAAATTTTAAGTAATTGTTTTAAAGGCCCGGGTGTGAGAGAGGAGCGGAATGGAAGAGATTCTTTGAAATTGGGGATTGGAAAGACATTATTGTGTTTCACTTGATTTAAGGAGATTTCCTTACATTTGATTTTATTAATTAAATATTTTTGTTTTAAAAGATTAATATATACCTATAAGAGATTTTTATGTAACTATAATTAAGGGATTTATGTATTTATCTATTCCATCTTTTTTTTCTGATTAGTTAGAGTGTCACTTGTCAAAAATGATTTTGTACTGAAAATGGTTTTTGGCGGGAAAATTTTCATTATAAGGCTGACACATGTCATTTTTGTTTGTTGCTTTAATTAAGTACTATAGATGAGTAGTAAGTAAAACTCAATCCACTGTTCTTCGCGCAATATATGGTTTTGGGTCATGGGCTTGCTCCATTCTCCCAAGACATTAAGGTCTGAACCCTGTGGAGCAAAAGCCCAAAACTCTTGTTATACATGTGTCCAGCCAAGTAATAATGGATAATATGTGGCAAAACATATGTCAAACCATATCCAAAAACAGAAACAAAAACAGCCAAAGAAAATCCCTGCCCTGGATTTAGGGCCAAAGTAACGCGTGCATGTAAATTGCGGTATGGGGGGGGCGCGAATATAAATAACACAAGTGGGGGGGGGGGATTTTAATAGTAAAATTTTAATGAACTGTCTGTCAGAAGAAGAAGAGGAACTGGTCGTATACCGCAAAACAGGCAGGGGGTTTGGTTGCAAAAGTTGGCCCTTAACTTTTTCTCTTTATTGAGGGCTACAGCCTACAAGTTGGCTCCCAAAGCAACTTTTTGAATGTTCCCTCATTTATTTTTTATTAATATAAACGGTACCCACCGATTTTCAATGACTCCTATTTTTATCAATTTTTTGTCCTTTTCTACTTTATGCAATGACCTCATCACCAGAAAGACCGGCTTTAAGCCTATCTATCACTCATTTAAAAACAATGCAACAAGCCTACATCCATCCAACTTTTCACTTTTAATCCTGACATCATGCATAACGCTATCTTCTTCTTCCCCTCCACTTGTGTGGGTGTGTGGCCACTTCCTCCCCACATGACTTGGAATTTCTTCTTCCATTTTTCATTGCATTTAATTTCTAAAGTTTATTAATAAAAACCAGAACTATTTATAGAAATCCTACTTATTAGAAACCCTTATACTTTCCTTCCTCCCTCCCAAAAAAAAAAAAAAATCTTCTCTCTTTCTCTCTCTCTGACCCTTTCCCAATTTCGCATTCTCCACACAAATGAGCAGATCCTCCTCACCCATAGACTCCTCCTCCACCACATCAAAAAAGACCAAACCGGCTGCCCAACGGCGGAAACACCATCATCACCACCACCACCAGGGACACGGCGGTTATCAGCCGCTGCTGCCCGGACTTCCTGACCACATAGCTCAAACTTGTCTCTCGCTCGTGGACCCTCACACACTTTACTCTGTTTGCCGATCATGGCGCCGTCTTATCTATTCTCCGTCTTTCCCTCCCTTTTTATCGATCTACGCGCTTTTGTTGCCAACTGCAACAACAGTACAGCAACAACAGCCTCCTTCTGATTCGGATTCGGTCCGATTCTCTTGCTTCGACCCGGTTTCCACCAAATGGGTCCCTCTCCCTTCCCCTCCGCCCGATCCGCCCCTCCGTTTCCTCCTCTGCCACCCTTCTTTCATCTCCCGGCGACTCCCCGTCCAATCCGTCAGCGTGAACGGCAAGCTCATCCTCCTCGCCGCCACCGCCGACCATTTCCAGCCGGCCCTCAACCGCCCCCTCATCTTCTGCCCCTTGTCTCAGAGATGGAGCTACGGTCCCCCATTTGCGACCCCACGTAGGTGGTGCGCGGCCGGCTCCTCGGCCGGCACTGTATACGTGTCTAGTGGTGTCGGGTCCCACTACAGCCAGGATATTGCGCGGTCGGTAGAGAAGTGGGACCTCCTCACCAGCATCAGCAGCAATCCGGGTTCGCCGGCGGCCACGTGTGAGTCCGATGGTGGTTGGAAGTGGGAGAAAATGGATGGACTGATGAAAGACGGGAAATTCAGTCGGGATGCGATTGATGCGGTGGGATGGAGAGGGAAGCTTTGTATGGTGAATGTGAAAGGGGACGCAGCTAAAGAAGGGATCATGTACGATGTTAAGAACGATACCTGGGGAGAGATGCCGGCTGGGATGTTGCTTGGATGGCGGGGCCCGGCGACGTCCATGGATGAAGAAACTATCTACGTGGTGAATGAATCTAAAGGAGTGCTCAGAAGATATGATCCGGGGAAGGATATTTGGGTTGATGTATACGAGAGCAAGATGCTCCAAGGCGCGCAATACGTGGCCGCTGCCGGCGGCAGAGTTTGTATAGTTGTTGGCGCCGGCCGGATTGTGGTGGTGGATGTAACAGTGTTGCCCAGTAGAGCTTGGACGGTGAATCCTCCGCCGGGGTTTCAACCTGTATCTATACATCTATTGCCAAGGATGACGTCCCAACAAGAAGAAGAGTTTGCTTGAATAATAGAATCACCAGTACTTGCTATACATTGAGTTGCTTCTCTCTGGTGTGAGTTGCTTCTCTCTGGTGAGCACTGGAGAGTCATTTTTGTTGATTCATTATCATTTTTTTTTTTTGCCACATTTACACTTAGTAAATAGTACTTTACCATCGAACAGATTTTTAAGTACTTTCTCTTCTATTGGCTTATTGATTTTATACACTATCTCTATTGAGGTTATTTGTGAAGGATTTGAACTTTGTAAGCTATTCTGTTGATACATGTACATTTAAAAAAAAAAAAAAAAATTTTGGCATAGATAATGCAATTTAACTCTCATTCTTCCATCAGTACAATCTTTTCGTGTGCTTGTAGTAGAAGATATCTTCAGTGTATGCATTTGAAAGGTTCCCCTACATCAAGGAGCTATCTTCCCTATAGCATTTCCACTCAAGATGGAATAGTTTTGGCTTTGGAACACAAGATATATTGAAGTGATATGGATTATGCGTACAAATCGATGCGAAAATGGCATGGATCAAGCTTTTGAGTTGCCTGACAAATAATAAGCTGGATGACTTGCAGTGATAAGAAATATAAAATTTTGAGAAGATCCAAGTTAAGATTGCAGAAAACATGTTGCTGTAGCATATTGATTGCATTCCAGCAAAGAATCGTTGGGAATAAACCCACCTTTGCATATGTCCTATAAATCCTTCTTTGCATGAAACAGGAAAAATATGAAAAGATCCTCATCATATTGTACACACCCATTGGCATTCACAAATGTATGAACCAACATCACTTACGCGTTTCAAACAGAAAGAGAAATTAACATTACTCACAAAGGAAATCATCGTCCAGGGCAGAAAGGAGTTGAGCACACAAATAAAGTCTAGAGGATTGGCGTAATACTACATATTCCTCTGCAGAAAACTTTCACTCGAAATCGCTGAGAACACGAAGCATTTAGTAAGACGCATCAGCTTTCAGAGCTACCAGAAGAGGTTTCACCGGATGATGAATTGTACTGTTGGATGCGTCTCATCTCCTCATAAGCCCATTCAAGGCCAGGGCAATAGTGCAGCGGTGGATTGAACCTTGTATCCTCGATGTTATCCGGCAAAAAAGCCCCATTTTCAACCAGGAATTTTATGGCTTTCTTCTTCCTCTCTTTGGCTGCATTGTGAAGTGGGGTCCCTGGATTTCACACAACAAATAATTTAGGTAATGTATTTACTCGGTCGATCAGGAAAGGAGCTAAATCAACTACCAAACACAGACATAAAAATAAACACTCACAGCCACAAGCACCCTTAGTGCGTGCATCAATATCGGCACCACGCTCGAGCAATTTGTCCATAACTTTAAGATGACCACCCTTAGCCGCCAGATGTAGAGGCGTAATACCATGTGATTTTGGCCCCCATGCAACAACATTTGGATCCATTCCTTCATCAAGAAGTCGTTTCACCTACACACACAATTATGCAAACAAAATGATGAGAACATAATTTAATGAGACTCAATTTTGAAAATAACATCATAAACGGTTTATAATTTTCCCCCACAGAGCAACTACTACTTAAAAAATCCTCAAGGTCAGTATTCAATTGCAGAATCTGGAGATCCAACCAAGTTGATTATGCAAACAGTCCAGGCCATTCTAAAAGTTATGTACAGAGTCCAAAAGTTTAGTGTGACATATAAAAGTTAGCTTTGCTTATATATTCTTATCAGCATACATTTTATGTGCCCTTTATGGAGGTCCCGCAACTGGTAAATTTCCCACCTCCCCAATAGGTAAATTTCTCATCTTCCAGGTACAATCAAAATATTCAACAATAAGCTTAGCCTACACAGCCAAGATGACATACCAAAATTGTATACCTTTTTATGCAATGACAACCAAAAAGAAAAAAGACACTCTGGGTGGATCGGCGATCAATACTGAAAAGAAGCTAATTTCAAAAGAAGGTTCAAGCAATGTTTCAAGTTTATAAAATAGAGAGAGCATACCTCCTTGAGATCTCCTTTCCTAGCAAAAATATGGAGGAGAGTCCAACCACGATCATCAGTATCATCAGCATACCTTTCCAATTGTCTCCTGCGCCTAATCGAACCTTCCTGGTCTGTCATTATTTCTTTTCTTCAAACCAGGCTCAGCTGACAAATGCAAATGACTTTAATCCAAGCACTATCTCAACTCAAATCCAGGATCCCACCAGTTCAGTCGGGTTACTATTATCCAATATTTCAAATTATCCCTAAGATTAATACTCTCTTCAAATTGGCACGCCCCCACAGAGGAGATTTAAGCGACTGGTCTAGTAGCTAGGTGATCTTCCAACCCAGAAAACAAACAAAATGTTCCTATTTTGCAATCTCAAACAACCCAGAATCCTCTCAATTAAGGAACCCAATTGACTCCGAATTCAAAGGCGGTACACAATTACAAGGCAGAGTAAAACTCAAATTAAAAGGTATAATAAGCTAAAATATGAACTTTTATCTGAAGAGTTTCAACAAGCCCCACAAATCCCCTTACGAGTAAGACGAATATTTAGAGACAACTCTCTTAATATATCCTTTTTTACATGATTATGGGAGACTCGAAACCCAAAAACAGAAGGGAAAGGAATAAAAGAAAACAATTTAGCGAGAGGAATGATTGGCCAAATTGTAAGGAGCAAATGGATTCAAACCAGGGCCGAAAACGCGAAGATTCATAGTCGCCAGTGTTGCTGATGATGACGAAATCCCACAAAGCGAAAAGATTATTACCATAGTAGGAATTGTGAAAGTCGAAAAATCTCTATTCCGCGCACAAAAGGGCAAAAGGGAGCTGAAAAATTCTGATTGGGGTTTTGAAGTTATTCGATCATCGAACCGCGAAAAGAAATTGGACAAGTATTTGGCGGTTTCATAGGAGACAATTGAATTGGTCGTGTGGTACTCTGGTGAGAAGAACCCTAGATTGAAAATAGTTTGGGGGAAAGGGAATTTGGGAAATCTGATTCCTGTTTCGTTCAAAGTGGAACATAGACGGCGTACGCGATAGGCTAAATTTTAGTTATCTACCACCGCCCTAGAGAGTTTTTAAAATTATAAACTAAGCACTAATATTTAAAAATTTAAATACTGTAGCCTGAAAGTTTTAATTTTGACACATAAACCCCCGGAATTTTTATTTATTTATTTATTTATTTTAATATAATTCTTACAAGCACCTAGGCTATTACATGACTAAGTCGTCCCTTATTAGACTAGGTTAGTAGTAGGTCTCTCTTACCTCAGAAAAGTGGAAATCTGGGGTAGATGTAATAATAATCTTTTCTTCTTTTGGATGTAAACAATTGTCGTATTACAAAAACATTAAATCAAGTTGGTTCTTGATCGAATCAGATGTGAATGATAATCATGTTATGGATGTTATTATATACTACTTTTTGCTCAAAAAAAATAATTCATATCGAGTTTCTAAATTTGTAATTTTAAAACTAAATGTGAACTATTTTGTGTTTTTTTTTTTTTTTGAGATAGAGCAATATAAGACAACTAATTCAATTGTCAAGTAATAGTTTTCTCTAATTCAATCCAATTTTGACGGAATACACAATTTATCGACAACATGTTTTGCAGACTTTCAACTTTATATAATCTATCGTTTGAGAGTAACATTTTAAAGGGATGTTACTTCCAAACTTACGGAATGAGTGGTTCCAACTTTCTACAAGTTATCGTACTGGCGGGAATAAGCTTCATCCGAACAATGCATTAGTCTAATTATTACCCCCTTTATAAAGTGAAAAAATAAAAACAAAAACGTAGTTTACTTTGTTAAATTGTTTATGGAACTGACAGAACATTATAGAAAAGATCCTATTTTCATTTATGCCATGCACTATTAGGAGAACTTTGTCAACACCTGAAAGCTCAATCATTCAGCAAATGTTTCCTTAATCCGATGTACTATACTGGTTTTGGCTCTTATGGAATAAAATATCACAGCGAGTCACTATTTGTAATTATGCAATTGTAGTTGTGTTTAATATAATTTTACATTTAACCAAAAAAGAAAAAAAAACTAATAAGAATATTGTTTGTTAACTATGTTTATACAACAAATTAATATAGTAGTAATTTTTCTTTTAGGATGGGAAGAATTAATTGTCTGGTGATTCTAAAGACGATTACAGAACCAACTAGATTTTTAGAAAACAGAAAGTTGAACACATTAACTTCCCCGCAAAACGCGATCATCCGCACACTACGTATAGAGCATAGAACATAGTTTGTTCTTATACCGGTTAAAAAATCAAACAGGGAATTTCATTGCCATGCAGAAAGAAACAATATAAACTGATGATGGATTAATTTAATATTGTTAGTTAATTTGATCATTGGTGTTTGATGATTCAATAATCGATCAGTACACTCAGCAATCGAATGTTTTCTTGGAGATGGCTGAAGTCAAATGTCCGACTGAAAATAACTTTAAGAGTTCAGACAAATTTATGGTCAGCATATTCATGCATTTTCTGTTATTCTTTCCTTTTTTTTTTCTTCATTTTCTCCCTGTTTTGTTCCATTTTGAAGATGGTCTTGTGTCACGCGCTGTTTTATTCACGTTGACCACGTTTCGAAATTAATCATGATGAAACTACATTCTCACCACCTTAATCATTCGATGCCGTATCCATTATAGAGTGATGAGTCCCATCAAAATATATGAGCCCATTGAGAGAACAGTTTATGTATAACCCGTAGTTTTCGGAGAAACTGTCCTTTTAGTACTATATATTTAGGCAATTGCCCACTGATTATCGTACCTTCACTACTAGTGTTTTTTTCTGAGTGTCTTGACGAGGTTTTAGAACCTAGGTGCAATCCCAGAACGAAAGCTAAAAAAAAGACAAAACACAATTTGGTTAATCAGCGGACCAAAACAAGTGACTTTCGAAAGTTCAATGATCCTATCCCATTCGAGCTGTGCTGAAACAGTATCATAACAGCGACCTTCCTTGCTAACTAACTATAGTAATTGATAAATTGGCAATACATATGATATGCACTCTACATTGCGAATCTTTGTGGAATGGTTTATAGTATAAATAATTTGGAGCACTTGAAAAAGTGTTCTAGAAGGTCAATTATTTACTTGTCAAGACTAGGTCAAAATTGTTGCTTTATATATTCTATATGATGGCCCCGGTAGATTCCAATCCTACTAATTTGACAGCGTTTGTGAAGGACGTAAAAAATGTGATATATACGTGCATTAGGCTAGTTTATCGTACGCCTAATCGAATTGGGGGCTCTAAGCACTGTTTCGTACCTTTACCTTGATGAGGAAAGCTGAAAATGAATAAACCGTTCATGTTACAATCCATGAAGTACGTACAATTTATAACAGCTATACGCATTTGCATATGTCCCGTGAAAGAAAATATGAAAAATGTGATTAAATTTACATTTAACGGAATCTTTCCCACTTGCATGCAGTTTCTCTTCATGTGGACTTAATTTGTAGGACATAATAAATCATCCATGCACAATTATGATTAAGTTAGTTTGTTTCTCTTTGTCTTGATTCCCTGATATATACACTGAACCGATTGACGGAGTAAAACAAAAGACTCCATTGACTAACTGTAAACTTTAATAAAAAAATACAATTGAAATCGTTAATTTTTTTTATGAACTAGTTAGGTGCTAAAACTTAGCTTATTATATATGTTTGTTAAATAAATTAATACTGCTATATGATACTTTCAATAACTAATTTAGTTTAGAAGATACCTATTCACTTCCCTCTCTCACATTGCGCCTATATATACAATGTATGCTTGAGTTCTTTCATCTTTGTGTTTCTTGGCGGTTAAACAATAACTTGCTCCATCCTTTATCTTTAACCTTTGTCTAGATTTTGCTCTTTAAGTAGAAAATGGAGTCAAGTCCTTATGTTGTGGAAGACCTGAATGGGGTCGTAAAACTCTATAGCGACGGTTCCGTTTACCGGGCTGATTTTGTACCGATGAATATCCCATTCCACGATGACCCAACTGTGGTTTGGAAACAGTGCCTATTTGACCCGCAAAACAACCTCATCCTCCGTTTATACAAGCCCGTTTCCGGCCCGGCTCCGGGAGCTAAATTCCCGATCGTGTATTTCTTTCACGGCGGTGGGTTTTGCGCGGGCTCATGCACGTGGGCCAACAACCATAACACGTGCCAACGCCTGGCTTCAGGGCTCCAAGCCTTAGTTGTTGCACCCGACTACCGGCTGGCGCCGGAGCACAGGCTCCCAGCAGCCGTGGATGATGCCTTGAATTCCCTCAAATGGTTAAAATCTCAGGCTCTTTCCGACAATCCTGAAGCTTGGTTGCGCGATGATGAGGTAGATTGTGGACGGGTTTGGGTCATCGGCGACTCCTCCGGCGGAAACATGGCGCACCATTTGGCCGTCCAGCTCGGGCCTGGTTCGCCGGAGCTCGCACCGGTTAAGGTTCGTGGCTATGTTCTGATGGCTCCATTTTTCGGTGGGACCTTGAGAACCAAGTCCGAAGCAGAAGGCTTGCCCGAACCTCAATTGAACCTAGACATTCTTGACAGGTAATTTCCTAATTTTTCTTTGGTAGCCCTTAATTTAAGGCCACTGTTGGCCAAATATTCAATACTCAATAGAACTAGTGAAAATATGTAAGCGGTAATTGAGACAAAGAGAATAATCAGTAATCAAGCATTCGTAATATTCTCAGTATTAGTATTATATTTACGCGCTCAGTCAATGGTCAAAATATCCATGCATGTCGTCTCCATGATCGCGTAAGTTGAATACAGTAAATTTTAATTCCATCTAAAGGAATCCAATCAAATTAAACCGTCCAGCAAATCTGGATCATCATTTAAGACCGGAAAGCTAGCCAGCTAACTCCCCAACTTTTTACTATTGGTGGATCTGAATCCATCACTTCTTATTGTTTCAATATTTATAATTATTCACAGGAATACACTCGCATGTATTCCGTTCGTTCTAAAATAAAACTTCTGTAGTTTACTCTAAAATTTTTTTAACAAATTGGATATTCATTCGAGATAGAGGAAATATTAAACAGCAGGTCAGTTTGACCATAGATATAATGATGCCAATTGGTCAATGAGTTCCCAAAGAAATGACATTATATTTCACTGGGTACTTACTTGCATGCTTACTTTTAGGTTTTATATCAAACTGAATATGTACAAGTCCCATAAACACAGGTTATGGATGCTATCATTGCCGATAGGGAAAAATGCGGATCACCCTCTGGCAAACCCGTTTGGACCTTACAGCAAGAATCTGGAAACAGTGAAGATGGATCCGATGTTGATTATTGCTGGAGAGAAGGAATTGCTAAAAGATAGGGTGGAGAACTATGCCATGAAGCTGAAGAGTTTTGGGAAAAAAGTTGAGTACGCAGAATTTGAAGGACAGTATCATGGTTTCTTCATCAACGACCCTTACTCCAAATTAGGTGACAGAGTTCTTCAACACTTAGAAAGTTTCATTTCAAAACTTTCTGGTTAGTCAATGGTGATATGCAACATGCAGACTATGCAGTTATGAATAATAGTTAACGGAGTGGTTAATTTGGAAGATGACACCCAATACCCCATATATACAACTCTTTTTATACCTCACCTCTACCATGCGATGTGTCCTGGGAGAATTACATTCCAATGAGTTCTTTACCTATCAAAATAAGGTTGTTAAAAAAAATGTAAAGGAGCAATAATTGTGGCACGTATTTTTTGTTTAAAAAAGAGAGCTATTTTATTTTATTATTATTATTATTATTTTTAATTCTTATGTACTGTAAATGTGTTAAAAAGATACTTGAAATAAGTTTTAAAATGTACGTTAAAATGTTGTATAGATAATATTTATTTTGCAGTAGAATTTGTGTTTAAAAAATATTTTAAATTGAAAAGAGGGTTTAAATGGATGGACAAACATACATTTGTGTGGACAACATTTTGTTTTTTGTTTTTGGTTTGGATTTGGATTGAGATTTAAATTGTGTTTTAAGTGAAAATTTTAAAAGTTCCTTGGATAATAAAATAAAAAATATTATTATTTTTCATCACCGGATAACATTCACCATGTCGGCCGGTCACCTACCACCTTTGCGGCCATCGAATCATTCTTGGCCACTGACCACCGAGCCGGATTATGGCCAAATTTGTCGGAATGTGGCCGGAATACGACTGCCCGGTTGCCGTCCGATGACGGCTGGCGATAGTAGGTGGTAGAGGTGGTCCAGTAGTAATGAGTGAAAATTGTGTAAAAATTATGTTTAACATAAATTTTAAAATTTATATTGAAAATTTGTATATATAGTATTTATTTTGCATAGAGATTTGTGTTTAAGAGTTGATTTAAATTGAAAGTTATTTTAAGAGGTTGTCCAAAGGGCTTAGATATTTACAGACAGAGATTTGGAGAGGGAAAGAGAAACAAACAATAATGTGCACGTAGTAGGATCAATAAAGTTAGTAATGAATTTAGTAGGAAAATATAACTAGTGCGACCATGGATTTCTACCAGGAGCACGCCTTCTAATCTGTAGTAAAAATGTACAACATTTTCCTGATATATTCAAGAGTTTTATGGTTATCTTTTAACATATTATAAGCAGTCAATTTCCATACAAGATGAGTAAGAGGGAAAGTGACAGTACAATACAATGATTAAGTGCTAAAAGACTATAAATTTTTTGATACACGAAGCAAGCACACATAGAAATTTTCACTGGACTTGGACCCTTTTTCGGATGCACAAACAAAAAAAATATTGTTAATTGCAATGAAATGAGTACAGTGCGACTTTTTTTTTTTTTTTCTTATTATGCATGATACAGAGAGTAAAAGTTGAGGTGAAATTGATCATTCATTTAAAAATGACACATGAAAAAAGTTATTTTGTGTATAAAATTCTTTTGTAGAAACCATAACGAAATAGACCAGACCAATCATTAGTTGAACTGAGTATACTGAAAAGATACAACTCTTCCAAATTTATATTGTATAGGTATGAGCAGTTGAGCACAGTATATCATTTCGCCATTTATTATCGCTGTCACCTTTCTTATCCTAGCTCAATCAAATTCCTCTTCTCCCATCCTATAAAAGAAATATATGGTTCACAATATTGATACGCGCATTCCAACACACATAAAAATTCAGTGACATAATACTACCAAATCAAGCTGTGATTAATTAATATGGGTACCATTCAACCTCACGTCGTAGAGGATTGTTGCGGAATCGTTCAACTCTATAGCGACGGCACTATTTTCCGCTCCAAAGACTTGAAGTTAGACTTTCCGGTCCACGACGACGGCTCCGTCCTTTGGAAAGACTACCTATTCCACCAAACCCACGACCTCCATCTCCGCCTCTATAAACCCGCGCCGCCGACGACCTCCGCCGCCGCAAAACTTTCGGTGGTTTTCTTCATGCACGGTGGCGGATTTTGTGTGGGGTCAAGGACGTGGCCTAACTTCCACAACTGTTGCATGCGCCTGTGTTCCGGGCTACAAGCCGTCGTCATTGCGCCGGATTATCGCCTCGCCCCGGAGCATAGGCTTCCGGCAGCGTTGGAAGATTCATTGAGTGCTCTTAAGTGGCTTCAATCTCAGACCATCAATAATAAAAATGATGATGATGGAGTGCCGCCGGTTGACGTTGACCGGGTTTACGTTCTGGGGGACTCCTCCGGTGGGAACTTGGCTCACCACTTGGCCGTACAGCTCGGACCGGGATCGCCGGAGCTGGCTCCGGTGAGAGTACGTGGCTATGTGCTGATGGCGCCGTTCTTTGGAGGGACGGTGAGGACTAAGTCCGAAGTGGAGGGACCTCCAGAACCGCTCTTAACTTTGGAGCTTCTTGACTGGTAAGCGTTTTAATTAGTTGACACATTTGACATGAATCGTGATAACTAATTTAAGGATTTTATTTTTATTTCTTTTCCAAGATTATATGAATCCTGATGATTAGTTAAACTTGCATATTAGTGTATATCATTTCCAGATTTTTTTTAAAAAAAATCAATATGAAGAGAAGATAATTTCTTCAAGAAAAGAAAAAAAAAAAAAGATTAGGACTGGTATTAAGCCACGTTCGATTTGATTCGTTATAGTATTACCCTCTTTATTCGCCATCGAAATACACTTCTAAAATTATAGACGAAGTATTATATGCTATTGGAATCCATGCCTTGATTCACCAATTATACAGTTAATCCACGGGCTTGAAGATCGTTAAAATTTGCATTTTCTACTATATTTGGCCAACCATTAAAAGAATGTGATCCTAGTACGATGATAGGATAGTCTCTCTATATTGGCCAACCATGATCAAATATCCTAGGTCGAAAAGAGAGTTTTATGTGTATTCTAAATAGATTGTTACATATTACATACTCTCAATATATGAATTTATTATTTGACTAATACAAATGAAGTTGGATAGATTTCTGTAGGGAGTCAGAACTCTCCTTAACAAATATTATTGCACTAAAGAAATCATGAATCCTTCAGGACCATGCTAGCAATCGCTAATTATCATAGGCTCTGACTGTTAATTGTTTAATCATATGGACCATGCGAGCTAGCTACGTTAAAATCAATATTTTTCGAGCAAAATATAGTTAAACATCCACTCCAAACTTCAAGTTTTGGTTGATGTGATGAACTACTCCTCTAAGACAAAAGGGAACAGAACACCATATCATAGGCATGCATTTTCGGGCTAGGTTAAGATGAGTGATCACGCATATTAATCATCTTAGGAATATTCTAAAAAATTACGGTAGGCACGAAAAACATCTACGTCAATAAAAAGAACCGCACATCTCTAGAGTGCGAAAAACAGTTGGATCGTTTAAATCAAAAGGTTGGAGATCATCCAAACATTTGAACAATTTTTATTTTTTTTTCCTAAAAATAATAATGATGGGTAGTGATAAAAATTATATGAGGTGCTGGGGGATGGCAGTCGGGAGCACTAAAGTCCAATGGAGCGTTGTGTATCTTTTTCTTGATCGCGATTGATACAGATGGATGATAAATCTCTCATTAAAAGCCTCTTTGGTCTTCTTGGTCTATTCCCAACCACTAAGGGTCAATCTTTACACCAGATACGCTGCAATCCATAAAATCTCTATTTCATTCACGCCGCATACTGTTTTGTGGTTCCCATAGATTTTCTCCTTCCATTTCTTGACAAAAATCCTAGTTTCAAACCCCTTTTTTCTCCCTTCAAAAGATAAGAGTTGATTAGTTGCATGATAAATAATTATGTCCAAGAAGAAATCATGTTTGCTGTATTATTTTCAGTTCAGACATTTCTTTTTTTTTTTCTTTTTTGTGATTGAGTATATATGGCGTCATACCCCCAACTTGGAATCCAAAAAAAAAAAAAAGAAAAAAAGAAGAAGTAACAATAATTAAATAAGTCAATACATGTTACACTCACTCTGTTTCACATGATAGTTTTTTTTTTTTTTTTTTGTTGAAAGAACATGATAGTTAGATTTATTAAACTTTCATGACTCTTACTTTGAGAATTAATCTATATAGTTTAGGGGAAAATGAAAATATTTTCTAATCTTTCTCTTTTTAATGCACAAAAAATTATCTTATCTAAACGTCAATATGATTCGGAGCATCCACGATTGATCTTTAATTAATTAGCTAGCCAAAAGCCATATACACAGTGTATATCCAGAATCTAGCTTTTATTTGTCTTTTAGAGAAGGCCTACGTGAAAGATTTACTTTTTTATAGTCATGACCAAGAAACTCACTAAATTTTGTCTTTTTCATCAAAAAGATATGATGCATCACTAATAGGACAATAAAAGCTAAATTACGTCAGTTTCCTGAACTGCTAATGAATGACCGGATGAGATGGCTGTAGAGTGTAGATTCAATTAATTAGTGCTTAATTAGTGAGATTTTCTTGTCCCCTTGAGTACGTTACCTCTTGAAACTGTAGCTAATAGCCGCCACTCAATCAGTTGGTCCTCATGTCTGAATGTATATGTCTGCATTCCCTTTCTGAAAAATTTTGGTTATTTTTATCTATATTTTTTCCATTTCGAGATAATACGGCCAAAATTAGATGGAAGAAGTACGCTACAATTTTCTTCATTTTATTTGTAATTAAAAATATATTTTTTTAATAAGAAACTAGATAGTACTAGTATTTATTCACATAATTATGACATTTTTTTCCTAATTAAAGGTGGCTTTTCGTTTAACTACAAAAAATGAATTATAGTTTTTGGAGGCTGTCATTACCGATTGGAGAGACTGCGGATCACCCACTGGCGAATCCTTTTGGGCCTTTAAGCCCAAGTCTGGAATCGGTAATTCTGGACCCACTATTGGTGATTGTTGGGGGAGGTGAGCTGATGAAAGATAGAGTGGAAAACTATGCAAACAAATTGAAGGAATTAGGAAAAGAAGTCAAGTACCTTGAATTCCAAGGAAAACCACATGCTTTCTTTACCAATGATCCATACTCGGATGTGTCAAGTGAAGTTTTGAAGCAGATTAAGAGTTTTATTAGCCAAATTACTCAGATAAGTTAAGAACAATGATACAGATAGTGAGAAAAAATAGTGAAAATACATAGTGACTGATGTGTTTATAGTAATTAAGGGTAAGAGGGTAATTTTGGAGGGAAAGAAAAAATTTCAATGACAAAGCGGTAACAAAATAGGGGGTACACATCAGTCACTATGTCTTCTCACTATATTATTTCACTAAGAGTATCATTTTCCGATAAGTTAATTATCTTACGTACTTTATGATACTTTATCATGTAAATTGCGTGTTAAATGATATGGTAGAAAATTGGGGAATTCGTATATATTAATGTATTTCTTTTTGTTTCTTTCTTTTTTTCTTTTTTCTTTTTTTGCTTTCCATGCGCGGTGTGTGGATTTGCTTACATTAAGTTGTTGTGTAATGAACTTGTGATGTTGGTTTTCATCTGAGAGCACATATATACAATATATATGTATATATATGCATGGCACATTATACGTAGTCCGTGAGTACCGCGACAAAAAACCTTAGCTAATTAATGACCTTTTGCCGCTGGTTACTCCGGCTATTGAGACTCTTACTCAACTCAACAAATCACTCATTCAATATGTTCCCAAGAGTATTGATCACTCTCATATATTTTACCCATCAGATGTTGAATTCACGGAAGAAGCAAAATTCATGGACCAAAAATGAAGAGGTTTATGCATCCTCTAGGAAAAAATTGTTCTATTTGAACTTTCACTTTTAATAGCACATCTGGCATCAGTATTATGTCGAATTAAGAAGTTTAGTGCTCAAAATTGATCGCGGGGAAGTTAAGGGACCTTGATTCATTATAATTTAATGGACAAATTAACATGTACGTACTGATTCACATCTTAATTTAGAAATTATATTTACCAATATTAGTGATTAAAATTTTACAATTAATATGTATCATTATCGTACATCGATCACTAACCAATAAGTTTCTTTTAACCAATAAGTTTCATTATCGTACAATTCTATTGGCAGGTGAAAGTTTCAACGCATATAGATAAGTTAGATAGATATGTATCATTACTTCAAAAAGGAAATTTGTAGTTTGCTGGCCAATGTCAACGAACAAGTATTTCTTTTTATATTATATTGTAATAATTTAGAGGGAATCCGTGACTCAGGTTCCAACTAATTTAATTAGTTTTACAAAGTGCAATTAGTTATAGCCGGCACAAACTTGGAGCACTATAGTAGCTCCAGTATTCGTGCTTTGAAACATATATTATTATATACTCCCTCCGTCCCATAATTATTGTCCAGTTTGAGTTTTCATTTCTAGTTCAAATTATACTAAAAATGAAATCTTAAACTGGACAATAATTTTGGGACAGAGGGAGTAACAAATTGCACGATCCTTAATCACTTTATCTAAAAATAATTTTTCTTCGAATTTTTACTTGTAGTAGTAAGTAGTAGTATGTTTTGGCACCGATATAGCAAAAATGTTCTCTTTTGGAAAAGAACCAATGGTTCCACTGATGAATGATTTTTAAGGCCTAAGCATTGACAATTAAAAGATGCGAGTGCATGTTGTGTAAGTTGCCATATATATAGTATATTATAATACTCTTGATTCCAAAATAAATTACTAAGCAGACGCAAGTCCGCATTATTACACATTAAAATTTGTTAATTACTTAACCCCAACTAATCAAATTTTAAATTATCCTGTGTTGAAAATGACTTGAGTCACCAGAGATCTCAGATTTTTGATAAATACATTTCTGTTTCTTCATTATTCTCAACAAACAAACAAAGAAAAATTCACATGGAAGCCGAAACTTGTAATTCTCCTCCAAGCCCACCAGCAGTGGTAGAAGAATGCTTCGGCTTGTTGAAGCTCTACAGCGATGGCTCCATTTCCAGGGTCGATCCAAATACCATTCCAAACTACCGGGTCGAAACCCGCGACGACGGTTCCGCCGTTTGGAAAGATTGCGTTTTCGACCCGGAAAACAACCTCCCGCAGCGCATTTACGTTCCCAAAGATCATCATCATTCTCATTCATCTTCCCCAGCAGAAAAGATTAGGCTTCCGGTGGTGTACTATTTCCACGCTGGAGCTTTTTGTTTCCCGTCGTTAAACGCGCACAACGTTTGTCTCAGCCTCTGTTCTGGTCTTCAGGCGATTGTGATCTCGCCTTTCTTCCGGCTGGCGCCGGAGCACAGGCTCCCGGCGGCCGTCGAAGATGCGCTCGGAGCACTCGAGTACCTACAAAACCAGGCTGCGACGTCAGAAAAAACTGATGCATTAATTTGCGGGGATTGGCTGCGTCGTGATGGGGTTGACTTTGACCGGGTTTTCATTTTTGGTGATTCTTCCGGTGGTAATATAGCTCACCACTTGGCGGTGCTTCTGGGTGCGGGTTCGCCTGATCTCCGGCCTATCAGGGTTCGTGGATATATATTATTGTCGCCGTTTTTTGGTGGCGTTGAGAGAACAAAAAGGGAGCAAGAGAATCCACATGAAGAGCGTTGGACCCAGGAAATATATGACCAGTAAGTTTATTTTTTTTCCCTAATTTTTTTTTATTTACAATTAATAAAGTTATGGTTTACTAAAAAATGACTAGGCCTCCGTCCATCTCCAAATCTTTGTTCAATTTGGATTTTTTACTTTTAGTTTAATTTTGTACAAAAATTGAAATACTATTAAACTGAACAATAATTTCGTGACGGAGAGAAAATGATATTAAATGACTAATATAATATCTCTCTATTTGTTAATTTCATTTCACTTTCTTATTGAGTCTTTTTTTTTTATTCTCCTTTTTCATAATTACTAATAAAACTTTACACTTGGTCAATGCATAAACCTAAAGTGTGAATAAAATTAATAACAACTACAACTGGCTAAATTTATTCCAGAGAACTGTTGCATTTTAAATTGGAGTACTCCCCCTGTTTCATAATTATTGTCCAGTTTTACTAAAATGAAAGATTTTATTTTTGGTTAAACTTAACTATATTTTACCTTAAACAACCGGATATACCCCTATATAAGTAATTGTTTAACCACTAAGATTTTATGGATAATGTTTTTTACTAAGGACAAATGTGTAACTTGATCCATAAAAAGTCAAATTGGACAATAATTTTGGGACAAAATTTTTTGGGCAAAGTGGACAATAATTATGGGACGGAGTGAGTATAATTTTTCCACTCTTCCTAACAAACGAATAACAGAATTTTCCTCTTATATTAAAGAAATAAGCTGTTAGAGAAGATTGATGATCCCCCTTATAAGTAATAAATAAAAAAAGGATAAGTATAATAATACAAAGTCTGTGTACACGAAAACAGATTTTGGAGATTGGCATTGCCAAATGGAGCTAACAGAGACAACCCGCTGGCTAATCCATTCGGGCTGGATAGCCCAAGCCTGGAAGGTGTCAGTTTGGATCCGATTATGGTTCTAGTTGGTGGAGACGAATTGTTAAGGGACAGAACAGAAGCTTATGCAAATATGATGAAACAATTGAAGAAGGACATTACCTTAGTTGAGTTTAAGGGAAAGCAGCATGGTTTTTTCACCACCTGTTCTTACACAGAAGAATCCCAGAATGTCATCAAATTATTTCACACCTTCATGTCTGAATCATCCAAACTAATATCTTAATGAGTGCTTCCTCCATATCCAGCTAAATAATCTATTTTTGTTAAACTATCGTTGGAAACGGAAGGAGTTTAAGAGAATTACGATGGAGTCATAATTTGAACTCTTGAGTTATTGTAATTCGACATAATGTGTGATTTTCTCCCAATTATATTAAGAGCATCTGCAGCAATGGGTTTAATGTCAGTTTAATGCCAGTATTTTATAGCCATTCCAATTAGAGTGAGTTTAAAAATTTGTGCGTAGAAGCATATTCAAGCGATTGAATCTGACTATTGCGGGATCAACAAAAAATAATTTCACAGTTTCCTTTTCTTTCATTTTTTTCCTTTTATTATTTTTTTATACCTTTTAAGTTTTAACTGATATATTATATGTGTGTATCAGAATTTAACAGTTGAAGAAAGAAGTGAAAAAAATGACATATGACAAAATGATGATATGACATTCAAATAGAGTGCGATTGATGTGGATGCTCTAAATAACATTGGTATGGCAAAAAAATAAAATAAAATAAAAGAGTGGACAAGCAATAAACTCGTTGATGTTACATTTTCAGATTTGATGTGAAATTAATTAAGCAAATAATTTGCGCCAACCTAGATATACCCATGAGAATGAGATGTTGGGAACTATTATGTCTGATAAAGTTTCAAAAAATGTTAACTTGTATTTGTTTTTAGGTTTAAAAAAAAAAACTTTAAAACAGTGATCAAACTTAAAATTTGCATTGCTGATTATTTTTTCGTTGGTAAGGGAATCTTCTTCTAAAACCTTTTTTTTACCGTTACAAAAATCTCAAAAAATGAAATTTAATTCTCCAAACACGGCTTCAATATTTGGACTAGGCACATCAAAGTGGAACAGTATACTTAAATTTTCAAGGCCCAAGACCCGCATCCCGATATCAGAGGCCCAATGGTGTGTGCCATAAACAATTTCTATGAATCCGTTAGATTTTCTTCCGCCATTGAGGACGGCTGAAATCACCACACTGAGCTGAAGCTCCGGTGAATGTCCACACCATAAGTAACGCTAATCTCTTCTTCACTTTTACGCGGGAATATCCAATTATGACTGGTACGTTAATAATAGGAGTATAATTTATATGGTTGAGTAATTTTTTTGGGCTAGGTTTAAGAAATTAGTATTTCTGTCTTCTCCGTCTTGTAGTTTGTATTGTAATTTCTTGCCTCTTGGGTATCTAGCACATTTTGATGCTTCTTAGAACTGTTTTTTTCCTTCTTACAATGGCTTAGATTATTATTACTTTATGTGCTGAATTTTGGACTTGTAAGATGTCATGGAGGCGCTCGCGATTGATTGTTGAGTCTCCAATGAGTAAATGGCTTTCGGTAATCGAAATGATGCATTAAGAATGTCAGTTTTCGATTGATACTGTGATGATTTGATGCACTAAAGAATCAGGAGGACCTCAAAACTATTCGGATTAGAATTTGGATTCCATTTTTAGTTTTAAGAAAGTCTTTTTCTTTTCCTGCTAAAAACGAAATTTCTTATTCCTTTCAGTCACGGATGTTTGCATTTGTTGATTCAGACATTACAGAGGGAATCATGTCAGCTAGCATCGACTCCGAGAACAAAAGATCCAGAAGGAGGAGGAAGCAGCCCGCAAAGAAGGATGACTCTGGCCATGGAAACGAAAACCATTCTAATGGTGAAGCTTCAGTATCAAAGAAGATTAAGGCCTCAAAGAAGGTTGCCGAAGATGTTTTACTACCTGAGCAAAGGGCTATACCTGATACCCCCCTTCTCCGTAATCTTGGAAAGCACCCCTCGATATATGCGAGGCTTGGACGGGTGAAAAGTTAGAATTTTTCGGGGGTTATTTAAACGTTAATCACTTCCAGGTCAGGTTCTCACATTTGGCTTTTTGCACAGGGTACTTTGTCCCAAAATCTTAATTTTCGAGGAGCTTGGCCTACAGCACTTGGATTGTATCGTCAAGCACATGATGTGTACAAGCAGCTTTTTGTTTCTGCTGGATTTGGAGATTTTCTGAAGATCAAGGCTGTGCATATTCCACAAGCATATCTTGTGGCCTTAATGGAGAGGTGGTTTAGCGAGACAAACACCCTTCACTTACCATTCTGTGAAATTGGTCCAACACCTATTGACTGGACAATGATCACAGGCCTGCAGTTTAGAGGCAAACCTATCAGCTTAAATCAAAATTTTCAGATGAATCAAGCATTGGAGCTCCTCGGTGTTGAACGTGGAGCTGTTACAGAGGGAAAGATCCGCCTCAGTAGCATTACACCAACCTTTGAAGAGGTGAAGCTGGCACCTGCAAGTGATGAAGCTAAGGGGGTTATGTTCCGAAGGCTATTTCTCTATTTTGTTGGTAGTTGCTTTTTCAACAATAATCGGTCTGTGATTAGTCATGAGTTTGTGAAGTGCTTGGAGAATGTTGATGAGGTTGGAAGCTACGATTGGGGGGCAATTACATTTGCAGCATTTCTAACTGGGATGAGGAGAAAAGTTACTGGAGAAACAGGATCCTTTACAGGCTTCTGGCCTTTTCTTTTGGTACTCATCACAAATTTTCTTCTTTTCATTCTATATTGTTACCTTTTCTCTTTGGGAGCTTCCATTTCGTAACTATTCTTAATTATATTATTATTTTGTTTTTATAGTTCTGGGCTTTCGAGTATCTGGACGTCTTTCGGCCAAATATTACTGGAGGTAATGTTTTCCCTAGAGCCATTCGCTGGAGTTGTCCCAAACTACTGGCTTCTGCTGACTCATCTGATCTCTTTGCTGCACGCTGCCAGTTGGATTATATTGAAGAGACTCAGGTTAGTTTCTTTGTGTTTGAGTCAGCTTATTTCCTGTCAGCTTTCCACGCAGCTTCATGCCTATTTTGTTGTTGCTTCTATTCCAGGTCACCTGGCAACCTTATTTAGGTAGTGCGGAAATTTATTCACACGACATGGTACAGACAATTCTTCTTGCACAAAAACGGGTTCCATTTTGGAGTGTTGATACCTGGGAATACTATCTTGGAGAAAGATGTCACCGGCAATTAGGTTTTCCCTGTCGAGTTCCTTTCCCACCTCCAGCTAAGATGCATGGTAATTATGATTTAGTACCAGAGGATGAGATAGGAGTTGGGAGACCAGTTGATATTCTTCTGATGGATGAACATGTAGATTATTCTTCATGGTTTGCCACTCACTCTATTGGGAAGATTGTTGACTTAAGTCAGTTTCTAGGTGGTGTGGAAATTGGGTCCAGGGTCTTGTCTCATTGGCTGGTGAGACTTTCTGACCTTTTCGTTGTGAAGTCCCATTCTTTTTTCTGCCTCTCTAAGTACCAGATCTGCCCTTTTAGGCTGTCCACCATCCAGATAAGATACTCGTCCAACGTTCAGAGTATGAGGCGATGACAGAGGCCCGTGAAGCTGCTATTGCTGAGTGTAAAATTCTTCGAGAAAAGCTGGTGATGTCTGGTTCTGATGAGTATTTCAAGAACTGTGTTAGTAGATAATGCTAAATATGTGCTTACTTCTGTAAATTTCTGGCTCAGGCCAAGGGACATTCCTAGGAAGCTTTCAGCTATTGTTGCATGAAGAAGTTATTGACATTTTATGGTCTATTCAAGGTATTTCCTCTTTCAGCTTCGGATTTACTTTTTACTGTTAGGTTATTCTATCCAATTTTTTATTTTCTAATCAGTCTCACCTGAGCTCTTGCAGCTGGGGTGCTCGGTTTAATCCTAGGGTTCTTAGTGAGCCAGGGTTTTTACAATACCAAACTGTGTAAAGTTCTACACGTCAACCCCACCAGAATGGCTGCTAGGAAGACAGAGCTGCTTGTAGATATTGTTGCTTTTGCTTCTGCAATTGCCCGAGTTTTGTGAAGCCTTCCTGGTTTGCGGTTTGAAGCTGTCTGTGCGTAAAGATGCACGCATGGAAACCAGGGTGTAACATATTTGAATTATAGCTTCAGACTGAACCATGATTATTTTGTTGGCTATCACGGGCAGAGTATTTGAAGCATTGCTATCATGCTGTATGACTCAGTTATAGTCCCTTGAATTATACCGAAAGCTGCTTCTGGATTTCTCATTGGAGAACTCTGCTAGATTCAACTCACTGAAGATGGCAAAAATCCTGCAATATTAAGCCTCCTATTATTGCCATCCAATTAAGTAATGTGGCGTTCGATTGCCGGAGGTTTGACTTTGATGGGCTGATGAGTTGTGCTGTTGATTAACATATTTATACGCAACTCAGCCATTTGATGGATCTTTATCCAAATCTGTTGGACTGCTTAGACTAGATATGTTACATTTACAGTCCATCATTTCTGTCCTTTAGTGCCTGTATATCAAATTTCGCAATAATGTTCAAGAAATATCAGCAGACAGGAATCTGCTGTTGCCGCGGTTGATAGTTATGATGTTTCTAGTAAATGTAGTTGCATCAATGTTTCGATTTCAGCAAATCCCGCCGAATGCCAATCAGCTGTGCTCTGTAACTTACTGAACTAAATTCTTTACAAGCAGGGGTCCAGATGATTGAATAAAATGTCTTACACCTTGGCACTCATCTTCTTGTCTTTACAACCTGAAAGGTTCATTGAAGGGGGTGTTTTTTGATCTTTGGACAATCGTGGTTATTGTGAAATGATGATCTGCTAGACTAACTTTCTCATCACGTTGTATCACCACCTTTATTTTCCCCCTAATTGGAACAGCAATTACCAACTTGAACAGAAGTTGTGTCTTGTGAGGTTTTCCTTTCCCTTTCCTTCTCCATTGATTACTTACTTTTAATCTAACCTAAAGAGCACGGCGAAACTGACATATCCCAATTCACAAGGGCATGCTTATCTTCAAAGCTCTTAAGAGTAGGTCCTGCTTCCTTTTTCCCTTCACGTTGATTGAGAACTTTTTCTAGCTCAGTTAGGTTAGGGAGCAAACAAGATGAAATTGCATGAACTACTTCCATAAAATGAACTTCCACACTTGTCAGAGAGGACCACAAAGGTCCACAACTGTTGTAATGGTGGTTTTGACAATAATACGAGTTGCATTACGATGAATTGCCATCATTTTACAACTGAGAATCTCGGAGATGCTTTAAAGCGTTGATAATAATCAGAATCACGATGGACCCTTTTTCTCCATTGAGATATCGCTCGTGCTATAATATTCATCCACTTTTATCAGATATTTTTGTTCACTACAGGTAGGTAGAGTGAGTTAATTTATTTATTTATTTTTAACTTTTGTGATCCATCCTAAATGGAGTTGGAAGAGTCATTATTGACAATTCTTTCAACTTTATGTTAATAATGGATTAGATCAAAATGACTCATCTAAATTCCGACGCTTCTTAATTCTGGTGAAATTTTTGAAAATCAATACATCAATGCACCAATACATCTTGGGTCGTACTATTTAAACAGATTCTCTATATTTATATATAGGGGTAAGGCTGTATACATCTTGACTTCTAGATCCCAGCCAATTTGAGAATATACTGGTTGTTGTTGTTGTAAACTTTTGTTACCGCATTCTTTTTGGTTGACGTAGTTTATGAGCCTCGAAATGCTGATTCGTTCGTTTAATAAAAAGCCACCCGTATACAACATATGTATTTGCAAGTGATGTTGATGTAACCATAATTTTAAAGAAGAAAAATCAAAGAACGTGGCCCTCAGTAGCATCATATTTTGCAAATTGTTAGCACACCCAATTCGCGTTTGATCAACTAAAAACCTGATCTCTTTACCTCTCTACGATATTGAATAATATAGTTTCGAAAAATTGGCAGTGATTGGATCCGACATTTGACATTTCCCATCGAAGTTTCGAAGCTTTGGCATTGACCCCGTACTAAATCGCTCAATCTTCCGGCTGTTGGTCACGTGAGAGATTTTTTGCACTTTTTAGAGTACTTATAAGATAAGAAAAAAGAGGAAAAAATAATTAAAAGGGATAAATATCATACTAAGCAGAAAAAATGTAAAAAAATTAATTTAAACATATAGTATATATATCGTTTTAAAACATTATCACGCCTTCTCCGGTTGTAGAATCCGTCAATTCCTCCCTCCAAAAAAGTAAAGCAACTCTCATTTCCCCAAATTACCCCTGGAATCTTTGACCTTTTTTTCTCTTACTAAGACCACAATCCGTTTCTCTCTCTCTCTCTCTCTAAAACACAATAATCATTTTTTTTTTTTTTTGAAGACAACACAATAATCATTTTTGTTGTCTACTTTTCTTCTTCACGAATTACGAAGCATAATAATAACCAAAATCAGATTAATAGAAAGAAAAAAAAAAGAACTCTAGGGTTCGAATTATATTCCACACTCTCTCTCTCTCTCTTGTAATTTTTATTTTTTTGAGTTGTCAAATTTTATTTTTTTTTTTGTCTTCTGGGTGTCCGTCTCCCCACCTTCCTTCAATCTGTGTAAAACCAAACCGGGGAAATATCATTTCAAATTCTGATAATTCCCCCAGGTATTCCGAAGCCCAACGGTTTATTGAATCACCCACCCCCGGAAAACGAAAACAACAATAATTTATTATCACAAGTTTCAGGAATTTCGTTTTCCCGGGAAAATTTCAGCTCGTCTCTTCAGCTTCAAAATCTTCCAGGTGAGTTGCCCTACCTACCCCCCTTTTTGATGTCATTGTTTGTCTTTAATCAGCTCACTCCGCTATTGAATCTCTCCGATATATGTTTTCCGATTGTTAGGGTTTTTTTAGTTTTTTTTCTCCCCCATTTTTTTGGGGGCGAAATACTGAATTGATCGGGGTTCTTACGGTTTGAAATCATGCAGGATATTGTTTCTTCGTATTATTTGATCCGGTAAGGGTTGTGGGAAGGTAATCCGGGAAGGGAAATATATTTAGAGCGGCAGGTGTGGGTGTACGGAACCTCTTCCTTTTTTTACCCCCAATTTGATATTATTCTTTTATGGAGTGACATTTCAAATTGCTATATTTGTGAAAATTTATTGCTGCGGAGGTTTAATTTGGGGATTTAGCGGTTGAGTTTGAATGCAAGTTTGGAAATGGATTCAGATTTCACAACAACATCCACAAGTTTCGTCAAGTGTTGCGATTGTGGTTGTAGTTGTTCCCCGATCATGAACAGGTCTTTTTCTGGCACCATGCTTCGTTCTGTTAAGAGGAAATTGGATGAATTCGAGGAAGAGAAGAATAAGTTCTCTATTCCAGGATTCGTTTTACCTCAGAATGCTCGTGTTGAAGTTGAAAATGAATGTGTGGCACTGCGTGAGATGGTAGCCAATCAGCAGCAAAACATTGAGGACCTCTCTGCTGAGTTGGACGAGGAAAGGAATGCGTCCTCATCTGCTGCTAATGAGGCCATGTCTATGATATTAAGGCTGCAGAGGGAAAAGGCTGAGATTCAGATGGAGTTACGGCAGTTCAAAAGGTTCACCGAGGAGAAAATGGCACATGATCAACAAGAGCTTTTGGCTTTGGAGGATTTGTTGTACAAGAGGGAACAGGCCATTCAATCACTAACATGTGAGGTACAAATGTATAAACACAGGATGCTGAGTTATGGCTTCCCAGATGTTGAGGCTGACGGAGGCAAATCAGTGAATGGCACAATCACACGGAACAATAGCGTGCTTGAAAACCTTGATGGACAGTTTGAATTTCCCACGTATGATTACCCCCCTCTTAAATGCAATCTGAATGAGAATCAGATTTATTCAGAGGCTGATAATGAAGTTGTGGATGTTGAAAAGTATGCATTTGGGGAAACTCCACGGTCTCGGGATCAGCTGAAAGATTTGGAGTACAGAATCAATCAATTGGAGAGAAGCCCCCGGAGTAGTCAGCCAGAAGGGGAATTTATGGGCCCAAAAACTGTCCTTGAAAAAGTCATAGTTGGTTATTCTCCAAGAAGGAATCGGCATGCAAGGAAGTTCTCAACTGACAGTACTAGTTCATTCCCTGCAAATGGTAGAGAAATGGGTCCTGATTTTACTGCTGATTCTCCCAAGTTTGGTGGCAGTTTCAGGAAGACAGACTTTTCACAGACGGAGGAATTTTCTAATTCGAAAAAGGTTGACAATGTCTCAGATGTTGGAGATGACATGAGTGACAGAGTTTACACTATTGATTCAGTTTATCCTGGGGTGACCCATTTTAATGGTGATAGAGAACCCAAAGCTTCTGTTGCTGTTGGTGATGATTATATGACAACTCCTCGGGGTTCAATGTCAAATAACAATATAGGGGACCCAGAAATACAGAAGCTCTACATGAGACTTCAGGCACTTGAGGCTGATAGGGAATCAATGAGGCAGGCCTTAATTTCTATGAGGACAGACAAAGCACAATTAATACTCTTGAAGGAGATAGCACAGAATTTATGCAAGGAAATGTCACCGGCGCGAAGGCCACCTCCGAGGAAGCCATCTTTGATTGGGAGCTTGTCCTTTATCTCTATTATTAAGGTAGCATGATTTCTTCCTTTGTTTAGATTTGTCATCTAGTTTGATTTTGATTTCTTCCTTTAGTATAATATTGTCATAATCTTGACCTGCATTGCTTGTCTTCCTGCATTTTTGTTACATCATGTATCTTTATATTATTTAACTTTGGCATATGCTATTGTTTCTGGGGTTAATTGGTTTGCAACTTCACCAGGAATTATTTCCCTGGGGGTGAAAAATTTCTTAAGCAGTGTATAGTGGATTTGTTTGCTCTGGATACTTGTCAAGATAACTTAACTTACGACCAACTAATTTTAGGTTTTTTAAACTCTGTTGCTGCAATGTAACTGAACTTATACAGTTTGCTTCTAAACCAGAAGTGTAACTGTGAGCTCATGTGCTTGGATATGCACAGGGAAACTTATATTTCGCGACTAATTTATGCGTCTCTAATTACTCGTCTCTTTCTGCATCTTGTTCAATTTTCATTTTTTAGGTAGAACTGGAACAGTCTTATGAGCCCTACTTTAACTTGCTTGAGATGGATGAATATTTCATACCGTTTCTGTGCTAAATAAATATTTATGAATAGACTGCTGTTTTATGTTCTCCTGTCTTCACTTTAGTGCAGAGGAAAATGTCTGCTGGGTTTATTAGTGGTTATAGATAATATAAAAATTTATTCATTTTGCTAACAAGGTGGTAGGACAAAAACAACCGTTGAATGATTTTGTTGTCAAGAACAGAGCAACATCATAACACAAAAGCAACCGGAGGATAAGAAATTTAGTCAAAGTCCAAAAAATAGATTCAACACTGCCTCTATGGTGGACCAAATCAGTCGACGTTTGTTCTTATCCTCTTTTCTCTTTCAAAACTTCTACATTAGTATGTTTAATTTGTCGCTATTTGTATATTTTGTTGAAGAGTTGCTATAGTATTCATGTTGAACTTCTTGAGGTTTCTGGAATTAGAGGGGGGACCTCATGACAGTGATGACTGAAAACTGTCACCGAACTGCTAAGTTGCAACTTTTGTTGGTTGATACATAAGCATGTGGATAGAAGTTCTTGATAATTGCTGACCTTTTGCAATATGGTGTTTATTTTCAGTGGATCGTGTCTGTTGTGTTCTGGAGAAAGAAAGCACGCCGATGCAAGTGAGTGTTTCATATTGCTAACAATCAATTTAACTGAGATATCAAATAGTGGGCGATTTGATTGTAGAGGTCTTTTTTTGCGGGGTAGTTATTACATGGTTGGTTTGTGGGTGTAAAATGTGGATGACCAAAATCAAAAATACGAGTAAGAAAGAAAGGGAAAAAAAGGAAAAGCTGGGATGAAATTAAAGGAAAAAAGAGAAGGCAAGGGAAGGACAGGACCATACAAGACTAACTAGTTAGATGTTTGTCATATTTATAAATCTATTTTGTTTTGGTTCATCAGCTAACTCTTTTTGATTTTATTTTCAGGTATATGTTTGGGTTGTCAGGCAACAATGCAGGCTTGTTGATGCTCTTAGACAAGGGACCACATGTGGGAAAGTGGAGATGTCTTTCAAGTACACAATTATAGCACCTGCTTTGATGTCCTATCCATCTTCGGAGCCTTAGCTAAGAAAGTGAACATAGAGTGGCAATCTCATTGAGTTTTGTCCATTGTTGGAGTTTACATCCCTTGCTTGATTCGTGATGCTGCAAAATTTGGATTTGAGTTGTTTTGTGCAGTTGTCTTTGGTACTTCATTGTTTCGAGATCCAACTCACTGTTGGTTAATCAGCAAGAATTGTCATTACAGTATGGCCAGCCTTGCATGCGTTCAGTTGGTTTGGTGTAAGTTTAGCTTGTGATGCTTGTCTGATAGGTTGCTTTTGTACAGTGCCAATTGTGTATTGATTTGCCGATAAAATATGATAGTCCATTCTTTTCCTCCTAAAACACTTCATTTAATCGTTCCATTCAAGGAGTATGAAATTGTGAATACATCATGGCTGTTACTTGTTAGCCTAGCCAATTGCAAATTGAAAGTAGAGTGGAATCTGCTTGCGTTTTTTGTCCATTGTTCCCTTGCTTAATTCGTAGTGAGTGATGTTGCTAATATGGATTTGAGTTGTTTTGTGCAGACTTGTATCAAGTTTGACGCTTTATAGTGTTTCCAGATTCAGAAAAAAACTGTGTTGTTTAATCAGCAAAACTTGTCATTACAGTATGACCGGCCTTGCATGCATGCCTGGTCATACGGTTTAGTGTAGGTTTAGGCTTGCAAGAAAATTCCCGTCTGTTAGGCTACTTATTTACTGCACCATTTGTGCAGTTGCGAGAAAATTCTTGTCTGTTAGGCTGCTTATTTACTGCAACATTTGTGCTTATTGCCGATGAAATGTGATAGTTCCCCCATTCTTCTATGGGAGCTTACGTACAGTAACAAGCGTATTGCCGATGAAGATAGCGGATTCCAGAAACACTACATTATCAATATCCAACTAGTCTGTTTATTTTCCATTTTCTTTCAGGCGAGTGCGCGGCATGATTGATACCTATCATCAAAGGAATTCTAGAAAATTTTTCTTGTCGATTCTCTGTATCTCTCGAGAGGGAACATTTATGTTAAAGCAGGCCAGAATCTTGTATAAATTATGACTACTGCTACACACGCGCCATTGCTCCATAGAATTCATGAAAGGATTAAATTCTAGAATTTAGATTAACAATCGGAAAAGTACTAAAGAAGTGACAATTAAGTTAATTTTGGATTAAATTTGGAACTAGAAAGTTCAGGGACCAAAAAAGATCAAATGTCAAAGTAAGTGACCAAAAGACGTATTTTATCCTAATAGTTCAAAGTTTTAACTAACCCTCCTCCTTCCCCTCCTGCAGCTCTGCAAGCCTTTGCTCCGCCGCCCCACACACAATGTTCGCGGCAACCAAGAATTTCTTCTTTATCAAATCCCGGAAGAGAAGGAGGAGAAATAAGTTCCTCAAAGCTTCTTTGAAGAAACCGAAATTGCTTCCTAAAAAACATTTCTCCAGTCTCAGAGAACCTGAACTTGATGACACCATCCATCAATTTCAAGGAGGAGAAGACTATGATGACAATGAAGTGGCTTTCAGCTTGAAGGCTACCTCAGTTTCACGCTCCCATGGAGTTCAACCACTGGGCAATTTTTACCTGAGCACTTCTTCACACAATTCCAGAAATTCAGGCCTCGGTAATTTACAACCTTTAACTGATGAACTTGTTCTTGAAATCTTAGGCCTTCTTGATGGTATCCATTTGGGTGTTTTATCAAATGTTAGTAAAGCTTTTTATGTTTTCTGTAACCATGAATCCCTTTGGAGGAATCTGGTTCTCGAAAATTGTAAAGGTGGGTTCTTATACAATGGCACTTGGAGATCTACTTATATCCATGCAATTAAGCCTTCCTTTCAACTTTTGGATTCGGGATTGAAAGTTAGGGATTTTTATTCTGATTACTTGTTTCAGAGCTGGCTCTGTGCTAATCTCGAAATGAAACCCGAATGGCTTGAGAGAGATAATATAGTAAGAAGGAAAGGTATCTCAGTGGAGGAATTTGTGGAGAAATTTGAGGAACCGAATAAGCCAGTACTATTGGAAGGCTGTTTGGACGATTGGAATGCACTGGAAAAATGGGACAAGAATTACTTGATTAAGTTGTGTGGTGATGTCCAATTCTCTGCTGGTCCAGTTGAGATGAAGCTTCAGGATTACTATCACTACTCTGATTTGTGCAAGGAAGAGAGACCATTGTATTTGTTTGATCCCAAATTTGCAGAGAAAGTTCCGCAGTTGGGTATTGACTATGATGTGCCAATGTACTTTAAGGAAGATCTGTTCAGTGTTTTAGGCCCTGACAGGCCTGATTATCGATGGATAATTATTGGACCAGCTGGTTCTGGTTCTTCATTCCATATTGATCCCAACTCCACTTCTGCTTGGAACGCTGTTATTAAGGGGTCCAAGAAATGGGTTTTATTCCCCCCTGATGTGGTGCCACCAGGAGTGCATCCAAGCCCTGATGGTGCAGACGTGGCATGCCCTGTCTCTATAATAGAGTGGTTCATGAACTTCTATTCTGAAACTCGAAGTTGGAAAAAAAAACCCATTGAGTGTGTTTGTAAGGCTGGAGAAGTTATTTTTGTTCCAAACGGATGGTGGCATTTGGTTATTAACCTTGAGGATTCCATTGCCATTACCCAAAATTTTGTTAGCAGGTATTTCCAATTGCCAAATCTAATGCCTTCAGTAGTTATGCTTATAAGTTTAGATCAGTTTTCCTTGACCTTTACTTGAGAATTGGGATGCTTGTTTTATTTTTAATGCTCATCCATTTTTTTCTTTACATTGACAAATTTTATCTTTGAGATTGTTTCTATGCTTATGTAGCCAAAAGAATGTTATTAAAAGCAAATGCGGACTCCTAGAATTTACTTCTATTCTACTGTTGGATTTGTTTCCAGACTGGCTGCACTTGGAGCTCCTTAAATACTGAGATGAAGATAAAGCCTAGAAGGATTAGTGTGCATTACTTTCTGACACCGAAGCTTGAATAATGGATGCTAAATGAAGTTAAGCTGAAGCATTGTTTTTAAGGTTATTATAAGTAGGTCCTAGCATGCTAGGACATTTCCTACTTCCTGAGGAGTAGATTTAAATCCAAAGTGCATTTTCCTTGAAGAAGAGCACCCAAATATTATCATGGAGTTAAATTTTAACTTGTTTGGAATATCTTAATTCATCAATAAATTGTACAACGGCACGTGTAATTTCCAGCCAGTTGATTAACCCTAGGATCAATCAGTCAATCCCCACAACAAAGTGCTTCATCAGCGGAAGCACTCATTTTGTGGTTTGTAAATATCAACTTGCATGTGGCTCTATATTTTCAAGTTTTGTGCGCGCCTCTTTGAAAAATATCCCTGGTTTTGAGTATTTATTGCTTTCTTGCAGGAGGAACTTGTTGAATGTTTTGGGTTTTTTAAAGAAGCCGAATGCATGTGAGGTTGTTTCTGGAACGAGGGATCGGGTTAATTTGCACGACAATTTTAAGAAAGCCATTGAGGCATCTTTTCCAGGAACTCTTGATGAGTTGGTATTGAAGGCTGAAGAGAAAAAGATTCAGCAGAAGAAACTTCCATTTTGGGAATCTGTTGCAGATACCAATGCTGGTGCTTTCAAGTTTTCATTTTGATGTGCTGAATTGCCTCGTATGTTAGAGAAATGTTGATTTTGTAGCCAGAGAACTAGGTATTTGTTACTTGCGGGCACTAGGGTTTCTGACATTAGCTTGTTATTTGAGTTAGCCAGCAGATGCAATTTATGTGCTCTCTGTAGGTTTCATTTTCTATCAATCTTACGCAACATCAAATCAGAATTATTTGCTTTCTTCTGAGTAAGCACTACTTTGTTTTTACTAAATGGCATTACTGCGTGACACCAAAAGTGGTCATTTGCTTTCTTCTGAGTAAGCACTACTTTGTTTTTACTAAATGGCATTACTGCGTGACACCAAAAGTGGTCATTGGAGCATAATGTGGTTACTTCGACTCAGGAAAAAATGTCTCTTGATACTTTTTTGTATATGAAATTGCTCTGCATTTCATAATTACAAGCAATTTGCTGCTGGAGGCATTACGAATGCTCGGATATAAGCTAAAATGAAAACAACTACTATAAGCTAAATGCTCAACACTAATGGATTGGGAATTCCATAAATTAAGTTGGACAAAGAACTTAGTACAGATATAATCATGTATTCATATTACAAATAAGCCCAACAAGAAGTTCCAAGGGCAGTGAAGTGAGTTCCTAGAAAATATTAAACACGGGATAAGGAAGCTGTGATAGAACCATCCCCATACTTCAAGCCTTTTAAGAAGGAAGATCTTAGATGTGGGCTAAATATGGTCTGCTGAATACCAAAAGTGTAGCTACTTTCTTGCATTGTTTTGCCGGATGCTGTGCCTGCTTGAGGATCAGAATCCTGGCAAATGATGTCCAGAGCAGTATTCAAGCCAATCGATGTGGGTTCGGTCACGAAGCTGCAAATCACACGAGTTACAGCAAAGTAAGAAAAGAAATAGAACGTAAATCACTGCCAGAAAATCTTTCCATTTAATAGTAGTATCTGATGAAAAAATTGGTTGGCATAAAAACACCAACTCAACACGTTGGGACAACTCAAGAGTAGTGAACACCAAATACCAGTACACTAGTTCCCCACCCTCAGAGAGAACATGTTAGTCACGACAGCAAAAATTATTCATGGCAATTTCAACAGATACCGATATCCGCAAACTGCAATATGCTTAAGACCACAACAATCTGTAGCAGAACATAATGTTTGCTGAGCACCATCCATACTCCAAGTAACTTGTGTTACCAATACTAACACTAATTGTGGACAGTAGAAAGACCCAGGAACCTTTCCGTTTCAGCTTTTGGATGCCTTATTTGACACTATTCACTAATTTCGAATTGAAATATATTTATCTTTTCTAATTTCAACTTTGTTTTTCCCTCTTTCCCGATACAGTAACGACTACTCTCAAATCATGTGCAAAAATTTAAGAAATGAATGAACAGGAAAGACTACCAGGCTGCCAATGCACACTAGAAACTGTTACATGCTGACGTGCTTATGCTATAATCTCAAATAATATTAATGTGGTGGGCAAGTGAGCATACCTAGCCTCGAAGCTCTTCCCATCAGATGCCATAGCACTACATACAGAGGTAACCACCCATGGTGGAAGATATGTATCTTTTATTTCAACACTATAACAGATTCCAGGAGATGAGCCCCGAGCAAGTTCAACCTCTCCATTAAGGTCTTTTGATGACAAGTGCAATTGATCAGCTCGCCTCACCTCCTTACACCTAACCTGCATGCTCTCAGGTATTATCAAATATGTGATTTGAGTGACTCATGTTGCTGCTTAGTAATGAATCATACTCAAAACCAATATAACTCAAGGAGACGGTGAAATATAGCATCTTGGTTTATAGAAGATAGAGAAATCACAGAATCCTTCACATAGAATCTGAATTAAATCTAACTTAAGAACCCAATGAAGTATGCATTTCTTTTATGTTTCAATTATACCAAGCCCACCTGAGGAGAGGAAAGAGCACCATTTTCAAATGGCACCGGTGAACATAAGATAGGAACATCTACACCAGTGAGGGAGGTCAAATAGTATCTGGATATACAAACCAAGTATAATCAGATGTAACAATAAGTGTGCATCACGTCAACTAAGTTATGAATTGGGTGTTACCAGGACCACTGAAATTAGTTCGTTTACCTGTAGTTCAACAGAAAATCATACAATCCATGTACATTTTGATTTCCACTGAACATGAGCAGTGATTGTGAGCCATTATCCACATAAGACATGGCAACAAAATGGTCAGCCTGCATCAAGTACTTAATATGTCAATTACCAAAATGCACGAAGGAACTAAAAAAAAGCGAACCACAGAACTAATCCTTTCATAAGTGCAAAAAAAATTAAATTCTGAGCTCTTCCAGTGACTTGACATATAGTCATTTTTGTTTAAAACAGTACACCATAATGAAAGAGCTTCATTGACTTTGAATTCTATGAATTCTGAGATCAGCCCAAAAAGGAATGATGTGATGTAATAGATCCATTTCTAAATATAGCATGGACATGGCAGCCAGAAAAGGTAGAGATCTAAAAGGAGATGGAAATCCAAACCAACTCCATACATAGTTCACAATCAGCAGAGCTACTATTGCATACTAGAAAGATCATCAAACGGCATACAATTGTACTCCTACCTCTTGGAGGCTAGGTTTATCAAGCTCTGGAAGCTCGGTCAGATCCTCTGCAGTTATGTCATCCCCCTTGGACGGGAAAAGAGGCATAGAGAAACAAACGTCCTGCATAATGTAATTGCAGCAAAGCATAAGCGAGTTATCCAAAGACTTATCTCCTTTTGATCCAAATTGTTAGTAACCAGGCTTCAAATCCTTCGTAACATGTATTTCACTGCAATCACTCAATCTATCTCTTTTTCTATACAACTAAAATTTACTTTCAATATAAAAAATTCTGTATACTGTTATAACCAGAAAACTTTAAGGATCTTTCAATATTTTCTTATTGTTCTTTTTGTACTAAAACAGTTGAAATTAAATATTGATGTTACATAAAGGAGTTAGGATGAAAATAGTTTCAATGGCAAGCAGCTCGATACAAGAAAGTAAAAGTCCAGCTGTATATGGATATGAAGATGTGTGCGGGAGAGTGGACCTGTAGATCCCAGGGTTGTATCCACCACAAGAACTTGTGTCTCCAAATATATTTACAAGGATTACACAAAACGAATCGGAAACTCAAAATGATGGAAAGCTACACGAAAGTAAAACTCTGTACTGTAATGACAAGCATTGGAGATTTTTCACACAACATAAACATAACATCTTACATGTTCTTTCAGCAGGGACCTCAAACCTCTTGTGGACCGAGAAATATAAGCATTGCAAGTTCGTTTTGCATTTTTTGGACCATCACAAGCAGTAAACATCACTACAAACTGCGAAGTGCATACTGCAAAAATTATAGTCAGTTATGAGGCTCAAACTTACCAATGCTAAAAATGGAAATCATAAACAGAGCTACATGTGCAATAGGACACCTCATCAAACGTGTATTTAAAGGATTGAGGATCGGAGATATGAAAAAGAGTTGAAATCAAACAGATTGTTTTGTGCACTCCATCTACTTTGTGGCAACTATGATGAAATCACTAATCAAAAAACCTTTTCTAGTCCAATAAAAAAGGACACCAAACTTTATATCAAATGCACTAGAACAGAGGGCAAAAGAAATGCAAAAAACAGCCAAGTTAAGCATAATTATTGCTAAACTTTCACAACCCTTGCTAGTCACATGCAAGACTCCACATGGAAAACAAAAATACGAGGAACAAACTTATTAGTAAGAGTTAGTAGACTTTAAAGGTAGTAGATATCAGCTCTCGCAAATGATAATGCAAGTACAAAAGCAAAGGAGATCCCAATGCTACATCAATATAAATGGTCTTTACCATAAAATAAATCACAGATTCTCGTTCTGAGCATGTAGTATAGGCTTCGAAAAGAATCCTCCCAAGCCTGCTGTCGATTGTTCCAGAAATCCACTTGTCCTTAATAGAACAACAGTAATTTGAGAGCAAGGATCAAGAGAACGGAGGACCAAAAGAAAGTAGACAACACAAAGTTTGTGGTCAAAGTACCTTCCACTGCGGCTGAGGTTAATGCTGATATAACCAAAGGAGATAAGGGAGATTGTGGAAACATCCATGAAGAAAACGCCCCAGAACTCCATCTTGAAACAGAAGAAGTGTGCCCTGAGAAATCCTGATCCTCAGAGGCAGTGGCATAAGATCCACACTGAAACTGATTGTGGAAGGTGGCACAATTCACTGATCTATGAAACCTGAGATGAAGAATATGGAAATATGCTTGACTAGTTACAGATGAATGAACTCAAAAAGCTAACAAATAACCAGTAAAAAGAGAGCGACGCTAGGATGCAGAAATCCAGAGCACTAAGAGTACACAATGGATACAACCTAAAACCATATTTGCACATAAAACTCAGTCGGTGTATGAAGTCAAAATGAGTTAGAAAGGCCAACATAAAAACATACTCTAAATGAAGCAACAACAATTAGTGCTATAACAAATCAGACAAAATTGGAAATACTTTTCCCCTATTCAAGTATCCAAAAAGGAGTGTGTAAAAAAGAACCACTCAAAATACAAACATCAGACTACAATGAGATCAAGAGTTGTCCAAGATACAACAGCTACTTTGCTCTAACTTCCAATTTTGATGTTCTCTTAGTTCCACTTGATGACAGCAACAAAGATAAATATTCTGGATGGTCAACTTCATCCATATCAAGTTTGCAACTTTGTGGTATCATATTAACATTAGAAATATATTTCATGAAACTCCGAATTAAGAGGCAAAAGGGGGTATATTTTTCTGGTGAAACAATAAACAATAGATATCCATTGCAAATGGAGCTGTAAGAGTCTTTATTGAAAATTCTTTCAGTTTTGTGCTAATAATGGATTAGATCAAAATGGCTCATTTAAATTCCGACGCTTCTTAATTTGGAGAAGTTGCCGGAAATCAATATATCAATGCACCAATGCATCTTGGGTCGTACTACTTAAACAACCTCTCTGTATTGAAATCAGGGGTAAGGCTGCGTACATCTTGACCCCTTAGACCCCAACCGAGTTGGGAATATATTGGGCATGTTGTTGTTGTTGTTGTTGTTGTTGTTGTTGAAACAATAAACAATAGGTAATATATGAATACAACAATATTGAGATGTGTAACAGGCAACTTACCAATTCACTGATGCAGATGATATTATGCGCATTGTAGTTTTCAGGGTCAAATCCAGCGGGGATTTCTTTCCTGAAACAGAAAAATCAAGTGGGGAAATCTGTGTTCTAAAATTGCTTGTTCTTTCATAAGATTCAAGTTGTGATTCTGAAGCAGGAGCACCATGGGCAACCAATCCTTTTAAAGCTTTGTCCTGCACAGCATATATTTAGACTTACCCAAACTGTTATTGATTACTTTAAATAGCGAGTGATATAATTGTAAACAATCGTACCATATCAAGATTTGACAAGCCAGGCACATTTTCACCCCCAAATGCTAGCTCCTTCACACCACGAAATGTTCCGTCATTGGCCTTCCCAGCAACTTTGTGAGCTTTGGTACTGGTAGCCCGATCCTCAGAGGAAGGAATTGAAGTAGCAGAATCCTCATTACTTCCAAGACAAAAGAGGAAACCATAAGTCATTTGAAATGCAAGAAACAAAAACAACAACTTGAGGCAAATTGAATGATATTCGTGAACCTGCATCATACCATAAGTCCTGTGGTTGAATCTCAGCAGCCAAGTGAGTAGCCACAGAAGAATTTTTCAACCTGCTGCTGACCGCAACTGGGGGATTTTCCTACCAAATAGAAGATGTTGGTTATTATACATGTTAATAGCAACTAATTATTTCTCTGGCTAGTATATTTCAGACGATTCGATCAAGTTAACTAAACATTTAACATAAAATACGCAGAGAAGCTTAAGATTTCCAACCTCGACAACTTCATCTTTTGAGAGCAACCTAAGCCTGTTACATCTTTTCCTTGCGCGATATAACCCATCCACACGGGTGTCTCTATATTTTGGACTCTTTGGCATATCTTTTTTATTTCCCAGGATAACTCCATCCCCATCCCTATAAGAGGCAAGGAGCGTGTGAGCAAGTTACACACAAAGTAACAATAGCAAAACAGGAAAACTTACTTTGAAGAAGGAGCAAAAGGAAGTTGAGATTTATCTGCAAGCTCCATGACACTGGCATTCCTTCGTTTCAGCAATTCTTCCCTCTATTTGCAAATTAAGTATTAAACATTTCACCATGCGCAAATCAAAACTGGTGCTAGAATTTCACATTCAAATAGTTTCGACTGAAAGGAATTTAATTTGAATCAAATAAATCAGGAGTTCAGCATTGATGCTTTCCACATTTAAAATCTGTATCCTAATTCCTAAGTAAACACTACTAGTATTTGGTAAAGTTGGCCACTTGATATCCAGAAAAGAACATTTTATCAACAGTAGCGACATACTTACCCGCAACTCCGCCGGAGTTTTCCGTTTCAAAGTGGTGGTGGTGACCGTCGAACCGGCGCCACCAAAATGAATGGTATTGGTCGGAGGAAGTGGACCTGCTGTAGCAATCTTCGCCATCCTCGACCTGATTTATAATTCTTCAGCACAACAAAAATAAATAAATAAATAAAAGATTCAACAACGAGGGTGCTCCGGTGCCTGAATCCGCATGGAAACCGAGTTGATTTCCTGAGGATTTGCCCTAATTCGGATTTTACCTCCCTAGGGCAAATCTGAAGAAAGTGGGGGAGCCAGTAATTTTTTTGACCGAGAGTGGTAAGGGAAGGTGGGAAAGAGGAGGGAAAGTTTCAATTACATTGAATCCAATATAATCAACAGAGAGAAACAGGTGTGCAATATTTTTGGGGAATTTTTTTGAACAGTTTTCATTTCCCTCGCTGCGGTCAGACGCCTGACGCCGTTAGTCAACGCTCTCTGGACGTCACTTCTAATTCTCACAATTTTTGGCCCCGCGATTTTTATTGTGTTCTATTGATTGATTTAATCTCAATCCCAGACAAAGAAATGAGATATCCATTGTTAGTACAATTTTATTTAATGATGATGATCAAATACAAACTTATAATTAACGAGCTTCTAAACATAATTCGTACAATGTTTGAGTGTGCTTCATGATTTGTTGAATAGGAATGATTAACTTTCAATAAAATTCGTTTGTCTTATTCATTAGGCATAGTGTGTGTTGAAAAGTTTGGACCGAGTAAATAATTAGGGGTGTCAATTTGTGTTGGGTCGAGCCCAACCTGTTTTATTTTTACCCAATCCAAACTCAATCCATATATTAATCAGGTCAGATTCTTGAACTCGGACCTGATCTTTTATTTCGCGGGTTACCTGAGTTAGACATGTTTAATCCGAATATTTTTATTATTTTTTTGTTGTATCCAATTAATTTTTTTCCAAGTAAAATTATAAATTTTTTAATAAAAATCTATTTTTTCTTCGCATTTCAAAATGCAAACCAAAGCAACACAACTAATTTTAAGCAGAACTATAACAAAATATACAAAATATTGCACAAAATATCGTTAAACGATAAACGTTCGATAAAATATAATCCAAATGAAAATCATCCATCATGCAAAAGTTAAAAATCACATGTTAAAAAAAACTAATAAAATATTTGTTAAAATGACCAGTATGCCTTTAGAAAACTAATAAAATTATTAAGAAATCTATTTAAACGGGTAATCCGCCAGGTCAATCCGAACCCAACCCATTTATAAACATATTGGGTTGGACCCAACTCATTTATTATTTGGGTAAAAAATTTCAATCCAAACCCGCTAATTTCTTGCTGGATTCATGTTGGGTTCACGGGTCCAAACTCAAATTAACACCCCTAGTAAATATTCCTTCTATCCGAAAAAATTCATAAAACTGTGTATATTGTAATTTGTAAATTGTATTCAAAACAATATATGTACACAATAAAGTGAAATCCTCATGCAATTATGTTTCATGCACAACAATATAATGTACTCTCTCTGTCTCACAAAAATAGTCCAGTTTGAAAATGTACAACTTTTTTAATTTGATCAATCCCAGAAATGTACAACTCATTTTAAACTCTAAATTTTCATATTTACCCCTATTTCTGTCATTCGTGAAAAATTTGTACGCCAAAAATATCTCCTTTTTTTTGCCGGAGATAACATCACAACCGGAGCTTACTCCAGCCGGTAATAACTCCCCATCTTTTGCGTCGGAGAACACATCACGGGCAGAGCTTAATTCAGTCGGCTATAACTCCACGAACAACCACCAAGCCGACACTTTTTCTTTCCCATCATCTTCGCCCGTTTTTTGACAAAGCAACCATGTAAATCATGATTTTCGCATAAAATCAAATTAAAACAAGCTGTATAGAATCCATCCAGAGATAGAAAATCATAATTGCTGCCGAAAATAATTAAAGACAGAGCAAATCCAGATCGAAAGGGCAAGGGAAATCAACTACTTATCTTGACGTGTGGATCGTACATCAAATTGAGAAACTATAGAGGAGCGGATCCAAATAGCGAGACCACGGTGATTTGGTAAATTGATCTCCAAACCTCTGCATAAAAAATAAAAAAAAAAAATTATGAGGAGTCACCGGTGGCGGGGAACTTGGCGGGCGCATAGTAGATTAGGACTGGGTTAACTGATTGGTTTAAATTTGACCGTAGGATATAACTTTCAAGGCTATTCTAATTATTTCAATTAAATTTAATTTTGACTTTCTGAAACCACACTATTTTTTTGGAATAAATTTTTTTATCAAATTAGATTATTTTTGTGGGACGAGGGAGTATCAAAGCCTCCAACTTTCCCATGCATGGTGTTACTCACACAAATGACGAGCATCTACCTTAGACCTTAGTCCATCTCCATCATACTAAAAAAACCGTACAATCCAAACACAAGAATCGATCCCAGGATCCAATATTGCAGAAACTGAAGCACAGAAACTCAGCGGAAAGCCAAAAGTTGGATCATGCTTGAGATTTGAGATGGATTAGTTTCGAGAATTCTGAAAGCAAGCATTACTACTTAAGCTTATGTCATTTGTACAATGGGGTTGAACCGTAATTAGAATCCAATTTTGAGCAAAAATCTCTCTCCATCCTCCAGCACAACCAACCCCCCCTGCAATATACTCTCTGCCAAAAGGGAAGTCTTAAAATGGAAAATTGGTGTGATCTCCTCCATCTTTGTAGGAAACCCATCTTAGATTTTCATAGACAACGCAGCCCATCCTCCATCCATGATATCAACTTTTTTGTATCCGAGTCAACTCACCAAACTCGCTCCCCCCTAATTCAACTTTTCTAATTCTACTCCCATTTTTTTTTCCCCATGTTTCCTTTCCTACATGCCCTAATTCTCTATTTGTATTGGTGAATTTTCATCTGTAGGAGGATACTATAATTATTATAGCTTTATCATTATTTATTATTTATTCTTTTTGAGAAGATAGTTTGTATATTTGTTTTAGGGAGTTTCATCTGTATATCTGGGCAGATTTTGCTAAAAAGATTCGTGCAATTTGGTTCAATTAGGGCGTCAATTCATCAAAAGTTTGGAATTCTTCGGACGTGCTGCTGACGAAGACAGAGTATTGTGGGGGTTTCGTTGTGGAATTGTTATTTGAAGGTTACATTGATCTGATTAAAAAAAAAAAAAAAAAGAAGAAGAAGAAGAAGATCAATTTCCCCCTGCATTTTGTCCTGATGAGAAGAACGTTGATGGGATCAAGGAGATATTTTTCGCATGAAGGTGAAATTCAAGAGGGTTAGGCATTTTCCGACACAAATCATTTCATGGGGAATAACTGTGTTGGACCCAATTTGGGGAATAATGGCTTCCTTCAATCTGTCACAGCTGCCGTCTGGAAAACCAGGCAGCAGGAAATAACTCTACCGCCCAAAGAAGATGAGAATAGTAGCAAGAATGACAGCAAAAGCAAAACAGACAATCAAAATCAAGTGGGTTCATCTTCAAAAAAATCAGAGCTCGAGTCTAATTCATCTGATGTTCAAAGTATTCCGCCCACACCCGTTAAGATAGGCAATGACGGGAAATCGTCAGAGGTGGAAAGCAGCAATCAAAAGAACAATGGTGTTAGTAATAAGCCTGTGGAGGCGGTCAAACAGAATAAGCCTGGTCATTTCAAGCGAGTTTCAAGCGTAGGGCTTCAAGTCGAATCAGTTTTAGGACGAAAAACGGGTAATTTGAAGGAGCTTTATAGTTTAGGGAGGAAATTAGGACAAGGGCAGTTTGGAACCACATTTTTGTGCATCGAAAAGGCTACAGGGAAAGAGTATGCTTGTAAATCAATCGCTAAGAGGAAATTAACTACAGAGGAGGATGTGGAAGATGTGAGGAGAGAAATTCAGATAATGCATCATTTGGCAGGGCACCCGAATGTTATATCTATAGTGGAAGCTTATGAGGATGCAATTGCAGTCCATGTTATAATGGAGCTTTGTGCAGGAGGGGAGCTTTTTGATAGAATAATACAGAGGGGCCATTATACTGAGAGAAAGGCTGCTGAACTTGCAAGGGTCATTGTTGGTGTTGTGGAAGCCTGCCATTCTTTAGGTGTTATGCACAGAGATTTGAAGCCTGAAAATTTTCTTTTTGTAAATGAGCAAGAGGAGGCAGCACTTAAAACTATCGATTTTGGGCTCTCGATGTTCTTTAAACCAGGTAACCTCTTAGATAGCTCGTCTCTTTTACTCTATACTTAGCTGCTAATGCAATATTAAGTTTATCCGTAGTACCTTTTAGACAAGGTTCTTTGAAATTTATAGGGTTTTTGTGTTTTGGTTTCTCATCTTTTTATATTGTTGATTAGTCTGTACATGTTGACATTGCTGCAATATGTTTATCCAAGCAAATTTCTTTGCGATGGTAAATCGGTCCTCATGACCAACTTCAGCAATACATCATAGAGATCAAAATTTTATAATCTCACCGCTTTGGTAACTTATTGTCGATATAGAATAATAACTTCTTTATCCAATTATTGTAACATAAGATTTGTCCTGTCAGTCATCGGTTTGCTGAAAAATAGCTTTTGTGGTTTGTTTCATGTGCATTATGTCAAAGAACTAATTTTTTAATCCACCCACTAAGCATTGTAGTTAATTAATCCAGGCATTTGCTGCCTCTATTGTATTTGTACCAATAAAACCCGTACTACTGATGACACATCTAATCAAACCTGTAACTTACTGCATGGCTTCATCGATAATGCATCCTTACATTTGTTGTGATATTTACTCTGCCTTTGTATTATGTTAACACAGAAGCGGTGTTTATTTCACAGGTGACACATTTAATGATGTAGTTGGAAGTCCTTATTATGTTGCCCCAGAAGTTTTGCGGAAACATTATGGCCAAGAATGTGATGTTTGGAGTGCCGGAGTAATCATATACATATTGCTAAGCGGTGTTCCCCCTTTCTGGGATGGTAAACTCTTTGTAGTTCAAAGTGCATTGGCTGATCTACTTGTATGACCTTATATCTAACTATACATAATGTTTATTAATGTGCACCATATGTTTTGAATCAGAAACGGAGCAGGGGATTTTTGAGCAGGTCTTAAAAGGTGAACTAGACTTTATTTCAGAACCTTGGCCTTCAATATCTGAAAGTGCAAAAGATCTTGTCAGAAAAATGCTCGTACGAGACCCGAAGCAGAGGCTCAAAGCATACGAAGTTCTAAGTGAGTTTGCTGCATTTAAGATCACTCATCTTCCAAGACACTAACTATAGCGTTCAGATTTGACCCGTATTTGCTTAGTTTGAATATTGTCCTTCATGTCTTGAATTGCAACAGATAATAAAATGTGAAGAATCATTTCTCATGCTATCAATATACCAAGATGTTATCGAATTAAAGAACTTGCAACTGTTACTGAATTCATATATATCTTGGAACTGATGAGATCGCGAAAGAAGTGAGCTCCAACATAAAATAGTGGTTTCATATAAATTGACATGTGAAACTAATAAGATACTACATTAACAGGCCATCCATGGGTCCGAGTTGATGGTGATGCCCCCGATAAGCCTCTTGATTCTGCTGTTTTAAGCCGGCTGAAGCAATTCTCTGCAATGAACAAGATCAAGAAGATAGCTATAAGGGTAAGCTTCTCTGATCTTTTAGAAGCAAAATATCATCAATGAAGCAACTTTACTTGCTAAGGCCGAAAGAATTGTATAGTGCATGGTTAGTATTTCAGAACAAATAATAGAGCTCTCTTAGTGCTCATACTGACTCGTCTTTCTTATTAGTACTGATCCCACATAGTGGGATGAAGACTTAATTGTAGCCATCTTTCTTGTTTATACTAATTTCATACTGGGTTAAGATTTTGGATTTGGCATTGACTTTCTTCTTTTGCGATTGAGAATAATGAAGTATTCGTAATGTGGAAACTATATGATTAAGGAAAGCAATCCATTTGATCTACTGTTTTAACTTACTCTCCATCGTGTACATATGGCAGGTTATAGCTGAAAGTCTGTCAGAGGAAGAAATTGCTGGGCTCAAACAAATGTTCAAAATGATAGATGTAGATAACAGCGGAAACATTACATTGGAGGAACTGAAAAATGGTTTGGAAAAAGTGGGAGCAAATCTAAAGGATTCAGAAATAGTTTCTCTGATGGAAGCTGTAAGTACAGATTGCTCGAAACCAGTTATTTTTCTCTTTAAATATCACAAAACTCCTTGGCATTGTTAATGTCTTTTTTCTACCTTTGATCTTTGATTGTGAAACCATTCAATCCCTGACCAAAAGAATGAAGTGTGATGTAGGAAAATAAGCAGAACCGGTAGTATTTGATAGAACCTCCAGGATGCAACCACAATCTTAACCTGGCTTGATTAAATGTGTAGCGCCATTTTATAAAAATTGTGGTTTAGATAACATGCAGATGGCTGAATGTGGTCAATTCTAAATAGTTACAGGTTCATATTTTCAAAGACGTAACTACTTCTGTTGCTAGTGATGGTTTGGGTGGCCACTCTGCTGTGAAATCAAAGCAGTAATGTGATGCTAAAAATTGAAATCCAAGTGCAATCAGTTGTAGACATGAATATTATGTTGTTATTCTTCAATCAATTGGCCACTGAATCATTTTTATTTTCTCCAACTGTGCAGGCAGATATTGACAACAGTGGCACCATTGACTATGGTGAATTTGTTGCAGCGATGCTCCATCTAAATAAGGTCCAGAAAGAGGATCACTTATATGCAGCCTTCTCATATTTTGACCAAGATGGGAGTGGGTACATCACCAAAGATGAACTCCAACAGGCTTGCGGGAAGTTTGGTATTTGCGACGATCACCTTGATGAAATTATCCGTGAAGTAGATCAAGATAATGTATGTCATTCTGTCATTGTTTTCCAAATTGTGTACACTAGCAAATTAAATGTGTTTTGGCCCTACATCCATATTTTCTCCTAATTATACTTCGGTCTTCTAATTTTTTCCCAGGATGGGCGCATAGACTACAACGAATTCGTGGCCATGATGCAAGATACGAATTTTGGCAGAATGGGACAATGAGTCAAATGTAAGCTATGTTTTTGAAAAGGATTATATGGTAGTTCACCATGGTTGAGGCAGCATGAACTTTATATAGATGTTAACTTGTGTAGTCTTTGACAATGTATAAGCGGGAACAAAGGATTTGACACAGTGATGTTGTAAAGTAGGGAAGATGTTGGCCATCGATGATTGTTTTGTTTTCCATTCTTTATTTTTTTTTTTTATTCTCTTAAGAATAGTCTGGTCTAGATCCGGTGTCCTTTATTGTTATTGTGCCCTTAGAAGTAAATGTAAAATATTTGTCCCTGCTTTGGCTATTTGATTTTTAACTTTTCTACTCGAGAACACGAGGTAGTTGAAATGCTAACTTTAAGATTTACGAATTCATTGTTTTGCTACTCATTTACTCATCTCATGGAGAAGACGCATCGCTTATTCAAGTCCCTTTCATGCATTATTGTCACGTCATTGTGTGTTTGCTTGTCACGACAATCGAGTCGTGCTTCAAATTCACCTGTTGAGGCAATATGATTTTCATAGTGGGATGGCATTGTCGTGTTATACCACACACTGTGTTTAGAGGTCACAATTGGTGCAACGAATAGGTCTGGTTTCGTAATTATTTGAGCATTTGATTTTTTTAAATTTTTTTTTTTTCTGAGTTAGATTGATCGATGTGTGTTTGTAAACTTGTCCCCGACCTATATGATCCTAGACAGTAGCTACTCAATGAACATCATCAATCTGCAGTAGATTTGAGAGGGAAAGTAGCAAAAGTTGTGAGTCAGGGTATTGTTTGTTTTTAGTACTACTTGGTACTGGAAAGCATTTGAGTATCCTGGTGGAGAAGTCACTTGAATGTACGTAGGAGGGTACACACATTCCGTTATCATAGTGTTAGGTTTCACTGAGGGAATGGACTACAAAATACTGCCTGCTTCTTCTTCTTCTGCAACTATCATCACAGCTGGTGGTTTTCATGTTTGGTCCAATCCAAATTCCTAAATAACCCATGATGTTTCATTTCATTCAGCTGTCTTCTCTTTTGGATCTGCTTGCGTTTAGTCCATTTCTCCATACCATATTTTATATATGTGTCCTTTTTATACTGTACTACAATTTACTGTTCAACATTGAATGCAGCAGGACGGGACATATCTATTTTCTACTAACCTGCCCTTTAATTCTTCCTTCCTCATGAATTGATGACGCAAAAATGAGAGATCTAACCCGAAAACGATTATACCCCCAAAAAAGGGATCTCAATTCCATTCCAAACACACACAAGACACAACACAGATGATCAATCAGATCAGAAACAGATATCAGATAAGTAGACTTTGTGTAAGAAATTATAAATGTGGTAAATAGTGTACTACTAAGGGCTTTTTGATCACATGGTTAAGCAGAGTAGGACGTGAGTTGCATGTGACACGCGACCTACCATTGCCATAGGCATCCAGCCCAGCTCTAATTAACGAATTCATCTTTCATTGTCCAGCTTTTTAACCTTTTCTCTTTTCTTTTAACTGTCTGGTTCTTTTTGATCTCCCTTCCAGAGTCCATCTGTGGACCATTTTGCAATTCTAATCGGCTAAAAAAAAAAAAAAATTAGAATAGACAGGGGTGAAAGAGACCTGCAGGGCGGCCAGCTACATGCAGAAAGATGATTTCTGCGTGTAATTGAAATTACAGCTACGAAATTATATTAGTCCAAATTGTGGAAACTACCAACAACTACTTTTCCTTGATTGCTCAATTTCACGTGGTACCCCCAAAACTTTTTATAGGTTTATACTTTATTTGTACATTTGTGGCGTATTAATTGAAGGAAAGTCTTCACTTTGGCAGATTAGTTGACATGCCATTCTTTTGGCTGTTTCTTCTTTCCCTGATATTTTTCTTTCCCTCCTCCAAAACTCTCTCAAGACTCTGTTTGTGCGCGCCTTAAGACATTACCGTGGTAACTACTACTATTTGTACACTTATAATATAAGGATCCTAGGTACAGCTAGCAATGTGTATCTAGTGTGAAACACACACCCACAATCTTAAAAATTCTGAAACTACTATTTATTTTCCATTTTCTATGGAATTTTTGATTTCCAAATTTCCATAACCGATTATTCACCCTAATTATCCGCCATTTATGATACCATTCCATCCATTCCATCTGCAACCATAATCTCAGATATTTTTCATTTTACATCATTTTGATATACCAAATTCTCACGTCGATAATACTCTTGAAGACGAAATCAAATTCGTGCACCCAAAACTGGGATTTTGCATCACGTTGCTGAGTATTACGGTAAAAAATCTTGTTATTCATCCCTTTTGTGTGGTTGTTTCCAAAATCTATCTCTTAAAAATATAAATTTATCCGCTAAAGCTTGTTTGGAATTCTCAAAATCTTTGTTTCGCTATTCAGATTTGCCAGTTCGAGCTCGTTCGATAAATCGTTGAAGGTTTATGGATTCAGATTTGTTGTGAAAAAGAACAAAATTCAGATTTGATGAATCGCCGGAGGCTTATGGATTCAGATCTGTTGTGTAAAGAAGAAAGATTAATAGATTTAGGTATTGTTCATTAGTTTAATATCATTATTCATCTTTAAAACATGTTAGTTCATCGATGTTCTAGTCTTTGTCATCGATTTGTGGTTGATTTCAGAAAATATTAACAGATCTGGTATTATTCATCATCTCGGTATCATTATTCATCATCAATGTGTGGTTGTTTTAGTCATGTTTTCTTCTTCTGTGAAATATTATGCATCATTCATCATCGATTAATGATTTTAGTTCATCAATTTCTTAGTTTTGTTCATCGATCTGTGGTTGATTTTAGAAAAAATTAATAGATCTAGGCTTTGTTTATCAATTTAATATCATTATTCATGTTTAAAACATGTTAGTTCATCGATGTTCTAGTCTTGTTCATCGATTTGTGGTTGATTTTAGAAATCAAATTTTTACATCATTATCTATTTCTGGCGGTTATTCATCATCTCGATATCATTATTCATCATCAATTTTGGGTTATTTTAGTTATGTTTTTTTCTTCTGGTGAAATGTTTATTCATCTTGTATTCTAGTTATTCATTATTTTCGCTTAGTTATTCATTAAAGTACAATTATTCATCTTGTAAAATTATAACTATTTTTCATTGTAATATTGTTATTCATTTAGGATGAGATCATTATTCGGCAGATTTGCATCGTTATTCATTTTTGTGAATATAGTTATTCATTACAAAATTTAAATTTATTCGTCCATAACGTTGATATTATAAGCACCAAAAGTCTTTTCCTCAGAGTTGAAACATCATCCAATAAGCACATCATCTGTTATTCATCGATAACAACTTGTTATTCATTACTTAAAATAAGATAATCATCGTAAATCTGAACAAGATGGTACACCATCTGCCAAATAACAACAATGAAATTCATGTTCATCAGTAACCATATATTGCACATTAAATTATGCATGTATATTCACCAATACAACGAATACATTCTACATCAATCATCTTTTAATAATTGTATAACAGAATTCATTGTCTAAACGTTGGTTATTCATTACTGAAAAAATACACATTGATTCTTCATATTCATAAGTCTCAATGATTAACCATAGTCAATTTTACTAAAATAAAATCCATCGTTATAAAAAAATTATCTCATATAATAAAATAATATAAAAACTAACATGATAAGTAAAAAAAAAGTTTAAAATTAAACGTGTGTAAAAAAAAAAAGGATAAGATCAGGGAGTTAAATACCAAAAAAAATGGGATAAAATTATGGGGATTAAATGCCAAAAAAATGGAAATAAAATTGGGTGATTAAATTCGCGTGTGGGAACTAAAAACCAGGACTAAAATGATCACTTTTTTCTCCTAAATTTGTGATACGCGCACTGCCTAGATACACCTTGTAATGTGTACCTAGGAGCTTAATATTATTTGCCCTATTTGTACCCACCAAAACCATGTCAATTAATTTCTCAAGTTGGCCCACTGCTTGACTGTAATAAATGGCAAATACTCCCTCTGGTTCTTAATATAAGGTATTTTGATTTTGTCATAGGTTTAACCTAGTACGTGTTTTTAATTGACCAAAAAACCTTAAAAATATTTCATAACGATCAAGAGAATACAACGAATGTAAAAATATATTTTTTAAAATTTTTTCGTCAATTATAAATGTGTATTAGGTGGAACCTTGGATAAAATCAAAATGACTTATATTAAGGACATGAGCGAGTAGAAAGGAATGAGTGGACAATAATTAATAAATTAATTAATAATTTAGTATACTAGTAGTAGTTAATAAAAAACAAAAAGAAAAAGAAAATGTCTAATCATCATCAGAGATACGTGATCTAGTATGTCCACCTGGAAGCTTCAAAAAGCATTAGTTTGATACAGTTTGACACCTGTCAGTCCAAAACGGGTGGAACTCGAGCTTTGGTCTGTGCGTCATATTCTACACGTGGCTGGTTAATTACACGGTTGCGGCTTCTTCAAAATTATTCGGTCCCTCTTCAATTAATTAATTAATAACATATCAATATATAATTAATCAAAATCAAAAGCTTTTTGTGTTTGTAGAAAAGCGAACGGAGTGCTCCACCACGAGCACCACCGCCGCAGACCCACTGACCACCGTGAAATTAGTACGGTCCTTGTCACGTGCCTGTCTCTCTACACATCGGACGGCACCGCCCACTGTGATCCTTTTTTTTTTCTTTTTTTTTTCCAGCCCAAATTCAAAAAGTTTGGTGTCTTCTCGAGTCCTTTTGTGCCCATTCACTAACCTATATACATCTAGCTACTAATATCTGGACTCAATTATACTACATTCTTATGGAATTAGAGAGGAATGCATTGCTAAAAATGTACCATTATTAATAAATACAAAAAAAAAAAAAATACATACTTGAAATTAATAGTGTGACGAAGATATTTTCTGGAAAAAAAAAATACATACTTGAAGTTAATAGTGTGACGAATATTGTTGAAGAAGATCAGTTGAATTTTATCTCTAGTTAGAAAAAATAGGGTTTTTTTTGGGTTACATATGTGTAAATGATTTTTTCTTATACGAGCTCACATAATTTACTGTTGACTTGTTGAGTGTTGACAAAGCCTTTCTTTCTATCTTCCTTTTTTCTTTTCGCTTCAGTCAAACAGTATCTTGTTCGTCCCAAAAATAAGTATTATTTTTTTAAACTAAAACAATACAACCGAATAAAATTAGGTGCAATTTGGTCGTTAGATGCCTCACCGGTTTTCAATAAGTTACGGAATATAGATTCAAAGTCACACTAGAGGTAAGTGAGAAACTAATAGCAATCTTTTAAAAAAAAATACA